GTTGACCAAACCACACACTAGAAAGTGAAGAGACGACGACGTTAGTTTAAGTGTTACTAAAATAACACGGGGGGGGGGGGGGGGGGGGGGGGGAAGACTATTTGGTAGACTATTTCCCTAAATGTGCACAAGGCATTCGAAACTCTCATGAAATATTGTTTACAAAATAGAGAATCGGGCTGCAATAACTGGGCGAGGAGTACCCGAAGAGAAAGTCTAAATAAGAGGTGGTTTTGACCTGGAGAAATTTAACAATTTAGGTCCCACAAGGGTTGGTCTGGGTACACATTTGTCCTAATTTGTGTGAACGATTTTATACAGACGGCCTCACTCCAGAGAGCTCTGTAGTCTCCATATTTGAACATGACCCAAAGCTGATGAGAAATGTAAAAACGGAAGGACCGCAGAAAGTTGAGAGGTCCTTTATCTCCAGGAGTGAGCAAACAAATGGTTGTTGGTATTCAATCCCAACACGTTAAAGGAAATGATGGGGAAAAGGCGACCAAATGGTGTCCACAAAGAAAGGCAACTACAGGATTCAGAGATTTGGGAATGGACATCATTCCAACACTAAAACACCGAAAGCGCGCACAAACAGGATAACATCGACAGCATATGGGACGCTGGCAAATATTAGGTCATCGTTTAAAAACTTAAATCAGAACTTGAAGGCAATAAACAAATCCACAGGGGCCGTGATGAGGGTTCGAACCTACGCACGGGATGTTCCCAGCTGCGCCTACTCGACAGTGCCACGACATGGTAATTGAATTGCAGCCTGGAGTGCTACTGCCCCTCACAACTGACGGCACAGTTGACTAATTATCAAAAAGAAGGCACCAAACCGTAAAGGCTATGTAGCACCATCAAATGTGCGAAATAATCAGAGGGCGCTAAATATCACCAAGGATGCCAATATGAGAACAGAAACGCATAAGGCGAACGATATCAAAAGTATCCGAGTCACCAAGGAGTCTATCGAGGGACAAGTGACCACGAGGGACGGTCGGAAAGCAAGACACGCTCGTTCTGGAAATCAGGACATTTAACAAAGATATGCACGACGGTAAGAGGGACAACGCAATTTGGACAATAAGGAGCTGAGCGGCGCTCCATTGAGGCACAGTTGACTTAGGCACAGCTGGGAACCATCCCGTACGTAGATTTGAACCCTCACCACGGCCCTTTTAGATTTGTTCATTTGATATATCACGCTACTGTGGTTTCTGTGTGTATTCCTGGCAATCTACACATTTGTTAGACCAATACTAGAAAATATAGCACCAGCAATGAATCTGCACCTTGTGAAGAATAAAGCCAGAATTTAAAAGAGGTTTGCAACAAGATTGGTGCCAAAGCCAAGAGTTAAGTTATGAAGATTATTTTATCAAAACTCCTCTAAAAGATGGAAGAAATATAGGGGGATATAACCACAACATCCAAGATGCTGATAGGAAAGAGACAAGGTGGACAAAGATAACCTCTTTTAAAGAGTGCCAAGAGGACAAATGGAAGCTGCAAATCTAAACGAGTCAAAGAAATTTGATGGAATGCTCGTATGAGAGGTCAACACGTGGAATGCTCTGAGGTAGTTGTGGACGGTGGTGGTTTCCTCAACTTAAGGCCAGATTCGAAAATAAATTCGAACATGAGAAGTTGAATTATAACGCAACAAGTACACCAGGGCTTGTAGGCGGGGCATATAGAGCTAGGCCCTCACTCTCCCGTACACACTTATCAATACTTGCACAAGTTAATACAAACACTAGCCGAAAACAGCTGCAATTACAAAACTTGCACCCAGATTCAGTAAATGTTTACTTTTAAAGTAAATCCCAAAACACACAATTCGCACTTAATTTAAATAATATCTAGTATCTCAACTCTAGCACCAGTTCAGTACTTAAAAATTAAACAATAACTTTACGAAAGCAATACATAAAATATCTAAAAAGATCACAAAACTAATGAAAAGTGGGCAAAAATGGTGCAGAATAAAAACTACGTAATAACTCCTTAAACCAAGTAAAAACTATTGAAAAATTAAGTATTAAATGGACAATTGGTCATATGATTACAGGCAAGACATGAATTTATAATTAATTTTTAAAACGATGTTAATATTATTCAAGATAAAATTATTAATGTATACAACTATACATAATATATTTCTGACTAGTATAACTAGCAAACCTACTCATTACTTATGTCATTTCTTAAAACTAAAATACAGGAATATTTTAAGAGCGTCACACACCTCTATGCACATAATTCTAAAGTCTTCCGAAGTAACAGCGTTACCTTTTTTTTTTTGGCACAACTCTTCATATTTTCAGGTGGAGTGTAGTTGGCCTCGTACTGCTAGCACGTAGCTCGCTCCGTTGTTTCAGATTTGCAGGAAGTAACGAACAGGCCGAGTACTCAAAGAAATTAAAGAAATCACTATATTCCATGTAATCCTGTCATAGCCCAAACATCCTTCCTCCCTCGGGGGACAACATAATCATGGCATTCAGTGTCCTGCAGAGGTCACTGACGGCGGGGCGGTCCTCGGGCTCCTCCGCCCAGCAGCTCCTAGCCAGGTGCCACAGGAGCGCCTCCAGGGTGGTGGTGGTGTGGGTGCTCTCCTGCGGGTGGTGGTCTGTTGGCCGGTGTCTCAAGTGCACTACCTGCCAGCGTAAAAGGTCTTAGAAAACTGCACCGGCTTACATATGCATATTACTTTAAATTATTAATGTATATACACTAATATATATCGTGTTAATATGATTTCTATGTATCAATGATAAAATCCACTAGGGTTGTGAGGTGGCACAAACCTACGACCAGCCACTGACAGCCGCGTACTCTGCCACTAGACCACAGCTGACGCGTACAATAAAGCTGTCTAGTGGTGGATTATGTGGCTGGCAGTGCCTTGGTCGCAGGTTCGCGACACCTCACAGCTCTTGTGGATTTTCTAATTTATACACCGATACAGTGATCTACGTCAGCTCTCGAGGGACCTGGGTTCAATCCCCGGGCAGAACAAACAGTTGGGCACGTTTAATTTGTAAATGGTGCCTCTGTTCATCTAACAGTAAAATATCCGGGAGTTAAACAATTGTAATGGGATGCATCCAAGGATAGGTCAGTATATATATAGTTGTTCTAGGCCTGTAGGAGCCTCGATAAGCATAGGTACAGGCTTCCTGTGCCTGACAATTGGAATTTAGAATGATATCGGGATGCACCTAGAAGGCGGATGGGCAAGTGGAAACACCTTCCTGTTGTAGGTGACATCTGCCAACTGCTACTCACCCAGAGAGGTTAGGGAGGTTAGATATGCCTGGTGGATGGGGTTGGCAGTGACTAGATGGATAGGGCTTACCTGATGGCGCAGTAAATGGTTGGGTCCTCTAGAGAATACCAAGACTCACCTGAAACAGGACAACATGCGGATGAATGCCCTGGTAAGGGGTACTACGGGTGAGCATGTGCCAGATGGTCACACCCAGGGAGAAGACGTCGCTGTGGGGCCCGGCCGCCCCGCCCCTCAGCACCTCCGGCGCCTGGTACACCACCGTCCCCAACACCTGCTGGAGTCCACTTAATTTAATTAATGTATTAAAGATACAAATCTTTGATACTCGTGGAGTGATTGCTTAATTGAAAATATTGTACCAAGGATTTTGGTTAATACAGAGCAAGCAGCAACTGAAGTCAGAAAACTCAGGCAGACAATTAACACTTCTGACGACAGATATTCGCCCATCAACAAATACTGTATGAAAACATTTAAGGAAGGTAATATACCATACTTTTTAAACTAGTCTTTTGCTGATAATACTAAATATTCCTCTAAATAAAATATCTACACCCAATTGCCAAAGGGATCATATAAGGACTATTACAGAATATAGAGAGGGAAACCAAGAACTAGACAATAGAAAAATAAAGATTTTCCTTAATATAATAGAATCCGAGGCTGCAGAAAAAAATAAAAAAAATGGTTTCCCCATTGTGGGAGTGGGGAAGCCTGCAATACTTATCTAGGTGCCCCCCCCCCCCCAGCCAATGACTTGTAGTCTCCAGGATACAGCCCACCGGAATACCTCCTAAGTTACTAGTTAATGCTACGTCAACACACTTCTCACCCTAACCTGGAATCGACCCTGGGAGCTACTCAGTTATGATGCGTCTGCACTAACCACTACACGTATACTGTATAGTGAAATCCGTAAGTATTTTGGAAAATGTTTATCGTTTTGGCTCAGTACCCCGGTACATTAGTTATGAAATTATACAATTTTTATGGGGGTTAAAATAAACTTTTCGCTTTATTTTGAGAGCATCTGCATCCATATCTGGTGAACCGAGTGTGAATTACAGTCCCATTGTAGGGGACCAAAAGTAGTTGAACACATGGCCAATTGTGTCGTTGAATCGTTAGGCAAGGTAATTATGGAGAAAGCACTAAGTATGACTATAGCACTTGGAAGGGAACACGAGGATAAAGAGCCGGGATAGGCCGAGGCAAGAATGGTGTCAAACAACTTTGACCTAGTGTTTTTCTGTTTACTGGTGCAACTATAGAAATATAGCCATTTACGAACCATAATATATCTAATTACTTTTGATTCTATGAAATATATGGTACTGCATAAAGAGCTGTAGTACCTACGCGGTCCACTAGATATAGACGTTAATACCTGAAAATGTTCGCTTAAACTTTACTGTCATTCTCCATCCAATGTGCTGGAGTACAAAGCCAAAACATTGCGTGTCCCTCCAGATGCTTTTTGCCTACAACAGACTACAGTAAAACAATTTATCCCGAGACTTACAATACGGCAACGTTCCCCAACTTCTCTGCAAGTTGCAAACCCCGCCCCTCTTTCTCCACACGTCACAACAGTACATCCACACGTAGAAAATGCAATTAACACCTAAATTCTACACGTCAAAACACTACCCTCCATGAACTATTCCCTAGAGCATTTCAAAGTGACTTGCCGGGTCCTCATCGTTATCAATCCTGGCGCAGCAGCCGAAGTCGGCGAGCTTCAAGTGGCCGTGGCGGGTGAGGAGGGCGTTGGCAGGCTTCACGTCCAGGTGGACCAGGTCGTGGGAGTGCAGGTAAGCCAGTCCGCTAGCCAACTCGCTTGTGTACCTGCAGAGCGGGATCATCATCACTTTGCGTCTCACTTTGTATAAATTCTTGTGCCCTTTGCAATACCAATTTGATTACATTAAGACATATGGTAAGGAATCATCACATGCAAAACTATATTTGAGTTAATAGGATCAGCACATTTGGTAATTTTAAAGTCTAATAGTTTTGAAGTCTCCCACACTCAACATATACAATTACAGATTTGGCGCCATTACCACACAAGTATTACATGGTCGCTTATCATCGACCCTTTCATCACTACTAGGCGAGTACCGTTTAATTTCACCTTGCTTTATGATTCATTGTATTTTATTAAAGAAAAAAAACTTGCGACTTGCCTTATTTTTGCCCCTATGGATAGTTCGAGGTCAGATTCGTTGAGGAGTGTGAGGAGGCTGTGAGGCGTGCAGAGCTCGCTCACCACCCAGGCCTACCCAGGCCTACCCCAGCACTCGTCCTCTTCCTCCCCCACACTCTGGCACCCACTGGCGTCCTCCGGGCCAAGGGAAAACATTGACGCCGCCACCTCTCTCGGCACAATTTGTTTCTAAGGAAACAAAAACGGGTTTAATATGAAAACTAATGACAAGAAAAGTGGTTAAGTTTCAGATTCGGCTGTCATACACAACATGCCCAGCGCAACACCTTCCTCAGAAACAACCTTAGTAGACCCGGACATACGCACAACCTCTAACCTGATTGACGACCCACCTGCTCCGTCATTTACACGACTCCTCTCTCCTCCTATACCACTACTCAATCACATAGCTCCGAACTCCATAGCCTATTTAACGCTTCTCCTCATCTTTAGGTGGGGACCTGTTAGCTCCCGTTTATTAGTGACTCGGGGTGATTAGCAAATCCAAGACCACAACTGGTGTGAGCCTCCAGGGCACACCCAACTGAGGGCTGCTATCTCCGTGGGCGCGCCGAAAGACGAAATGTCACAAAAATTCGATTCCTTGCCTCCATTGCTTAGTCTGGTAGTAAAGTTTTAATGCTATGCAGCTGGGTCTAGCCCTGGCACTTTACCTCATCCTGAAAATCCTTCCTCTCACCCCCACTAATTCTTCCCCCTATCCCCCACTTTCCCGCTCACCCATTAGGGTATCTTGACATATGGGCTGTTGTGGGCTCTAAGGGTGAAAGTCGGATATCTTCAGAGTCGATGAGTTCGACAAAAAAAATCGTCTTTTGAAATAGGACTGGCACATTGACATGCTTACAGCTGGCCGGGATATAATTCCAATGTCGTGTACAGGAAGCCTAGCTGTACTTAGGCTTATCGACATTCCCCCAGACAGACTAATGACCTAACCAAGGTTGCAACCCACAACAGCTGCCTAACTCCCGGGTACCTATTTTACTAATTGGTGGACAAACAGGTGAAAGGAAACGTGCTCAACCGTTTCTGTTCTGCCCGGGAATTGAAGCCTGGTCCCTCGGTTGGGAGCCGAGGACATAGACCACTGTGCTACAGGACCAACACAGGATCAGGTAAGTGTTCTGTTATATGACGCTGTAAGCAGGCGATGAGTCACAATAACGTGGCTGAAGTATGTTGACCAGACCACACACTAGAAGTTGAAGAGACGACGACGTTTCGGTCGACTTGATCGACCTGCTCACAATCGACTTGAGAATGGTCCAGGACGGACCGAAACGTCGTCGTCCCTTCAACTTCTAGTGTGTGATCTGGTCAAAATACACGCTGTAACAAGTATAATAGCTTACCATGGGAAAATTTAACCTATAAAGAACAATCACAATGTTTTAGTATTTAACAAGTAAAAATAAAAAATGCCTACTTTTATTTACCTTCTCTTGGCGGTCCTTGAGGTAGGCGGTGGCCCAGGTGATGCAAGCTTCGCCAGTTGTAAGCGTGGGCGTGACGAGGGCGTGTGTGGAGGCCAGGTGGGCGTGAGGAGTGAGCAAGAGGGCGTGGGCTTCTCTGCGGGAGGAGGTCGCTGCTCTCGTACCCCGCAACACCTTGATGGCCACCTTCACACCTTGACCCGTCCATGTGCAGTGTAATATATTTTATCAACCTTGAAATGTCTGTTGAATTGCCAAGTATAATTTCTAAGGCTATTCTTCAACAAATTTAAATTACGTTAGTAAATATTGACTAAAAATGATGGGCGAAATTACCAAAACGACGGGAACCCCATCAGTGTATATAGATTAAATACATTAACAAATCATATTCATTATAACTAGGCACGAAACATTCACAGTCGATTTGTCTGTCATTTAAGTTTGAGACAACTCTTAGTAATATGAGAATAGATGCATGCTCGCGTAAACAAATTGAAACATGCAGAATTAATTTAATGTGCGAACATGTACCGTGACAAACGTGCAGAGTCAAATAATGAGGCGATTTACAAAAACTTAAAACTTTCAACATATACATGATGCCAAACCTCTGTGGCATCCAACTTTTACGGTGCCAAACCCGCCACGTCCCATGACCCTGCCTACTCGAGGAGTGACATCCACCGACTGGCACTCTCTCCGATGGTCGAGGAAGGCGATAACTGACGAGTACCTGAGGGGAAAAGACGAGTTATAAATGTGTTTAACGAGTAAACGTTATGAAGAGACAGACGAAGGAAAAGTTGGAGATGTCGAATATGGAGTTATAACAGGCTGACTGTCGTCGTCCTCCCCCATTCCCCGCCTTGATGTTAATGTCTAGGACAATTAATTTATGCACACTCCAATGCTTATATACTCGTTTCGCTGTTCCAATTTACGATAATGTTTGTGGGGACTTGTATAATTGTTTTCAAGGTAATATTCTGATTTGTACTTTAGCATGGAATTGCATGTTTTTATTTTTTTTGGCGCTAATCCTGCTTTTCGGTTATCAAGCCTCTTCGACTACCAGCATTAGTAGTAGTGAGTGAACTTTATAGCCTTCCTAGCGCCGAGGCTACTATTTCGGTCAAATTCCTCATACTAGTGAAGATTGATTGTTGCAGTCCTGTAGCTAGGGCGAGGGCTGCCTGGGAGCTGTGATGTGGTGATTATGGGGCAGGGGACCCAGGGGCTACACCTGAGGTGGTGAAATACTTTTTATAACGTGTTCATTTATGATCAAGTATAACACGTATGAACACGTAAGTAGACACGTATGAACAATGCATTGCAATGATGTGCATGTTTAAGAGATTGAACAATGGAGATGACGTTACTGTGTTCTGAACGAGAATCTTACCTGGTCGAGTGTAAATTAGAGAGGTGCGTCTTGACCCAGGGATCAAGATGGCCACCGTCGGAGACATGCCAGGAGGCTCTCCTAGAAGCTAAGCCCGGACCAACACTCGTGGGTTGCTCCACCGCCAGGGAACAGCGAGGGGCAGCCCGTAAGCCCACTCTTCCTTCAGTGACTCCAGGCGGGCGGGGCGTTGCCAGGGTATGGTGTTGCAGGTGGTAGAGGGCCGCTATTTTAGGGCTTAACCCCAGACTAGAGGGAGTAGGGTCTAAGGCAGGAGACTTGCAAGATACTGCCAGGGCTAAAGCAAACATTTGATGAGCTTGAGAGAATAAGGTACATAGGTGCATGGTCAATATTATCAATAATAAAACGTGCAGCGATGAAGTAAACCCTGAACCATTACAAAGCATTTTAAAGAAATCCACAATACTATGCTGCACAACGTTCACACCCAAGAGACAACAGTTATATGTCATTTAGTTAAAGTTATATGTAACAAGACGCCACAACTCACAGGTTTCTGGCGAGTTCAGAGCAATACGAGGTACCTCCAAGCGCCTTCCACCGTGATCCACGCTCAGTGCTCTCCCCTTCCTCAAGCCTAGCAACCTATTTCCAGTATCCTCCAGGTCTTCCTCCTTCCCGCCCTCCTGGTCACATGGGTTGAAGTCAAAGTGGGTGTTGGGGGGCGAAAGCTCAAAGCAGGGAGAGAGGTGCTTACAGGTGCTGAAAGGACTCCGTCTTACGCAACTCTCGGTAACCTGGCCATAGAAGGTTGAATGATTAAGTGGATTATTAATTTATTTATGCTATAGCAATGAGGTCCTTAACAGCATGCCCTATAGACAATTCTTAACTATTTTTAAAGTTAGATCTACAATCTATATTCGGGTCCAACCAATCCGGAAGGAAGAGGGTTGTACGGCCCAACAGTGTCACAGAACCCATCCATAGATCGAGAACGTAACACATTTTGTTCCCTATCCTGGGTCAAAGAAGTGATTTTAATAAATTACACTCCTGCCCTGCGGGGTAGTCTACACTGACACTCCTGATAGAAGAAACCTTACTTAGAAACCTTACTTAAAACTTAGTGACCTTAGAAGAAAAAAAGTTCTGATACAAGTAACATTTGACCTGTAATTTGAGTGTCAAGTCGGTCTCCAGTAACTACGATTTGATTTAGAGAATGGCTGTGGGCTTACCGTTAAAAAGGAAGCCAATGTTCTCAAGAGTTCCCACCTGACAACTTTGTAGTCATACACAAAATTGTTATTAAACTGCAAGACTGTTACACTATCTGGAATAGTGACAACCAACAAATACTGGAGAAACTTCTGCATGTACCCAACATTAGCCCTAAAGTGTTACAAAATATTTATAAATATTTCTTGATGAAAGGGTATGGAAAATACTATCAAATATTCAATACTATATATATTCAAAAAAATATTCAAACATACTAATAATAATCAAATTTCAATACTATCTGAAATACTTTCAGGTTCGAACCCTCGTCATGGGCCTTGTGGATTTATTTATTTAATACCATCAAATTTATTAACTTTCTTGCCTAGTTATTTATAAACATTCTGTATCGTGAAATATCTGCACATGTTCGTGTGAGCGAGGACCAAACTTTTTTAAGGAAATACATACAGCAGTGAGGTATCTGCAAGCTAGGGTAAGAACCATACTTAAAAATTCATGTATGCTTGACTGCTAGGGAACACCACTGAACTATTGGATCACCGTTGAGTCTGCCGGTGTGTAAAACAATCTTGAGGACAGCACTAAGGGCTAATGTAGGTGTGTATCTTTCAAATGACAAGTGTAAACATCTGGGCAGATCCAACTTGAAAAGTACATGGTTGGAACCATGCTGATATTGAGCAATTTAACCAAATCAATTTGTTATATATATTTAGGGCACATATACACTTTACCAAGGCCTTAAATACCTAACATTGGTATCTTATTACTCGTCCCTCTGCGAGTGTATGTTCGAAGGCAGTGAAGGCATGTCTCATTCAAGTTAAAACATGCTCGTGAAAATGTTAAGGGACAGAAACGTGGTTAGGTTGCCTGAAAACTTGTGTTAAACGATTGAATTACCAGGGAAGAGCCGAGAAAATCAGCTGCAGGAGAGATGATGTGGGTGCTGCAGGTCCTTCGTCGCAAGGAAGGTGGTGTTGGGATCGTCTCCAACAGGTGGTGAAATGTGTTCCGTCTGTAAGCGTTGGGCGTGAGCTGGTTCCTCGGGCTGACCGGCAGGACATTCTGGGGCTCAGATGCTCGAATGAAACTTTGCGAGGGGGAGGTGGAGTCCCCATCAGGGATGTACAAGGGGACTGGCTTCTTACACTCCAGGTTGGGGCTCCCATGGTGTCCAGCAGCCCCCACTGGCGATCTTAGTACAAGCGAAAAATAATTATTCAACCCTTCACAACGTTAACTCGTACTCTTCATAAGTACTTCGATACAAAAACAATTTATGAACAAGAGTATCAAGTCAATTTATATAGCAAGAAATACAAAACTTCACTGATTTTATATTTTATTTCCCTAACTAAATTAAATTTATAATTTAGGACTTATTATAGTGTCTTGCTTGTATCTGGCGATGTGTATTCAAGTAAAAGGTTAATTTTACTTAGTGTGCCGAATAATATTACTATTTTTTTGGTGGGTGGGAGGGGGGGGGGAAAGTATGGTATTTAGGTCTTAAACCAGGCAAGTTACTCAATCCCATGATTTTCTCTAATGCTGTCCTCCAGTTTAACACATGGGTTTCCCCACCACTGTCGGGGGAACAGTATAAGAATTATATGTCCAATCATTACACCTACTGTAACCAGAGTTGTGGGGCTAGGGAGGCAAGGGAAGGGAGGGGAGGCTGGCGCGCTAGCCACTACACTATGGTGTACCGGGCTTGCCTTGACTACCATCAATCCCTGGTTGTCACCATCTTAATTACCTGTAATTGACCATCACCTGTGGAATTTTACAGCCGCATAATTTGCAAATGCCTGCGACTATAAATCTTATTTAGGATAAACCTTCACTGGGCTTTTATCCCTTTTACACCCAGCTCTTAACTATCCAAAGCCTAATACTATCTCAGGCTTTCCTGACTGACGGCAGCTCGGTGAATACTAAAAAATAAAAGCTAGCATTCCCTGACATTTGGGATACAACTTAAATCTTTGGTAGCTGCTGTGTTGCAACACTATACAGCAAATAGATAAGAATACACAACTAACTTGCGTAAAAGAAGTGTGCACACAAGTGCTTTCTGTAACTTGGCAAGCTAAAGTTGTGCAGTGCATCCTAATTAATAAGATTAGTACAAGTACGAACATTACCAAGTTCTCGTAATGTCATTCATAATACATGACAAAGGTGAGCAATGGTACTAATACTTTGATAGGTTATGGCGTGAGAGCAACATGGAAGGATTATGTTATGATTATATATATTCTCCATGTGAGGGGGACTGATTAGTGAAACACCTCTGATGCAGCCGCGTGTTTACAATGTCACTTCAGGTGTGACAAGTGGGGAAAGCTAGAACAATGATACTATTAAGGCTCCAGTTGTGAGAGTATTGATAGAAGACTAAGCTGATGCAGGAAATGATAGTTCATGTGCAAGACAATTGCTTGGTGAATGAGCCGCCGTGGGTAGCACTAGTTTTACCACGTTCGTGGAAAACCCCGCTTACTTGGGAGTACCAGGCGAGAGGCTTCGTATTATCATGGCTTCTGCTGATTGATACACAAGGTTAATGTGATATTGTGCATTTAACACACACATACCAGTCTTGCACATACTACTAATATATATTAGTAGTATGTAGTATTAGTAGTATAAAAATTAAAAGGTATAAAAATAAAAGGTATTAGTAGTATAAAATCACGTGGCATGTCGTGCAATATATTGCACGACATGCCACGTGATTTTTCAATGTTATACGTGCAATATTTGAAGATTCAATAACTTAATAATTTTGTCATGGACAGGCAGACTGTATATGTACGCCAATGTACGCCCGTGGCTTGTAAACGTATTTACAAGCCACACGTAAATTAGGCTTATATGGATGTCCTCCCAGGTGGAACTATTAACCCCCAAAGATGCAACCCCCCCCCCCAAGTTGACCAACTCCAGGGTATCTATTTATTCCTAGGTGAACAGTTGCATTAGGTGATAGTAAACATGTCAACCATTTCTATCCCGCCCGGGATTCCCGACTACAAGTTGACAACGAACCAAACTTAGCTCACGCCTAACCATAGAAGAATTGTAACTAGTAACAACTGATATTTAATAACCAGTTAGTGAATATTTACCTTTTGACCTTACGGGCTTACCATAGCCCGTGCTACATGGACACTTCGTTCTGAGTAGCTAAATCTGAAACAACAACAACAACGAATATTTACTAACCGGATCGATTCATCCTGATAATTTAGGCTTGAGGAAAGCCAAGAAGGGTCTAGAGATGTCCTCTTACGGCGAAGATAACTGGCGGACGGCTGTTCTAGCAGCAAATCAGAGGGTCCAACAGAAGCTCTATGATCTGATGTGCATGTAGACTTGCCAGGTAGAAGTTGTACAGGACTGCGAAGCAGATGAAAGCTGGCATGCTTCAAAAATGGAGAGGCAGGGGTGTCGGGCTGAAGGAGAGAAGCAGCGCCCTCACACGCGCTGAAGGAAGCACGCCTGGGAGAGGTTACCACCTCCGGGGGCACACAGGTGGACAGCCGCTTCGCCAGAATACTCATGATACCTACTTGTCTGTCTTCTCAACAGTCTAGAGGGCTGGAGATAATTTCTATTATATAAAATGCATAATTTATTTTTGTATTAATTCTGTCAACGGTCACTACATTTTTTGCCTGTAAATTTAACATGCATTTCGAATTTTCTTTGTACATCATGAGTAAATAATGAAGTTCTGCTTTACGTTTCTCAGATTAATAAGCAACAAGTATTATGGATGGTCACAAGCCTAGAACATACTATTTAACATTGATGTACAATGTTGGTGACCCAATTATGAATGTCACAAGGTTAAGTAAAGAGTTTCTAGTGATGTCTGAGCCCTCCCACAGCTGGTGCTGCAGGGTGTCTGGTGCTTCAGGCTGCTCCTCCACCACCACCACCACTAACTAGTGATCACTTCCACAGCTTAAAGCACAGAGTGTTATCCATGAGAACTACAGTCCTTCGTGCCAGATATTGCACCACGGAAGGGAAGGACTATGACTATGTTGGCCAGGGGGTAGACGGATGTGGACTAGGCTTGGCCAGCCTATTACAACGAATAATTTGCAGTAACGTTTTAAAATATTCTTAATTTAAAAATTAACAAATTACTTAAACCTAAAATTAGACCTATTAAGTTTTCAACAATAAAAACCAACATGCCATTCAACGGAAAAAATAAGCAGTTTTGTTACACAAAATTTACTTATACAATGTAATTATATAGAGAAAATGCAGTTACTAGTGCAAATAACCTTTTAACATTACCTGATGCATACAACGTGTTTACAGTAGACGTCCAACGGACGATACAGCCAAGCCTGTCCCCGCCATAACGGTCGTCACTGGCCACATCACTTCACTGTCCGCTGCCATGTTTATCACCACCACGGAACATTCCTCTTGTCAGACGCACTCCGAAATGACGAGCACTTGAAAATCATCTCCGATACAATCTAACGTAACCTTACTAGTCATAAAGTATATAACTTGCAAAATGTTATTCACAAGAGACCCGTACCCTTTTTGCCAATAAGACGTAAGGAAGACGCACTTGCCTGGACAATGAAAACTGCTGCAATAACATCAGACTGTATACCCAGGTCGGCAACTAACTCATATACAGTAAGTGGGAGCGCGAAATCTTTAACTCTTGAAGTTTGGTTGCTAAATAGTAGATGGCGCTGACGATGACGCTTAACCATATTACATAAACATTTTTTTTGGAGTGGGGGGTGGGATGGAGAAGTCTCTGGCTGGTTTACTAATTACATCAACAATGAACGTATTGATATTAAATATTATGAGAGAAATGAAGGAAGATTGTTTTCGCCACTTTCTTATCAATATAAATCACAAAATAATTCATATTAAAAAATCTTTGATAACATGATTTTGAATTGTATCTTTATATTCTGAGTAGCTGAATCGGGTCTTAATGAGTAGTTGAGCCGGGTCTTGAGTTAGGATGCTACTGGATGAAAGTATTATCAAATTATCAAAGAAAGCTTCAACCATCTTCCTAGACTAAAGAAGGCAAAGAGTTGCCAGTCATATTGAATGTGACTATACAAGTATTAAATGAAACACCATAAATAGCACACCAAGACATTCCACATGAAAGATTTGCTCTATGCAGTGACTCGGCGAGGCAGGCTGAGGCCACTAAGTCAGGGTCAGTAACTTTATGTTCATATATATGAATGAGTTTAGGCGGATATAACTTGGTATTGCCTCGTACGGACCAATAGGCTACTTCAGTTACCTTTATTCTTGTGTTCTTAACAGACGAAGGCAGCAGGGATACAAATTTACTTAGCCTCTGGCTGGCCCAATAAGTGTTGCTTGTTTCTCTTTTACTTGGGCGGAGTATGAGTATTTAGGACTCGTATGGTCGCTTCAGTAAGATTTGTCCCATGAGTTTAACAACTTTTTCTGCTCTGTTGAATCTAAGTTGAAATCTTAATGGGTTTGTAACTCTGCACTGTGATAAATAATGTTCCAATGGTCTGTCGGGCATTTCTCCACAGTGCTGACATTTCGTCTCATCTTCCGGAACCTCTAAGCCTATTTCCCATGCACATGGGTATCCAAGCCTGATGTGATATAAGTGTACTTCTGTTGTTCTACTGCCGATTATATATATCAAACATATATGAAACTTTTCTATCAAACTAAGTGATTCATAGTTGGTTCCTAGAAAGATATTGTCATGTATCTGTTGCATTACCATAAAGTCGGACAAAATATATATAATCGGCTATACAACTTTCCTAGTTAATTATTTGATTCTTGCTAAAGTACATAAACTCATATCCACATATTTCCATTTTTGATCACATCTTTAAGGTTTTCCCTGAGAGGGTACTTTCCGGTAGCAGCTCCTTCTGAGGCTAGTTTTATTGGTTACCAGATATATTAGTTTCACGAGCAAAGGAAACCCGATAACTACTGAGAAAAGTTTTATTAATTGTTTATTAATGAATAACAAGGCTATATATGTGCCTATCAAATTATTAATTACATCTTGGAATAACGCGATCAGTGTCGATGTTGTGACAACAAATTAATTTGCATTATCATTTGCTGATGGGATATTTAAAAAATTACGTGAAAGACTTAAAAAAAAACTCCCCAGGGAGGTGACAGTCTTGCGTGGCCAACCAGTCCAGCAACTATTGGGCTCTACACAGGCAGCGTCGGTGGTACTCGTACATGCCCATGGAACAGTGGAAGTACTGACGACCATAGGATTCCTCGTCGTTTGCCATGGTAACGTCGTCGAGGAACGCCGTCATTCCCATCTCGTGTGGGTGACCTTGACCCCACATGTTGCTCTGCAGGGATAGAGGCGTTCCATCCAGCGACTGCCATGCTCCGTCAACTTTGCTAACGCCAATCCACATGTAGGGGTAGGGATCATAGTTGGCGGCTGCAGAAAAGCATGAGTGATATCAATAATTAGTATAAAAAAGTACCATTGTTGATAGCGAAGAGATGCTAAACTTAACTTTCTTGACACATTTACGAACAATATTTCACCTTAACTTACTTTCTGTGAGCCAGGCGATTGAGAAGGCTTCCAGTTGCTCAGCATTGTCGAAGGTGGCGAGGTCGACGCTCCAAGCATCGAAGGCCAGTCCCTGGCAGAGGGTGCGACACTCACTCCACGTTATGTTTGAACCCGGTTCGTCGATGACAGCGTAGCAATTAGTGCCGGCCTCGAAGAATTCACTGGGGCACTGACTCGCTGACACAACCACAAATATACTATTACATAATGCAAATAATGAGTCGTAATAATGTGGCTGAAACAAATAACAGAACCCACACGTGTGAAATTAAAATTATTGGGCATACCTTGTTTACCTTTGAAAGAAGGAGACTAAAGAAGGGTGTAATAAATTAAATAAGAATTAAGTTTTAAATATATCAATACAAATAGAACACCCAGCAATGGATTTATAATAAGAAAATAACCCAGCCCACACATATGAAATGATATGAAAGTGATGACGTCGTGACAAGGAAGAGTGGGGGAGTGTCAGTATAAGGCAAGAAGGAAGGTGAAGGGAAAGAAAGTGAGGAAGGGGAAAGTGGAGAAGAATGAAACCTGAGGTAACATTCTGAGGAATAAACGTCATTACAGAAAATCTAATGGCAGCTTAGCAAAGTAAGCAGAAACGGAGACATGCTAGAAGGAAAAAAGTGAAAATGACGTCAGAGAATTAAAATTAAGACAAAGAGATGGAAACAAAAAGAAAAAAAGGCGAGCATATAGGGGTAAACAGGTAAGTCAGATCGTGCTTGCTAAGAAGATTAGAACATTATCAATGTAGTGAAAAAGGGAAGAGTCAACAGTTTTGTTTAGCCCCTGTTGTGTATGACAGCCGGTTCAACAAGACACCGTCTGTGGAGCGTAGAGGCAGGAATGATTAATTTAGAAGATCAATCTATAGAGCAGTTTTACATCAAGAAGACGAAGGGGGGGGGGGTGTTAGTGAGGATTGTTAAAGTTCAGATATGAAAGGAAGGCAAAGCACAGGTCTTCTAGTGCTGGAAACAGGTTTAGGATGAAATAAATTTCTTGTAGCTTGGGAGTATACACAGTTTATCAGATTTAGGAGATAGCCAAGGAAAGAGATTTGTAAAAAAAAAGAGAAATTTCCGAATCAAGAAATTGTGATGTAGATGCATACGGCCTGGAGGAAAATAAGGCCAAAAATACTTGTTCCAGGAAGGCAACGAAATAAATGAATGTACTGTACAGACCCATGTGCATAGACTTGCAATAGTTATAGAATGAGAAGCTTGATGGTTTTAAATTATGAAGCTGATATTTTAAATTGTTAAATTTCAACATTATTTTAAATTTTATGGAAATAACCAGACTGTTAAGAGTACAGATATTGAGAAAACCATAGGAACCGTGATGACGATTCGAACCTATGCTGTGGGTAGTTCCACGTACACGCCCCAGACAATCTGACCACGACATGGTCAAGGCTTGCAACCTGAAGTTCTGATGAACACACGAGGCTTTCCTGAGGCTTCCACTGAAGCTGGTCCAGGATTTTCACACAATCCCCTTATGTACTCTGGCTGTCATCTAGGAATATTCTACCTCAGATGCTCGTGTGATACTCTCGTGTGTTCAGAAGAACTCCAGATTGCAATACTTGACCATGTGGCCAGATTGTCTGGGGCGTGTGCGTGGGACTACCCACCGCATAGGTTCGAATCCTCATCACGGCTCCTACGGATTTTCTCATTGATACATCACGTTAGTGCGATTACTCTGTGTAGTGGAGATATTAATAATATAATGAATATCACCGAATGAATGATAAATGGTTTTGAGTTATTTATTATTTGCTTTCGGCCAATCAACCTCTGGAGGGATATGAAGGCTACACACGTACTCATTGACTAACTACAAGTATACTTTAGTCCTAGACGTATCTCGGAATTAACGTAAACTCTCAATGTATACACACCGAAAAGCTTGGTACATTTCTCAGAGTATATATCCCCTTTGTTATTCTCTATAAGCAAAATGTACTGTTGTCAACCAAAATAACAGCGGTAACTGGACTCACCGGCCAAAGCCAGAGCTGAAGCGAGGATGACCTGTGTTAGGAGCGACATGGTGCTGACTGTGGGGAGCTGGAGACCCACTGCCCATTATATACCTCCACCCTCTCACCACAGTTTCCTGAAACCACCAACATGTGTTATAAATTTTCACTAAAGATAGAAGAAATCTTTGTACCTGAGCTACAAGACTTGCTATTTGTCCTTGAGAAGATAGCCAGCAGTCTCTACGGGGCTCCTAGACGGCTGACTCAGCGTCTTCTGCACGTCTCAAAAGTCGCATGTATGGGAGATTTTTATTTTAATTATTTTGATTAACTTATTATTATTATTGCAATTAGTAGTATTACATTTTTAGTATCATAACTTTATTTTTATTTATTATTATAATTATTATTATTGCAATTATTAGTATTACGTTTTTATTATCATAACATTATTTTTATTTATTTTTATAATTATTATTATTATTGCAATTAGTAGTATTACTTTTTTACTATATATATTATTATTTTTATTTATTATTATTATTATTATTATTATTATTATTATTATCATTATTGGCAGTAGTAGGAGTGGTGGTATAATTATTTACTAGTGTTATTATTGTTCTATTTCCTAAATTGCATTGATAAAACAAAGAGCACATTCAAAAGCAGTCCCAAACAGAATACTAGTTAAATAAATATACAACCAATGACTGAAAGCGTGATTTTATTTGTTAAAGTTCGCTGGTCTAAGATTATCGAGCACTATGATAATGCTAGAGTGATTTATTTAATAAAGTGTAAAATTTACTCTCCTGACTCGTCAACAAGACGAAACAGAGAGCCTGTTCGTCAACAAGACGAGGCAGAGAGCCTGTTCGTCAACAAGACGAGGCAGAGAGCCTGTTCGTCAACAAGACGAGGCAGAGAGCCTGTTCGTCAACAAGACGAGGCAGAGAGCCTGTTCGTCAACAAGACGAGGCAGAGAGCCTGTTCGTCAACAAGACGAGGCAGAGAGCCTGTTCGTCAACAAGACGAGGCAGAGAGCCTATTCGTCAACAAGATAAATTTATTCTGCAATAAAAATGGCTCAGTGATGAGCCTGGGGTTTTGGAAGGTTTATTCAAGAAGTTAAGGCTTCCGTGGGCATATGGTGAGAGGCTCTCATATGACATGATGAAAGGCTGTCATATGACATGATGAGAGGCTCTCATATGACATGATGAGAGGCTTTCATATGACATGATGAGAGGCTCTCATATGACATGATGAGAGGCTCTCATATGACATGATGAGAGGCTCTCATATGCATGATGAGAGGCTCTCATATGACATGATGAGAGGCTCTCATATGACATGATGAGAGGCTCTCATATGACATGATGAGAGGCTCTCATATGACATGATGAGAGGCTGTCATATGGCATGGTGAGAGGCTCTCATATGACATGATGAGAGGTTCTCATATGACATGATGAGAGGCTGTCATATGACATGGTGAGAGGCTCTCATATAAGCAGGATGCTTTCTTTCATGTGATTTCCTTTGCCACTCCTTAAAGAGGATTGACTTACAACGACAACCAACGACTGCTACGAAGTCTAAAATATAGGTTTGAGTGTCCATACAGTGTTAACCAACATATTTATTTTTTTGAGGGGGAGGGGGGTTTGTTATCGACAATAAATCAACGTTATTAACAAGAACGTCGATAACGTTGAGTCAACGCTAACAACAACAACGTCGATAACGTTGAGTCAACATTCCTCGAGTATACCTTGTCCACTGGGAGAGAAATAGGGACGGATAAAGGGATAGAGAATGAAAGAGGGAAGAATGGGAGACTAGGAGGGAAGGAGAGAAACAAATCGACATAGATCGGGGCACCTCTGGGGACCCTATCTAGATTGTATCTATAAAATAGAAAGTCTGTCTGTCTGTATGTTTGTGGAGAGGGGGGGGAGAATGGGATAGATAGCGAAAAAGAGAATCGAGATAGCGAGACCCGGGCACCGCCGGATACCCCATCTAGTCGGTGATAATTAGTATACCGACTGCGCTAACCAGAAAACGTGTGGAAAAAACCCATTAGCGTTTCGTGTGCAGAGGCAGCGTGGAGGGCCGTGGCGGTACTATCAGGGGTACACTCTCAGGGTCAGTCTCCCAGGGTAGACTCTCAGGGCCAGTCTCCCAGGGTCACCTCCCTGACAACTGATCAATCACCCTTGCCCCACCGCATTCTGCATAAGGTTGGCAAATCCTTATATTGTGTATGGCAAACGTGTGTTTTGTGTTTTAGGTACATGGATGAAGCTTCCTCTGAAGTAGGCTTCAAATAGAAAATAAAGAAGCACTCTCAGAGACAGCTTCCAAGACATATCCGTTGTATGAATCAATGGGTTAAGTATTCTCTCAACATATCGATCTTGAATCCAGAATTTAGTTCATCGTTGAATATCTATTATGTTCCAAGTAGGAAAATCATTATTAAGTTCTCCTGAAAACTTTGTAACTTAAGGATGAGTAATTCAGTCGATAACATCATAAAATCCTATTTAGAACTTCGTAAACTTGAGAATGAATTATTCATTTAAAGTGAATAATTTAGGCTTGTTAACTGTTCCAATCCGAACAGGTTATCATGGATTTCGTGCATACCTGAAATTTCTTCAATCTCCCACTGTTTCATGTGAAAATATCTTAACGCGTGACTGTCAACCTATTGTTTATTTAAAAATTTTATTTTTTTCAGTCGAACTGAGTTTACTCTAAACTCTGAGTATCATACAAAAGTTTACACTGATCCTTCATTATAAGTTTACCCTGAGCCACGAGTACGATGCAAATGTTTACCCTGAGCCACGAGTATGATACCTAGGTTTACCCTGAACCATGAAGGTGATACACAAGTTTGGTGCGTGATGCAGTGTGACACTGGCCGCCGTCAACAGGAACATAAGAGTTGAGAGTGATGACACAGGGTAAGTCCGGGTAGCCAGCCATGGTCGTCGCTGGGAACCTCGACACTTGTCCTAGTAACTAGCGTCTTGACAGTGGCGGCGTGGCTCTGGCTCTCACACTAGCAACAACACGCCCCATATTGTAATGGAGATAACAATTACAACGAGAGTACTTGTAATTACAATTATTAATACAAATATTAACAATAATAATTGTATATTATATAAAGCCAATAATTACGCATAGGAGATGTTATAAGGAAGATAATGACTGACAGTATACCTCCGTGAAACGGGAGAATATAGATGAAGAACAGGGAAGTAGCGGACTGGTTATGAAAGTCAAAGTTTGGGTGATTAAACTGATAGATGAATTTTGCAGTGTGGTGCAAGGATAGAAGTATATGTCGTCCTGCCTAATAAGAAGAACCGCTACTCTGCTGGATAGAAACAACTAACATCATGTTGGAAAGAAACACTCGCCATCCTGCTGGATAGGAAGAAATAAATATAAACAAAGCCTTCAAAGCTTGAGAAAGAGCAGCCGTGTGTACAAATAGAATTGATTTAATAAACGAATGAACATAGACTAAACAAGTCAACATATTCCTGCACAATGTACAATAATGAGTGCGTGTAAATGTGGTGTAAACCTAGCGGCTGAACCCGTACACAGATAACGGAAGACAAGTATGGACGGGTTCCCACGGTGACGGCAGTTGCAATCCCAGTGAGAGTGAAGGTGGTGGCGGAGGTTAGCAACAACTATCTTTTTTATATCGTGGAAAATAATGGTATGGGAGTTTAACTATTGTGTTTGTTATAATGCCGGTTTTCCACTCCTTCTTTATGTCTTAATCATTTGCAGTTAATTGTTAGTGTGTTTATACTATTGATAATTTCTTCTTTACTTTTTTCAAACTCGAGAAATGTATTATTTCTTGAGTTTGCTAGAAAGGATTTGCGTAGTAGTTAGTTGCTTCATTTTTATGAGTAACCCCTGAACCTACAATTGTCCCTTTATATAATGTCCTTTGTACACATTCTTATCAACACAATTATTATTATTATTATTATTATATATTCTAGCCTTCTGGGGCGTTATTAGAGTCTGTTAACTCAAATTGAAGCGGTCTACCTGGCTTGAACTCATCAAGCCAGGTAGACCATGAGACAGGCTTGAATAACAATTAAATATCTGAGAGTTGGGTTTTTCTAAGAAAATGACAAGGGTTTAAGGTTAACTCGTACACAAAACGGTTCGACAGCTCGTTTTATGATTGTTAAAAATATATATATTGTTAGGCTAGGCTGAAATTCTTCGTGCACCCTCCCCTCTGTCACTTTGTGGAGAAATGCAAAAAACTTTAAATATTTTTTTAGATAGTTATATCTGGTATAGTTACAGCAAGGGGTGTGTCTGTTATGGTTGCAGCTGGTGAAATATCTATTGTGGTTAAAGGAGATGGAGTATCTATTATGGGTACAGCATCCATTCACCTGATATCATCTAGCAGTTAAATAGTTACCTGGGAGTTAGCTAAGCAACTATTGTGTGTTTCACCCTGGGGAAGGTCAGGTGGTGCTGTAGTGAGGTGGGGGATTTCAAGAAGCCAATGTGCAGGCATCCTGTCCCCGACAGCGGGAGTCAGCCATTCAGCTTTGACGTCTGAACGTATATTATTCACTGAAGCTCATTTTTATATAGTTTTTAAGGTTCCGTGTACTATATATTTACAAACTAAAAATATAATTTGTCGATTAAAAGCTTTATTTTACATGATGCCTTCAATTTAATAAAAATAAATATATACTAAATTTATATTATTACAACACATATACCTCTGGTATTAAAGTATACAAAATTATATTTCCATGGCAATTGATCCCTAGAATAAAATAACAATACATTTGTTAAACTACGTATTTGAATTATAAGTGAGGACATAAAGAAAATGTTTATAATTTTCATTTCATAATTTGTTTATATGTAAATATTCTCAAATTTACTCGGCAAATTTCTTCAGCTGTATTTTCAGCATCGTTTATATGTTCACGGGACTAGCATCCTTCTGCTGCAGCAGCCACGGGGCGCCCCTAGTACCTAGGGTAGAGATCCTTGTCGCAAGCATACGCGCTCCTAGTGTCCTAGGGAGAGGTCCCTGTGACGGCACATGTACCCGGTGAGGGACTCCAGCAGGAACGCCACCAGGGACACGAGGAGCCCGGCCCCCAGCAACAGCCACGCGCCCTGCACCACACATCAGGTGGGGATTATAACAGCCGTTTGCAGGTGGGAGAACAATGTAGTATTGTAGTGCACACGAGCTGACTTGAGAATTCAATCAAAGGAGTTGGGTGAGGGGGAGGAGTGGGTTAGGAGGGGGAGGAGTGGGGTGAGGGAGAGGAGTGGGGTGAGAGGGAGGATTGGAGCGTGGGGGAGTTTAGAGTAAGGCGGATATTCATTGAATATTAAGGAGAGATGGGATTTAGGGATATGGGAGATGTGGTGTGAGGTCAGTGATGAAGGAGAATAGTTGGGAAGGATACAGGTGAGATAAAGATATGGGAATTTAGGTTAAGATAAGAAGTGGTGTGGGGCTGAGAGGTGAGGTGGAGTGAGGGTTGAGGGCAATACCTGGAGGTTGTCAAGGGAGAAGGCCCCACTCCTGGTGTCCTGGTCCTCGTCCGACCCACGATGGCGACTCATGAAGAGGATATCATGGAACCACTTCCGGACCTGTAGAGAAGAGGGCAGGCCGGGCCATGATGCGGTCAATACCTACACGCATACATTCATTCATACACAGATACATAGCACCAACACGGACTTGGAAGACAAAGCGCAAATTGATAGTTGTCTGCAGGTTAAAAAGTGGAGCAAGATGGCTTAGAAAGATAACAACCAGGATAGCCTTCATGAACCTAGACAAAGCAGCAGTCTCCGTGGCGCAGTGGTAAGACACTCGCCTGGCGTTTCGCAAGCGCCTTGCCTTGGGTTCGAATCCTGGCCGGGGAGGATTGACCGGGCGCCAATCCTTAACTGTAGCCTCTGTTCACCCAGCAGTGAATGGGTACCTGGTTGTTAAACGATTCGGCGGGGTCGTATTCCGGGGAAATTAGGGTTAAGGACCTTGCCCGAAACGCTACGCGTAATAGTGGCTTTACAAGAATGTAAACTCCTGTATGTAGAAGCCTTCAGAATGCTATATATAACTAACGTCAAAGTTTTGAGTGGTCAGTACAGGCATGGAATCCACACCTGGGAAAAAATCAAATACAAACAGAGAAAGGCGAGATATGCGACTAGGCTAGTCCCAGAGGTGATGGGACCTCACCTACAGACCTACAGGGTAAGGTTGAGCGAGCTCAAACTCGCCACGTTAGAGGAAATGCAAAGGAAGAGGGAATTGATAACAGCTAACAAGATATTAACGAGAACGTATAGGGTGAACAGAGAGGCAATTCTCAAAATAAGCAACGGTAGGACCAGAGGACGCGGGAGGAAGCTGGAGACACAGGTGAGCGGAAGACACGTCAAGAAAATTTCTTCAGCGTAAGAACACCTATTAAATGCAAAGAGAAATACGACAAGAAATAGGACGAATGAAAGCCATTGCATTAACTGACCAGAAGATGGAAAGGCGAGTCTAGGGTAACTTTCAATCTACTGGAACGGAGAGTTTACCCCTAGCCTCGCCTTTAAATAATTCGACCCGATAAACACAACTAGGTGAGCACGTGTATACAGACATGCACACACACATACGTACACACATGCACGTGCAAACTCACCAGACCTGCCTCGACCACTCTGGTGACGATCTTGTCGAAGTTGGGTTTGTATGGTGATCTCTTGGGCATCGCCATCCCTATCCTGAGAGGAAGACGGCTATATGTCATGATGTTACATCATCAGTACATAAAGTTAGCTCACCAGCATATGACATTAGGTCCTAAATATACCTCATCAGTATACAATGATAGGTGATGAGTATTAAATGTCTTAGCGAGGTGTGAGGGAGGAGTGCAGAGGGACCACTCACCTAAAGGGAAGGGACCACTCACCTGAAGGGGAGGGACCACTCACCTGAAGGGGAGGGACCACTCACCTGAAGGGGAGGGACCACTCACCTGAAGGGGAGGTACCACTCACCTGAAGGGGAGGGACCACTCACCTGAAGGGGAGGGACCACTCACCTGAAGGGGAGGGACCACTCACCTGAAGGGGAGGGACCACTCACCTGAAGGGGAGGGACCACTCACCTGAAGGGGAGGGACCACTCACCTGAAGGGGAGGGACCACTCACCTGAAGGGGAGGGACCACTCACCTGAAGGGGAGTGAGCACTCACCTGAAGGGGAGGAAGCACTCCTTCATAACATGAAGGGTCTCCTCGCCGTGCTGGTTGGTGTAGCTGGTAGCGATGGTGTACTCCAGAAACTGGCGGTTCTCCATCAAGGCGTACCTGCCGACCGCCAGACTCTTCATACCACCTTCTACACATATATGTTTAGCGTGCCTGACCATAGCCTTTGTGTTATGTTAATGAATCCATAGGCTTTTTTACACTATCTGTAATTATCCTTTTATGTATTTAAATAGGGTACTATTTAGTGCAGGGTCGGCAACCTACCGGCCGCAGTACCGAAGCGAAATATATTTACTCAGCCCGAGGTGTCAAGAAAATAATTCTGTTGGAGTTGTTCGAATATAAAATAGAAGAAATGCCAGCGGGTATGTTTTTTCTTTTTTTTTTTTAGATCTCTGCAAAAGTTGAGTGAGAGGGAGGAGTGAGGCGTGTGAGGGTTGGATGTGGCAGGAGTGACAGTGAGGGGTGAGAGAGATGGGTGAGAGAGATGGGTGAGGCCGTTGAAGGATGAAATATACGACAAAGCAAGAGCCAAAATGTTGAAAAACTTCCGAGCGTTGACCAGTACCAAATGCCACACCTGAAGGGGACACACCTGTTGTGTCTGTTAATAAATATAAACGTTCTGCAGAATCGATTATTATCATATTCTTATATTGACTTGCTATTCATACGTTACTTCTACAGTTCCCCCCCCCCCTCTGATACAGGCGCTCACTCCTGCTGTGTCTAGGACAAAGCGCTCACGGAACGCCAGGCGAGTGTCATACCACTACACCACGGAGACTGTAGTATCCCCTTTATTATACTCTTATGCAGTCTCGTATGTTCTTATGCTCAGTTGCATCAATTGTCAAAAATAAAGATGTTGCCCTAATTATTGTAAACAATCGTCAACATGTACGTTAATTGGTGAGTGAATAAGAGGGTCAGCAGTACCCACTTGCCCTGGGCGGTGAGAGTGATGCCCTCTTGAGCGTCGCTGACGGGCAGGTAGCGGCGGGCCAGCCTCTGTACCGTCGGGTCCGGGTTCTCCTCCAGCATCTTCTTGAAGGTGAGCCCCGGGGCTCCCCATGCCGGTAGTGATGACCCGGCCAGCTGCAGCATAACCCTTAGCTTACATTTCAGCATAACAACAGCAAACATTATTATGTTTGCTGTGGACATGTAGTTATATGGTAGTCTCGTAGTACCTTGTTCTTGACTCGCTTAGGGATCCCGAGTGGAAGAGACATGGTTAGGCACGTTTCATTTCACCTAATGCCTCTGTTCACCTAGCAGTAAATAGGTACCAGAAAGTTGGGAAATTGTTGTTGGGTTGCATCCTGGGGAGGGTCAGTACACTGACCATACAGGCCTGAAGTACATACGCAGGCTTCCTGTTCCCAACATTAATTATTGTAATAATGTCGAGATAAAGCTAAGGCTTATAATAATAATAATAATAATAATAATAATAATAATAATAATAATAATAATAATAATAATTTTTAATTATCAGGGGAAAGCGCCAAGCCATTACGACTTTATAGCACGTGGAAGGAGGTCAGGAGAAGAATTTGGGATGGGACGGGGGAAAGGAATGGTGCCCAACCACTTGGACGGTCGGGGATTGAACGCCGACTTGCATGAAGCGAGACCGTCGCTCTACGGTCCACCCCAAGTGGTTGGTAATAATAATAATAATAATAATAATAATAATAATAATAATAAAATAATAATAATAATAATAATAATAATAATAATACGCAAGAACATTACACTACCGTCAAAAAATATATCAATGTGAATATCAGTTAGAGCAATGCGGAGAATCGAACCCTGGACCTGAGTACTCCCAAGCCGCACACTTAACCTGTGGACCAGTACATGGCACATGTAAGTTATACAACCTAGGCTTCCCCTGAATCCACAGGTTAACTTGGATTAGGTTGGGTTACGCCAAGTTGGGTTTTAATGCAACAAAAACTCCGTTGGCGAACCACAGAGAGTCAGACGCAAGGAAATGATGACCTGGTTGAGGGTGTTGATGGGCGGCGGCTCCAGGGGGATGGTGAGGAAGGCGGTGAGGGCGGAGCGGTACACCACCGTCACCAGCAGACCGTACCACACCCACATGATGAAGTACCCCCGCGTCACGTCGCTCTCAGGCAACTGCAGCACCAAGCAATGTCCACCCTCTTAGTTATAATGTGGACCATGTTAGTTATAATGTTGGCCATGTTAGTTATAATGTAAGACACTCCGTATCAATCATAACTACATTATATTTATCTACATTATATTTTATATTGATCAATGGTTACCCAGAACCATACACAGTAACACTGAGGATCTACCATTTTCAGCTTAAATTGACACTGACATGATTATATTTATTTAATCTTTACAAAGTTCTCAAAATCTTGCCTTTATATCTGAGGCAAAGACAAGTCATTATTTTTGTTACTTCTTCGTGTCGCAATCTCTGACTTAGCCTCCTATAAATGTTTAAATCATTTTCTTTCTTAAGAAGTCACCAACAGTGACTATTTAAGGCAAAATTCACTGAAGTAAGTCTGGAGTGGGTTCTGGGAGTTCATCTACTTCCCAAACCCGGCCTGAGACCAGGCTTATCTTGTGATAAATTGATTTAAAAGGCTGTTGTTGCTTGGAGAGGCCCGCAGGTACACATATACATTAAAACGCGGCTGTTCCGGCACCTCTCGCGCCCAACGCCTCTGTCCTAAACAGTATCTTAAATTTGTTTTTGCAATAAAAATTGTGATGAGCATGATCCTCTTGCAGGCAGCCCCTGGCCTAACCTTTGGCATCCCCATGCCGAAGAAGATAGCGGTGCCGTAGAAGAGGTTGTTACCGAAGTTGGTGGCCCACGTTGTCTCGTCTTGGAGGAAGTAGTGGGCGAGGCGGGACGCGAGGTACAGGAGCGGCGTCCCCGCCATCAGGAACGCCAGGGTAAGCCACCACACCTGTCAAGGAACAACACACGAGCTATATCTCTCTGGACATACTCGGAATCAAATTTAATAACAGCAACTAATGGCTAGATTTATTTTACCTTAATTGGCATACTTTATTCTCAATTCAGAAAAAATCTGGCACCCAGTTGGTATAACTAAAGTGGATTCTGAATACGGCTAGGCATTTTTTTTATTGATAAAGAATAAAAAGTATTACAGGTGTTCCAAAACTTTATCACGTCCATTATTGTAATTATCACATTATTATAAAAAATCTCTTTAGAGCAGTAATAAAGTTTCTAATAAGTTTGATAACTTTTACACATTCCATTTGTGGTTTGGGGGTTTATGTTTTGTTACTGAGATTATGCTAGTAACATTGTCACTGGTAACATGGACTGCTTTCCTAACCACATCTATCAACAGTGCAGTAGTGACAATGAGCAAAATTTTGTTCTTTATGAATTCTTGCAACCTACAAGAAAATATTTATGAAATTATATCTTCATAAAAGCACATATTAAAAATTAAATTTAAATTGATTTAGCAGCTAATGGGATAGGTTGCTGATACCTCCATAGCTAAACGCGTATGTTGTTTGTTGTTGTTATAGATTCAGCTACTCGGAACAAGTTCCAAGTAACATGGGCTATGGTGAGCCCGTAGCTTACCTGGCACAGGAGCGGGGCAAGTAGCACGGGCTATGGTGAGCTCGTAGTGGACTTACCTGGCACAGGAGCGGTGCTGTTTGATCTAGTTGCCGTTTTTTTTTTTTTGACGCGTATGTTCTCTTCCACCTTTTTAATACCTGAGAGCTGAAGGGGTAGACAAGGGCGACCCACTGTGGCAGCGGCTTGGGTAAGGGAGTGATGAAACAGCCGAACTCCATATCATAGGGCACCGTCATATCCACCACCTGTTCCCAGATGACCGTCATACACTTAATAGCACATTAACATGTAAGTAAAATATGTAATCAACTTCCGTCGTATGTCTGCGTTTTGTTTTCTTGGAGGCTACAATTAACACCTCACTCTTGACGACACTCTGACAGATGAAGGACCATTATGATCTGCATCTTCAACAACGAAGGGACTAATTATTGTGATTCAAGTTAAGCAACATGAGTCGTCAGACTAGGATGTGAAGCAGCATGGGTCGTCAGACTAGGATGTGAAGCAGCATGAGTCGTCAGACTAGGATGTGAAGCAGCATGGGTCGCCAGACTAGGGTGTGAAGCAGCATGGGTCGTCAGACTAGGATGTGAAGCAGCATGAGTCGTCAGACTAGGATGTGAAGCAGCATGGGTCGCCAGACTAGGGTGTGAAGCAGCATGGGTCGTCAGACTAGGATGTGAAGCAGCATAAGGTCGTCAGACAAAGCTGACTGGTCATATATCACAAACAACAACATATAGTCTCCGGACAAATAATGGCCAACCATTATGCTTAAGGCCTGCATGGGGATTTGTATTTAAGAGCAGGTAGTTAAAATGGACCTTCAACTGTTCAAAATGCATGAGCTTCAGACTGATATACATACTTCAGACATGGTATGGTAAAAAAAATGCCTTTGAAAAGATCAGTCAGTAAGATGCTCCTCTGACTAAGCGTTTCCATGCATAATTTGCACAGTTTATGCTTAAATCTATTCATAGTTCGTATCAATATAATAATTCATCTTCAAAACAAATCATAGTGTAAAATATAATACGGTTTGAACACAAAAATTTATTAAATTACCTTTTCGCATTATATATGCTATTATATATTCTAGATAGAATAAATTTTGAATTATTCTATCTAAAACAAACCATTTCATTATATTAAGAAATAATTTACCAGTGCTAAAGACTATCTGGACGCCTAACAACGTGAAGCTGTTGAAACGTTCCTTGAACCCTAAGGCAATAGAAGAACAAGCAGTAAAGTGGTAGACACTCCATCTATGAGCAAAAATTCAAAGGCTTACCACTTTTCTTCTATTTTAAAAGCCTACTGTCAATAAGCAAGAAAGGTAGAAGTTAATAAATATATTATAGGTACATCAATATAAAAAATTATTCATCTTCGAGACTAAAGAAGTGGTGGTTAATTATTGTATAACCTGCCCACCTTTGACCTGAATGGTGAAATTTAGGCCAATTGGCAAGCGTTTGAAACGTTCCATCAACAAAGCCGGCGTCTGCCTAAGGGCTTCATCCTACACCATCAAAGGGCGCGTGTTTGCAGTACTAACCTCAAGATAATGAATGTGAATGAAGAGGTTGGCGACACCCATGTGTGCTCTGTGCTGGGTTAGGTCCCCCGTGAGCCCTGACCAGGAACCATTGGCCAGGGGCGAGCCCCACTTGTCTCCATCCGAAGGATTCACGATCTTCAGACGGAAGTTGAGAGCGTCAGCCAGGATGTGCAGGAGACGAATGTCGATTCCTGAGGCGATAATAGTCATGTTAGAGATAACCTCCTACAGACAACACTGATTTTATTGGACGTATTACAGTAACACCTTACACTTACTGCAGACAATACGTTATTAGACGCACTGTATACAACACGTTATTAAACGTAGTTCATACACGTTATAAGTTTATTAGACATACTACAGACAACATATTACTTTATTAGAGTTTTACTTAAACTCCGCCATTATGGAGTCCGAGGCCATGCCCTGAACTATACCCGATCCTATCTTAGTGACAGACACCAATATGTAGCCATCAATGATAAAACCTCTCCAACTCTACCACTAACCGTAGGGGTGCCACAGGGCAGCATCCTAGGACCTCTCCTATTTCTTATATACATCAATGATCTGCCTAATATCTCTAACATTCTTAGACCTATATTATTTGCTGACGATACTACCCTCATCTACTCAGACCCCAACCCATACACACTAAATAATGTTTAAACAATGAACTAAAAAAAGTTCACTTATGGATGTCAACCAACAAACTCACACTAAACATAAAAAAAACCTACTACATCTTATTTAGAAGCAAATCAACAAATGCAATTCAGCTTCAGATAGACAATGTTGACATCAGCAATAAAAATTATGGAAAGTTCCTTGGCCTATACTTAGACAAGAGACTCAACTTCAGCACCCACATACAACACATAACCAAGAAAGTCTCAAAAACGGTTGGTATACTCTCTAAAATCAGATATTATGTTCCAAACTCTGCTCTCCTCTCACTATACTATGCACTAATCCATTCCTATCTTACATATGGTATCTGTGCATGGAGCTCAACCTTTGCAAACCACCTCAAGCCTATCATCACCCAGCAAAAATCTGCTATCAGAACAATAACAAACTCGGCTTTTAGACAACACTCAGACCCCCCCCCCTGTTTAAATCTCTAAACATGCCTTATGTTTATGCCTTAAATCCCTTAAACATATCTTATGACTTTATCAGACATACTTCAGACACACCGTACTCATCTAGTTGTGCTTGCGGGGGTTGAGTTCTGGCTCTTTGGTCCCGCCTTTCAACTGTCAATCAACTGGTGAACTGTATTCATGACTTTATGACTTATGACCGTTATGACATTATTTAAGGTAATGTACACAACACGTTTATTTGTATAACCTTGTTGTAGGTACTGTACACAACACGGCCACCACAGCCATAACTCAGCCACCCAACTGTGATAAAGCTACGTCTAAAGTAACACGGGAATACAGTGTAGCCACTTTACACCAGCCTTGTGTCTGGGAGGACCTAGCCCTCAGACACCATCTGTCAACACTGTGGCATCTCCTACTTGTTCAGTGATTAAAATTATAATAATTTTAGATGATTATGATGAATTTGTTATTTTATATAGTGGACCTACCGTCATAGTGGTAGACGCCCGAGGCCTCCTGAATCTGCACTATGGAGGGAGCGTGCTCGAAGGTCACCGCCCGCAGCTCGTTGCCGTGGAAGTTGTTCAGCTTGTCGGGGAAGAGGTGGGAGGGACGCTGAGTTGATTCCCGCTGCCAGCGCCCTGCCAGGTACACGACCTCCGCCACGTCCTTCCGGAACACCTGGTGGCTCCAGAGGTGGTAGTCTGTGCCGCGCCTCTTGTCACTCTCCTGCCAGGGGTAAGCAAGGGTGACTCACTACACAGTCACTAGTCATGAGTCGCGTGTGAGTGTTGAAGGCAGTTATCCCTGTTCCTACATCGCCATGCAAAATAATTTTGTTATGGTTGGACTCTAGAACGGTTATTTTTCTTAAGCAGCCATATGTTGATTCCCATCACGAATAACTTACCACGTCGTGTCTGTCGACCGAAGGTTATTGCACATTCAACGTATATATATGATATTGGTAGTTGTGTGGAAGATGTGGCCCCAGGGACATACATACACCAAAAGGTGTACCCTGCATGTCGGCGTATACACAGTGAGTTTACTTTAGTCATGAAGTATGTTTACGATTTAATTATTGTTGCTGATTGGTCATTAAGCTATTACCACGGCCTTAAATGTTCTCCAGAGGTTGATTGGCTTTAATTCCAACACCAACTATCCTGTGGCCTATTGGTCCATACGAGGCAACTCCTATATACTCCAAACTAAACTCATTTATATATGTCTAACCTACCCTTGAAGCAATCTTGGCTCGAAGGTAACTTAAAAGTTACCTATTAGATTAATTTGTAAGTGTGTAGTAAAACCTAATTTTAACTGCTCTCTCTTCACCGCTCTAACATGTTCAACTTTTCTCATGAGAGATGAACAAAGTTATCTCTAGTATGTGTACAAAATATAAAAAGTTCAAACTCAACCATAAATATTAATTTTTAGTTATTGTGACATGCGTGATATAATTATTTTTATCGTGAGCTTGGATCTTAGACAAAAATATATGTATGGTCTCAAATATGATAAATTAGAAGTATGTTTGATATATTCCTTGGTATATCAAACAGATATATCAAGGCCAAGATACTCCTTTGTCAATATGATAGAATATTAATTAACCCATTTATAAATAGAGATCTTAAATTAAATCAGCTTTAATTTTATATAATATTTTTAGCTGATCTGAAACTTAGCATTATGTATCAGTCAGGGTACTGCCGTTGGTGCAGTGAACACGTGTTTCCTCTACCAGAAAGTTGTGTGAGTCCACTAACTTTGTCGACCTTGGTAACGACGAGAGCGTGGGGTCGCCAAGCCATGACCTCGTTGTCCAGTATGACCTTGGCTGCCCTGCACGCCGAACCCGTCACGAATATGAAGCGACCAAGGTAGCTGAGCGTAGTGTGGAACTCTGCTGACAACACCAGAGACAACAGACCTTCATGCTGAGGAAGAGAGATACCATGAGATAGATTTTGTCCCTGTGGTTAGTGAAGAGAAACGCGTACGTATTGTTCCTGCCCCAGTGCTATGAGACACATTGAGAGATAATTCTTCTCTTTCGTTTTGAGGCGACTCAATGAGATAATTTATGTTCTCAGGCTGGAAAAAATAAAGAAATAGTTCCAGTCATCGGACTTATGTTAAAAATGGTAAGACCTTGCCCTTATGTTGAAGTTTAGACATAATAACAGTTCGTGCCCTCAAGCTAATGAACAGTATGCGAGATAGTTCCTGCCACAAGGCTGTCACACTACAGCATGGACAACACAGTGAAATTATAACTTTTTAAGATTGACGGATAACATAAAACATAAATATCAACATAAAACATAAATATCAACACAAAACATAAATATCAACACAAAACATAAATATCAACACAAAACATAAATATAAACACAAAACATAAATATCAACACAAAACATAAATATCAACACAGCAACAACAAATATCAACACAGCAACAACAAATGTTAACACAGCAACAACAAATATCAACACAGCAACAACAAATATCAACACAGCAACAACAAATATCAACACAGCAACAATAAATATCAACACAGCAACAACAAATATCAACACAGCAACAATAAATATCAACACAGCAACAACAAATATCAACACAGCAACAATAAATATTAACACAGCAACAACAAATATCAACACAGCAACAACAAATATCAACACAGCAACAACAAATATCAACACAGCAACAACAAATGTTAACACAGCAACAACAAATATCAACACAGCAACAACAAATATCAACACAGCAACAACAAATATCAACACAGCAACAACAAATGTTAACACAGCAACAACAAATATCAACACAGCAACAACAAATATCAACACAGCAACAACAAATATCAACACAGCAACAACAAATATCAACACAGCAACAACAAATATCAACACAGCAACAACAAATGTTAACACAGCAACAACAAATATCAATACAGCAACAACAAATATCAACACAATAGCTATCAAAATATTATACACAAATATTAACACTAAAGCTAAAAGCAACACAACAGCACCAACAATTTAAATAGGACATTGCATATAAAAATAAACACCCAAACCAAGTTGCTTTAATTTCCAAGGAAATTAACAGTAAAGTAAGAGGTGATACAACTGAAGATAGGATAGTACACATTTACTAAGAATGATAAGGAAGTATATGAGAAACAAACTCAACAGGAGATTCCAGGAATCAAACAAGATAGACCCCTTAATCGTGCCGCGTGAACGATATGAACGCAGTGAACAAATATAATGGGCATAGAAGTGGTGTAAATAGAATATACTCTCAGCTTTAATTATAAACATGACAGAGCCCAACAGCAGCTGATCAGCCGTAAATACAACTATATTTGATGTAGTTGATTAGGTGAGTAAATATACTTTAAATGTTGTTGTTGTTATAGATTCAGCTACTCGGAACAAGCTCCAAGTAGCACGGGCTATGGTGAGCCCGTAACTTACCTGGCACAGGAGCGGGGCAAGTAGAACGGGCTATGGTGAGCCCGTAGTGGACTTACCTGGCACAGGAGCGGTGCCGTCTGGTGTAGTGTGTGTATACTTACAGATTGATTGATGAAGATTAAGCCACCTAAAAGGTGGCACGGCCATGAATAGCCCGTAAGTGGTGGCCTTTTTGGGCCATTACCAGTATCAAGAGCTGATACTGGAGATCTGTGGAGGTGCGACTGCACCCCTGCGTGACGGGAGATGTCTCCCGTGTATACTTACATCCTGCGAGAGGATTATATAGGCAGAGCAGGTGGTGAGGAGCGGGATCTTGGTACCCGCGGGTAGTCTGAGGCCTCCGTCAGGAGACCTCACCAGAGCGAACACCGTTATTGGTTGATGAACCACATGAAGTATGCCTTCTACATCTCCAGAGTCATCTCTGGAGTCGTAGAACAGAGCCATACCACAATTCTTCAGGAAGCTGGGAAAAGCAGTATTGTTGTTCGTTAAGAGTGGTGAGGCTCTACATGGTTTCATCGAAGGATGAGATAAATTGTATTTAAAATACTTATAAACAGATCTTCGTAACCTCCGGAAGAGAAGGTTTATACTTTTTCTAAAACATTTAAGTGAAATTATAACTTTTTAAGATTGATGGATAATACTTTTTTTGAGTGGAGAGGTAGGAGCAAGTTAAATGTGTGCATCTGAGGTCAACAATTTACGAGATAATTAAGATATACAAGTAATGAGGCTACATTCATCAAAGTAGGATCACCCACCATTTTACACCATGGCGGGTGATCCCACTTTGATGCATAGGTGGTTCCAAAGGATTGTCATAGCCAGGGGGTGGTAATGGGGAACGAGCTCCCATTACCTATAAAATGTTCCCGTACGGCGTGCGTCTCCAATAACCTCTGTCAACCAAGTCCAACTCCTGGCCGCCTGCACGGGTGAAAAAAAACGAATGTCGCTCATACTCACCTCTGCACCACATACTGAATGATGAGTGGGAGGGTGCCAGGCTGCGAGCCGGTGTCCTCCAGAACCCAGCGGGGGAGCGGTGGTGGAGCAGCCTGGACCCGCACGCCCACCACCACAACCCTACAGTACACGAATGCACACGAATTATCAAATATTACGTCACAGCAGATTATAATATCAATACTCTTCTTTCCAACTATAAGGATTGAACCCTAGACCTTAGTGATAAGCATGCAGATACTGTAGTTTATTTAGTTAATTTATAATGCATCTTACATTCCAATCCTGTGAGTGGTAATGAAAAAATGGATATAGAGTCAAAAAATGGGATAAGCAAATTAACTGCAAAATTAGCTTAACTAAGCAAGTTACATCCATTGTTTATGAGGGTGCAGCCTGTTCTCAGAAATACAAAATGCTCGTTACTCCGGCCGCCAAACCACGTTTATGAACGAAAAACACTTTACACATGACTGCAACGATACATTGGAATTGCTGAAGTCGTCTTTGGGATCGACCGCTGCATGGACGATCCATAATCTGAGGACGGGATGCGCCACCTACTACAAAAACCAATAAAAACCAATAGCTTTAGTGGTAATCTATCGTTCAAGAAATGTTGAATCAAGCTGAGCGATGCAACTTACAATACGGTGGAAAACCAAACCATCTGCGGGGAAGTGTAGGCTAATGATCGTCTCAGGTCTTCAACAGCCATTTATATAAGGCTACGAATCAATAATTAAGGTCACAAGTCCTCTGATACATCAAAGATTTCTTGCTTCACAAAAACATCTATTAACAGAAGTTTTCAGTTCATTATCACACCCAATTTCTAGAGTTGGGTGGTAACCACCGGGCAAGTCGAGCCGGGGGCTCTCCACTGCTGCATTTCTTGGCCTGTATTTATATTGGGCGAGTGGTTGTTTGCCACGGACTGGGTGATGTTGGCCCAGTATGGGGACCTGAGTGACGCCGCTGAGGAGGAAGGAGTCGGCTGGGCTGGTTTTTACCTGTAGTATTTATTTATATACAAGAAATTACATTGGGGTTAACGGAGAACATAGAAATTAAGTTGATTTTACATTCTTGTAAAGCCACTAGCACACATAGCGTTTCGGGCAAAAGTATGTTCAAAAGGCAGTAGATATTCGGGTGACTATGTATCTCGGGGTGATCAGAAACACTGATGGTAGGTGAAATTGTACGATTTGGTCATTTACGTCGACAGAGTGGTGGTGAGGTTCTCCACTAGTGACGGCGGGATGATGGACATGTCGACTCCTCACCTAGAGTTGTGACACATTGTTTAAGTTGACAACCTTTAGGTACTTTCAAGACGTCTTTCCTTAGATGTCTTAGGTAAAAGTCAAAGCAAAGTTTGAGGTGAATAATAGCTACTTTCTATACTTTAGAGCCACTATGATCTATCTCCTTATCTAGAGGTTATCTTGAAATGATTTCGGGGCTTAGCGTACCCGCGGCCCGGTCCAGGAGTGTTTCAATTCACTCGACACATTGTTTATGCAGTGGTAGATGGATGAAATCCGTTAAATGAGAGGGTAGTGTATGCCAACACCATTAGAAGCTTCAAAACTTTATACAGCAAATATTAAAGAAAAATGGGACATAACAGGCTTAGTTTTCATTCTGTAACTACAGTTAAATAATTGCATACAAAAAAACACTATCTACTCACTAAATACTATTTGGCTATGACAAACACACAGATAAAGGAGCAGAGTAAAACCCAGAAACAAAAGTCCCTACGTTATCTACTCACCTGCTACTGCAGTCAGAAAATAACACTACCCAGGAAAAAATAAATAAATACAGTATGTATTACAGTATTATTCATTACTGATTTGCCAAATAAAAGGAACATTGTTTCCAGTTATCTGGGACAGAAAGCCAGTTAGGCTTATAAAGGTCCCTCTAGGCCAATAAAACAAACCTTCAGCATGATGCAACCCCCAAGAATTGTCAAACTCCCGGGTACCTATTTTACTGCTAGGTGAACAGAGGCATCAGGTGAAAGTAAACTCCTAAACATCTCGTCTTACCCAGGATCATTGGGCTGTGAACTAACTATGCTGAGCATTTGCTATATAGCCTAACAGAGATGTACATGTTTTGAGCACTGTTATGTGACAACTGTCATTCTCAGTTGGTTCGGATCTGCCCATCTACCCTAATGCTGCCCGTCTTTGACAAGTGATACTGCAAGTAAATATAATGTTGCAGAGAATGAGTTGCACCTCACCTGTTGTTGTTTTAGATTCAGCTACTCTGAACAAAAAGTTCCAAGTAGCACGGGCTCTGGTGAGCCTGTAGTGAACTTTCCTGGCACAGGAAAGGGGCTGTAACTGCACCTCACCTGGTCAGTCGCGGTTAAATACTGTTGGGACTGGCCAGTAACTGGTTGGGTGGCAACACGGATGGCTTGCTCTTGACTAGTGGAGATTTCGATAAGCCTAACTGCCTTCCTGAACCTGACAGTTGAATACCATAAATCGGGACCTGTTGCACAGACGTTTACATCCTTGACTCACATTCCAGGGACCCGGGTTCAACCTTCCGGCAGGCAAAAAAGGTTGTACACATTTCTTTTCACATAATGCCTCAGTTCACCTAGCAGTAAATAGATAGGGATTTAGGCAACTGTCATGTAGTGGGTTAAATAAGCATAAGTTCAAGCTTCCTGCCCTAGACAACTGATATTAAAAATATACACACTAAGCCTACATGGGGAGGCTGCTTGCATTTTCCATTTCATGACAATATCTTTATAAATATTGTCATGTCAGGCGACGCTCGCCTGGCGTTCTGCGAGCGCTTTGTCCTGGGTTCGTATCCTGGCCGGGGAGGATTTACTGGGCGCAAATCCTTAACTGTAGCCTCTGTTTAACTCAACAGTAAAATGGGTACTTGGTTGTAAAAACAATTCTTCCCAGGGGTCGTATTCCAGGGACCTGCCCGAAACGCTATGCGTACTAGTGGTTGTACAAGAATGAAACAACTCTTGTATATATCACAAAAAAAAAAAAAAAAAACTAATCCTGCTCACATCCACTCAACTGGCTGACAGCTTTTAGTCATGTGCATGTGTTGCCTTACTGTAAGCAAACTTTGGATACTTGGATGATTTCTGGTAGTACTGTACATCATTTTGAATGAAGTATTTACACATTTCTTGAACACCATCGACGGATTGCCCGAGATGACTTCTAAACACGTATGTGAACAAAAACACATGGCCGGATAACTTTACACAAGATTTGTCTTTCTCAGCTAACAATTAAATATTAACACAAAATCCAAAATACCATGCTTTAAATCAATATTACCTGTCATTTCATGAACTTAAGAACATTATCAGGCCTCTGCCTTTGACCTATCAGGGCTCTCACGGTAATTAAAGATATTGCCATGCTCTCTGAAACCTTTGGAGGATAGATTTAATGGTTTTTGAGAAAAAGGTAGACTTCCAATAATTATAATATTTATAGAAACGATACATACTATGTAAAAATAGTCAAGTGTTTCTTATTTTCTGTGCAGGTTTGTAAAGCTACTAATAAAGCCTGTATCCTCAGGAATTTACTCAAGTTCCGTGGTTATGCTTTCGTACCACTATGGACATCTTCAACAGACCCCAATTTAAAGGTCTTGTGCTAGAAACATTGTGTGTATTAGTGGCTTTGTACATTTCTTACCTACAAACTCTCCACTGTATCATTCATCAAATGTTTGTACTTTTTACATAAATAACATAATATTATTACACACCCGCCATATCTGCTATAATTGTAATGTTCTCTGTGAAATTACTTTACTTTAATGCTTATTAATGTAAGTTGACAGTGAATTAATATATATCTGCTTGGACTCTACTCCTTTAATCATTTGTTATCAATATCTTCAGTGGCCAAAACAGTTTATTAAAGTGAAGACTGTAGTATGTTTTAACTGATTTCTCTCCCATTACAATATTTACTGCATTAACTATATTGTATGATGCAACAAGATTGGTTAAACAAATAAATATCTAAACCCAGTTGATCAGTCATTTGGACAGATCCCAAAGCACTGCCTGTCATTCATAGGTGAACCTCCCCTAGCTGTGTTTAGGTAGGGGAAGCTCCAGTCCCTGGGCCGGATTTATCAAATGGCTACACAAGTAATTTCTGTTCAGGGAATAGTGAGGAAATACGAGAGACTTGGTGAATGGAAAGGTGGGTGTACTGTAATATGAGTAATTTGAAAATAATCACTGATTAATGAGAAATTAAGATTTTTATTTTCTTATTATCATTATTGTTTTGATGTATGTACTGTACATTCATGCTAACTATCTAACAAAGTGATTTGTAATTAACCCATAAACCACTGCAATCCCTTTCAAACTATTGGGTATTTGCCTAGGTGATTTGTTCTGCCCTTGTAATACTGTATTTATAAGTCCAGCCAATTCTGTGTGAATGTCATTTGACACTAGAAACCCCTAGCGATCGTTTGCCATATTGGAAAACAAATCCCAAGAGCCTCAGTTTCTTTCCAGGGCATTGGACAAAATGAACACCATGTCTGATGCATCACAATCCAGCCACTGAATGTTCAGTGTAACCACACTAGAGACCATTGGCAGACCATTAATGCCATGAAAAATGGCAAGCACTTGGAAGAACCTGGAAGATCTTGGTGATGAATATATTACAGGTAGTTAACCTGAATATTATTCCTAAGAATATGAAATAAACTGCTCTAACAGCAAGAAAAGTGTGACTGAGGAGTGGAGGTGTAGCTGCTGACTAACATGATGATGCACTCACAGCACTCAAATTTTGAGATCCAAAATGACACATTTGTTGCAACATCAGAGTCTGGTGAAAATGTGGTGGGAAAGTGATCATTATAGTGGAGACTATATGCTGGTGTTCATAGTCCAAGGTAAAACCAGCTTCATTGCAATAAATTGTATGTTGTCCATTGCAGAAAATTTGCTTCCACAATTAATAATGTGAAAATAAGTGATAGTGTTTTGTACTAATTGTAGTACTAGTGATCATCATTGAGCACTGATCATTGTGCAGGCTCTATATCATGATCATGAAGGAGAGAATGTGTCAAGTAGAACAAATTTTATGCCACAAGAAACAAATTTTGATGGAGAAAAAGTTAGTTTGTTTTATTGAGCATGGAATCCTGAATAATATCCATCATAAGTGAAACAATCTTCTATACCAGTAAGGGAAATCAGATTGTATTGAGTAACCCTCACTACCCCAAATTTGTGGCATGATGCATATACTCATGCAATAGAAGTGATGTAGTCGTGTGCTCTACACCATTTCACTGTTCATCACTCTCCAGAACTTTTAAAAACGCCAAATCACTCACATCCACATATATATATTAGCATGTAAAATGTGTGTTAAGTGCAGTTGTAAGAAATAAGCTCATATAAATATGGATCTAAATAAATATAGGGTGTGCATATAGTGATATGTAGACAGTATATCTGTACATACATGTTTCACATTATATGATACATTGAAACCATTAGTGATATTCCAATATTTCATTTGATCACAAAGTAAATAAAGAAATAAATAAGAAAATAAAATGGAGAGAGATTGTTGCTCTGCACCTCACCGCCAATAACTATGCTACCCCCAGCTACCAAAACTAACCAAATTTACAACTCCAGCACAACTAAACAAATGGCCTCTAGAGAACTTATTTTATGGCACAGTATTTGTGCTTTATGCATATCTGGATATGGGTTCCAGTTTTTCTACTCCCTGAGCCCAATCCTCTACCTGTGATAACTTAGTCCAACAGGCGGTTAAGCAGGTGCTCCAAGCCGGTGCTAACATTACAGCTCACTAATGGTATGTACAGTAGTCAGAAATGCCCCCCATGGCCATTTAGAATAGGCATGGGCCAGTAGTTAGAAATGCCCAGAGTGGATGTGAAATGTAGTGAATAACACATCCACTACAACATGGTTGGTTCAGCACTTCTTGCACGAAGCTATCAATTGCTTTTTGAACAAGTCCACCTTTGTTCCAGCAATATTTTTAATGCTTGCTGGGAGAGTATTGAACAGCCATGTACCTCTGATGTTCATGCAGTGCTCTCTGATTGTGCCTATGGCACCTCTAGACCTCTCGGGTTCTATTCTGAATTTTCTTCCATATCCTTCACTTTAGCAAGTCCTTATTCTGCAGTAAAACTTTGCAACCTGTCCACGTATCTTTCGTATAAATATTATGACATCTCTCGTCTCGTTTCCAGAGAGTACATTTTGAGGGAAGATGGTCCCAATAATTTAGGTGCATTATCATGTGTATGCATGCAGAATATGTTTTCTGTAATCCCTCTATTTCAGAAATCTCTCCTGCCCTAAAATTAACTCAATTCCAAGGTAGCGAATACCAAGCGGTCCTCAAGACAGGACAGTTAGTTAACAACACAGTAATTGTAAGAAAAAAATAATATGGGGGATTTATATTATTTACATATACTGTACTGTGCAAGGGAAAAGGTATTCAATATTGGCATATAGTCTGAGGGTTAATTAGAGTTGTGGAATATTTACTGGAAATAGTATTGATAAATTGACAAAATATTAGTTTGTTCCCAATGAGCAACTAAAGAAAAATTTCTTTGATAATTACTTTAGACTACAATAGGTGTAAATATTAGGTGTGATTTAAGAAATTTCCAGAATGATGGACCAGAGGTTTATCAAAAGGCTACTGATGCATGTTAATGTTTATTTTAGAAAATTATGATGTTTTACACACTTTTTTCTTTGCTTCTACTACAAAGTATACTGGCGATAAATCTTTAGGGGCACATCCATAATATTACTACAGTATATTAGAACTACAAGTGGGACCATTGAGTGACATCAAAGGAAGTCAGCTTAATACTTTAAGGAGTGAGCCAACAGTGACCAGAGAAAGTGTGTACACCTAATGACAGCATCTGGTCGACCTACAATGAGGTTAAGGTGATATGGCTCCGAAGATAGGTGATGTACCATGCCTTAATGACTAATACTCACTAGGGACACTAAGACTGATCAGGCGACTTCCACAGTTGGTAATAATTGAGGGTACTCTGGTGAACGCATTAAACTGAAATGGAGTAGGTCCAAAGTAAATAAATAAAAGCCTCACAGTTCATTAAAGACTACAGGAGCTCAGCTGGAGAGACCTCCCACTACTAGTGTGATTATCCTTTTAACCAACCCTGTATAACACCAAGTAAATGGTGCCGACCATCTTTTGAATCAGAATTATCTTGGCAAAGCCTATTCTAGTTCATTTTCATTGTAAAGGTAAGAATTACACAGTTGTAGATATGAAACAAAACTTACAAGTACAGTAGAAGTATTTTAATATCTGTATTTAGTAGAATAATCTTTTGGCGACACTACTAAACCTCTTCCTTTTCGTGCTCCACGGTACACTGTCTCCACAATGTCAATCATTTCCTGCTTGTCCTCCAAAGCCCAGTTGATCTTGTTGTTATTACCAGTGCCAAGATCAATCATAATATGCTTGTTCCTGAAGAAAAACATGCATGTGCAGGGGTCATACAGTTCATACATCTTATTAAAATCTGGCACCTTGGTAATATCAACCAAGTATATCACTGCAAAATTTTTCACTTTTTCAGCAATGTTGTATAGAACTTCATCCATCTTCATGCAGGTTGGATCCCAATCGTGGCCAAAGCGGATCACCTGTGAAGAAACCATCATATTATTAATTTGTCAAGCAATTTAAAAAGAAGTCAGAATTAAAAGGTGCATTTTGCTTAAGAATAGAAAGGGCCCATCATTACCACATGTGGAACACACAATTTTAACTGTCAAGCCAAAATAATTTTTACTATGGTGTATACCCCAAGGTTGCCATTTTTAAAATAACACTTTTTGTATTTCCATAAATGCACTTCTCAGCACCCTCTCAGGTGTACAGGGCATGAGCGAGTAGGCTGAACCCCAAGAATTAATGTTCATGATCATTTTACATTCAGCCATTTACTATAGTTGCCCTTGAATTTTTTATTAACTATAAATGTTTGCAAACTATTGCCCGTCCTATATTTCTAAAAAAGAAAAAACACGCATAATAATTTATTTATGAAAAAACAAAGGACAATGTTGCCTGCTGAATTGCAAAGCCAGCCAATACCATTTGCTAAATTTCTTTAACAATTCATATAAACAGTATTAGCTTACTTCTCATATGATATTAAGTATTAAACCAAAACACTTAAAACAATGAGTGAATTGAGCTTTAAGATATGCCTGAAATGCCATGTGACTAGTAGCTTTATAAAATAGACAAATACTGTGTCCATTATTTTCTGAAGCACAGTACAGTATATTATGAGCCGGGGATATAGAGTGCCCCACAGACAGATGTTGGGCACATTTCCTTTGTTTATCTATAGCAGTAAAATTGATACCCGGCAGGAGGTCAGTAGTTGCTCTGAAGACCTCGATAAGCCCTTTAATTGTACAGGTTTCCTGTCCCTGACAACAAGAATTTAAGTAAAAAACAAAATTCTTATTCTTATTAATGATTCACAAGCCCTGAAGCAGTGCTTTAAAATTAGAGCTAACCAGGAAGTTACCTCAAGGCGCCATCGATGGAAGCATTCTTGGAAAGATATGCTTCGAGCGCAAACATCACCTTCGCCAATTAATAAAAGTGGCTAAAAATTTATTAAGCATAGCTCAGCATTATCATAATTATACAGTAGTTTTAACCATTAGACAGTGGCTATAGAGAAACTGTCATACCTGCCTATATACAAAAAATAAAACTGAAAATATCCCCCCTAAAAAAATTATAGAATTATTCATTTGTATACAGAATATGATAAAAACGCTAAGATAAGTGAGCATTTATTGTTTCACTGAGTGGAGTTGCTCTAATTCTGTCTGGCACTTGTCAACGCCTGGTGCTCGATTTGCTGATGCTTCCTGAATTTTTCTCTCACGTTTCACTGTTTGTTTTATCATGTGTTTTTCATTATTTACATCCAGAGAGCTTTTATATCCATATTTACATCACACATGTAAAACCCAGACAACTGTTTGAATAATCTTATGATGATGACTGCATTTCCCAAGTAACATTCATGACAAAAACTGAATTTGTACCATGAAATGGTAACAGAATTTTTTCATGGGTCAAGGTAAACTCCATTACATCCACATAGACCCATTATATCCATATTTGCATCATACATGTAAAACCAGACAATAATTTGTCTAAATCTTCATATGATGATAACTGCATTACGTTGTGAATCAACAATCGATCATAACTGCTGTCTAAGGGTTAGCAATGGTGGAAGTAATTAACCTAAACTTCAAATATTTCAATTAGGCCTCATTCAACTTTTACAAATACTGTACTGAACAGTAAATGGGGGATTTATATTATTTACATATAGTGAACAAGGGAAAAGGTCACTTTTAGTGATGTTAAACATTACATGTTTAACATCACTTATCGTGCACACTTCTATGCAAACGATATAAAAATCTTTATATAACATCAAATCAAATTTGTCAAAAGCTGGTGATAAATGATTTTTTTTTTTTAATAATGAAAATGTAACAATAGCAGAGAATTTAACAATCAGACAACCATCCCAGTTTAGGTATCAGTGAGTTGTTTCTTATGGTTCATGTACAAATCAATATGGTAATGTACCATCAAGCCTAACCTAAGTTTATTAAAATTTAATTGTCTTACTGTAAAGAGCTGGGTTAGAGCTGAAATGAAATGATTCTGGTTGCGAGACCTGGAGGTACAGCATCTTGTGTACCTGAAGCATAGAAAATCCACACTGAAGCTAAAACATTCTCACACCTCTAAAGAATTCAGTTAAAAAGTTAATACCTTATGTCAAAGTAAATATTGTACTGTGATATAATATTTTAAGGACTAATGTATTTTACACCAATATATAGTTTGGCAATTTTACAAGTTAATAGCAAGCTGAGAGCAAATTATGAGGTGAACGTGCTAAGCTAAAATAGCTATAAAGCACTTGGTATAGCACAGAATACTAGGACAGGATAGAAGCTAGGATCGGAAAACGGAGTGAAAGAATGTTGTCCAACTACTTGGACCATTTGGGATCAAATGCTAACCTGCAAGAAGCAAGGCTATTGCCTTGTTTCTTGCAGGTGCCTACAATATACTTTTACTATGTATATATACAATATACTACTTATGCTGCCTACAATATACTTTCACTAATCTGAATGCAGCCATTACTATAATACACACAATGGTATCAAATCCAGAAACATTTAGATCCAGAATTTACAAAACTAACACCATTCCCTCTAACTCAAATTACTTTAGACCCATTTTAACTACAGCAATGTAGAGATTAATTATATAGAAAACAATAAATATTTTATGCAAAAATTTTAATTTTATCTATAAAATGCCAATGACCATCTGTTTATTAAAATTTGTCATTCATAGAATACATATCTCAATGCATCAACACATCCAAGTCAGTCGTTTTGCATTATACAGAAACAATTAGAAGAAGTAAGTGTCCATTAATGCAAAAGCAAAACAGGACAATACACAGTTCTTTAAAAAAAAAAAAAAACTGTTTGAAAGATTGTCTCCATCACCAAAAGGCCTCACCAGTTCCATTCACCTGGGCTGTATGGGTCTCGAACCATGGACCCCACGCGTGAAGGTCCACGGTTTGACCCATACAGCCCAGGTGAATGGAATGGTTATTTCCACAGAAGTGTGGATGACAATTTATATGACGTGGGCATGGGTCATTAATTCCTCTGGGTTTCAGTAGTAGTCAGGGAAAGTCGAAATTTCCAGTTTGGCAGCAGGATGCTGCTTCTGGAAACTTTCCTTTTTAAGACTGCTCATAGCCCATTCCCGATAGTGTGTCGGCCTCACATGTGTGACGTCCACGGTTCGAGACCCATACAGCCCAGGTGAATGGAATGTTTATTTACACGGAAATGTGGATGACAATTGTCCTTGCCAGTGTTTATTAGTTTCTCATTTTTTAATTGAAATTAAAACGAATACATATCAACTTCCTTTAGCTAGTTTATATAGAAAAAACAGAACACACACATAACTTGTCAATAAAAGAAATACAGTACTGTACTGTACATACCATACAGTACTTCCAAAAGCCAGCAAGAAAAATATTTAGCATAGTTTACTTATTCTGGCCCCCATTATCAATTTATTTATGCATTAAGAATTTTCCATTTGATTTAGGTTAATGCCATTATAATCCTAATAATGTCAATTGCCAACAAGTGTAAGCATGTGCTTATGTCTAAAGGATAGTGAGCATAGTATAATGATATTACAATTTTGCAATTAAAAAGTTTGCTCATATTAGCTGTTGGCTTTCGTGTACGTGTTTCGTGTACATAATGGGGCCTCGTAGCCTGGTGGATAGCGCGCAGGACTCGTAATTCTGTGGCGCGGGTTCGATTCCCGCACGAGGCAGAAACAAATGGGCAAAGTTTCTTTCACCCTGAATGCCCCTGTTACCTAGCAGTAAATAGGTACCTGGGAGTTAGTCAGCTGTCACGGGCTGCTTCCTGGGGGTGGAGGCCTGGTCGAGGACCGGGCCGCGGGGACACTAAAGTCCCGAAATCATCTCAAGATAACGGTACATTGAATTTAAATACAGTATAACTACAAATTATTTTTTTATGCTTTTACTGAATCAGTACCAAACAGAATGTACAATCCAATGTCAAAATCTTTATTTCAATGGCAGATTAAGAGGAGGGCAATATGGATGGTAGACCCAGTCAGTGCCCAACAAAGGATCATGATTCTGGCATATACAATATGAAAAAAATAGCATTGGATATAATAAAATTCCCTTTTCTGGTGGACCATTCAGTAGCTCACCAAGCTATAACACACAGCCTACCAAGCATTAGGGATTTGCACCAGGGCTCCCAGGCACAAGCCGAGCCTACTGGAAGTCGGAACCAGAATTTAGCTACAATTTATTTAATATAGATAAAGTAAAAAGTTATGAATGGATGATAAAGTTGTTGATTTAGGACTACAATGGCACAGGGATTTATGAGCTCAACTTGTTCCCTTGTTGGAAAAAATGCTAAACCTTGGGGCTATACATCACCTCAACTTATAGCAATGCCTTGCAGCTATTAATTAACCACACTGCAGCAAATTCAAGACAACCTCGGGTTACACTTGGGGAGATTATCTAACAAAGTAATTACAGTAATAAAAGGTGCTAAAGCCTGAAGACTATTTAGCACTGCCTGTCACAGAACAATAAAACGTTCCTTGATATCATTCAGGATAACGATATGAGAGCAAAAGGATATAAGCAATGTCAAAGGTAACAATTCTTATATTTATTAATTTATATATACAAGAATTCTTACACATTTGTACAGCCACAATCACGCATTGCGTTTCGGGCAGGTCCTTAATCCAAATCTTCCCCGGAATAAAACACGCTAGATCGTTTAACGACTTACAGCAGGGATCTCTTTGTAAACTGTGGCAATAGTAAGAGTATCAAGAAGTGACACCTTTCAACTTACCACTGCTCTGTCCTCCTCGCTGAGTATTGCCTGGTCCACTTGCCACCCATTGTGTAGATGCTGAAGCATGTACGACATCTTGACTTAGCAGGGAGAGCACAAGGTAATCTCAAAAAAACTTTCAGCTCCTCTCTTCTTTATATGTGCAGTGTGCTTGAATGTTTTCCCTCCCGATGATTGCACGAGTGGTGATGTTGGGAGTCACAGTAATGGATCAACGTTTGAAGGTTAGGAAAAGTTTGAATGTTGTTTGTTGTCGTTTCTCTGAGACTTGCTACTGAGCGGTGAGGGACGGATGTTGTGATGATGGCGTCGGATGATCGCTAATTTCTTTGTGGCAAGGTTTACGTTTTCTATGAATGGTTCCCCGGGTTATTTAAATGTATATATTACAATAATAATTATTATGATAATCAGAGCCGGCTTATCGCATAGGTCCTATGGGGCATTTGCCTGGGGTCCCCACAAGCATAGGACATGTTCATTATGGAAGCAGAATGTTTAAATATTTAGGGCTTGTTGCAAGCACACTTGTATTTATTTATTTATTTATTTATATACAAGAAGGTACACTGGGTTTATGAGAGTACATAGCATTGATGCTTTTACATTCTTGTAAAGCCACTAACATGCATAGCGTTTCAAGCAGGTCCTTAATCTAACATATAATTTTAAGTAGGTAATTTCTAGCAAAATTGGAAAATGTTAACAGGTACATTGTAAGAAATTTGAAGAATATTAGTAGTTACACTATAGTAAAATTTGAGGATTATCAACAGGAACATTGTAGTATAATTTGAGGATTATTGCTAGGTATATTGTAGTAAAATCTGCGTTTAATATAACAACCATGATATAAGATGATAGCAGTGATTACAATGGTGACACGGGGGAGACATCTCCCGTCACGCAGGGTGCAGTCGCACCTCCACAGATCTCCGGTATCATCTATTGATACTGGTAATGGCTCAAAAGGGCCACCACTTACGGGCTATTCATGCTCGTGCCACCTTTTGGGTGGCTTAATCTTCATCAATCAATCAATCTACAATGGTGAAGTTGTATTGCTTAGGCACATATATTGCGGTATTGGGTAGCACAAGAAACAGCGCGAGTTATAGCACTAGGTACGAAATTATGAGGATGAAATGAGGTACTTTTTGGTTTTACTTTTGAATACGGCGTAAGTTGGACATTTTTTCAATTTGTTAGGGCGTGAGTTCCATACTCTTTATTTGCAAAGAGTGTTTACGCAGATTTAGTTTTACTATGGGGATTTCTGGTTTGGTGATTATGGGTTCTATTATATCTGTCAAGGAAGAGTTTCATATGAGGATTTGCATTTAGGAACAGGTACGTGTTGCACATGTAAATGGCACAAGAGAATGTGTGGAGTTTATGTTTAACATGCTTAGGGATTTTAACAGAGAGGCTGAGGGATTTTAACCGAGGGGCTGTGGGATTTTAACAGAGGGTTGTGGGATTTTAACAGAGGGGCCGTGGGATTTTAACAGAGGGGGTGAGGGATTTTAACAGAGGGGCTGTGGGATTTTAACCGAGGGGCTGTGGGATTTTAACAGAGGGGCTGTGGGATTTTAACCGAGGGGCTGTGGGATTTTAACAGGGGCTGAGGGATTTTAACCGAGGGGCTGTGGGATTTTAACAGAGGGGCTGAGGGATTTTAACAGAGGGGCTGTGGGATTTTAACAGAGGGCTGTGGGATTTTAACAGAGGGTTGTGGGATTTTAACAGAGGGGCCGTGGGATTTTAACAGAGGGGGTGAGGGATTTTAATAGAGGGGCTGTGGGATTTTAACAGAGGGCTGTGTGTTGTCTGAAAACAGAGTTTGTTATTGTTCTGATTGTAGGTTTTTGCTGGGTGATGATGAGTTTCAGGTAGTTTGCAGTGATTGAATCCTATGCACAGATACCGTATGTAAGATAGGGATAGATTATAGCGAGTAGTATAATGAGAGGATAGCATAGTTTGGAACACAATATCTAATTTCAGAAAATATACCGACCGTTTTTGAGACTTTTCGGTTGTGTTGTATGTAAGTGCTGAAATTGAGTCTCTTGTCTATGTATAGGCCAAGGAACTTTCCGTCATTTCTATTGCTAATGTTAACATTCTCTAACTGAAGCTTACTTAATGAGGAAGAAGAGCATTGACTACTTAATTATAGAATATGTTTAGTTTTATATAGTATTTAATATTTACAATAACAGCAAAACACAATATTGACTTTTTAGGATGAGGAAATGAAGGAAAAGTGTTACATGATGTTAACCCCTTTATTGATGACTGCAGAAGTTCCTCGCATAACCTCTAATCCATTTCAACAAATCTTCCCTGACTCCAAAAAAGCGAGTTGCTCTAGGATGAGTTCCCTATCTGGGTACAACACAAGAATATCTTCCAATATTTGTGAGTGTATTAAGTAATTACAGAGCTCAAAGTACCTCATACCATTTGGTCTGAAATCGCTGATAACAGGGCAATCACATATAGTGTATGTCCTAGCTCTTGTTCACTTAGTTCACAATTGGAATGTTCACCATTGGGGGATTCATTACCTGCAGCCACCTGCCATGACATGAGTTACACTAATTCAAATAAGGAAAAAATAACTGAAGAATGTCAGCAAACCATTTTTCTGAGAGATGTTGTAGATAGCTGGAAAGCACGTCCTGCAAAACGAAATGACGTGTTAAAAAGGTATATAAAATGTATAAGTAAATGTGAAAATATGAAAAGACAGACGTGGATAGTACGCCACTATATTGATTGAATTCTGTATTATAAAACCACAAATTAGGTAGCAATGCGCACACATGCACAAGCATGTGTGCTTGTGCATGTATTCACTAAAAAAAAGTATGAGGTAGGAGAAGGACTGAGAGTGAGGAGTGTTGGTGCAAGCAGCTGGTAGTAGGGTGAACTAGTGTTGATGCTTCACGGTGAGATGGCAGCTTCCAAGCAGAACTTGAGAGTCGCCACTCCACTCTAACCTGATAATCTGATAAAGCAGCTATATAGGGAACTCATCTTATCGTCAGAACTAAACATTTATTTTACCTGAGAGCCACCATATCTAGTGGCCTCGAAGGGGACACGAAGCCGACGACTAGTCAAAGACCCCCATTATTCCTGAGGATATTTTTAAGCTGGATTTTAAACTAACATAACTTCTTGACATTTACAGAAACCCTCAATTTCGACCGAAGAGAGTCATAATATATGAGGTTTATGAAAAGATGCAAGGCGAGCAAAATAAGTTTCAGGGATGGTTGGAGAAATGCCTATAGGCTTCAACCCAGATAACGTTAAGGTTAAGAGACTTGGGGAAAGAGCAAGAAGACCTATTGAACAGCATTAAATGAAAGGATGACGACTTCCTGAAACTGCAAAAGAGAAGAACCTTACATTATAATTCAAGTACATCTAATATCCCGATCTTAAAGGGTCGTACTGCAAAATTAGACTTTGCCTCAACTAGGTCTGGTGATTTTTGTTAGGGTTCTCGGTATATGACTGCCCTCAGGCTATCAATGGTAATACAATTAATTAAATGGTTGCATGTAGTTTAATTAATAATTAAAGTTTAATCATTAATTGGTAGTTATTATGTTAAATTAACTGCATGTGTAGAGGGGGAACTATCAGGAGAAATCACCACCAGGATACTTCCACAGATCTCCGGTATCAGCTATTAATACTGGTAATGGCTCCAAAGTGTCTCCACTTACGGGCTATTCATGCCCGTGCCACCTTTTGGGTGGCTTAATCTTTATCAATCTATCACCAGGATAATGCACGACCAAAGATCACATTCACTCCCCCAAAATCTACCACTTACGAGATATTCGTGTCAGTGCCACCTCTTGGGTGGCTTAATCTTCATCAATCAATCAGGGATAAGGATTTTGCAGTCTCCGTGGTGTAGTGGTAAGACACTCGCCTGGCGTTCCGCGAGCGCTATGTCATGGGTTCGTATCCTGGCCGGGGAGGATTTACTGGGCGCAATTCCTTAACTGTAGCCTCTGTTTAACGCAACAGTAAAATGTGTACTTGGATGAAAAAACGATTCTTCGCGGCAGGGGATCGTATTCCAGGGACCATAGGATTAAGGACTTGCCCGAAACGCTACGCGTACTAGTGGCTGTACAAGAATGTAACAACTCTTGTATATATATATAAAAAAAAAAAAAAAAAAAAAAAAAAAAAAAATTGGGGATGGGACAGGGGGAAGGAATGGTGCCAACTACTTGAACGGTCGGGGATTGAACGCCGACCTGCATGAAGCGAGACCGTCCAGCCTAAGTGGTTGGGCATGGAAGGTCACTGCATGGATGGGGATTTTTTTTTTTTTGCAGGGATATTCCTGTGCGGGCCCTAAGCCTCTGGCTGGCCCACTGTTGCTTGTGTCTGTTTTACTTAGGCGGAGTATGAGTATTTATGACTCGTATGGTCGCTTCAGTAAGATTTTGCCATAAGTGTTTAACAACCTCTTCTGCTCTGTTGAATCTAAGTTGAAATCTTAACGGGTTAGTAACTGTGCACTGTGTTAGATAATGTTCCAGTGGTCTGGCATTTTTCCACAGTGAGATGGAGATAATTGGCCTATAGCTACATAGCCTAAATGAGGCGTTAACATTGCTACTTACAGCAGGGAGATCAAGCTCAATTATTCTGAGATAATAGCTCTTAATTTCTAAAGTAAACAAACACTTCGAGTTTAATATCTGGGGAGTGCTCGGGGGGTGGGGGGGGGAGGGGGCTTGTTGTTGCGCACGTCACGCAACTTCAGCTGATTTGATGCAGTGTGTCGCGATCTAATAAAACTCATGTGTTGCTATGTAATAATCACATTTATATATCATTAGCATATAATTGTATTTTAAAAGTAGAAAGAAACAAATAAATATAAGTAAGAGGTAGAAAGAAAGAGTATGGAATTGAAATTTGGGACTTAAGTTTAGCTTAAGCCAGAGTCAGCTAAGCGTCTGGAGGCACGGTGTGCTTCCCGAGGCCCAGCAGCTGGGCATCAGTGCCAGTGGGTATACACACGGGGTGACAGGTGGTGTGACAGGCGGTGTGTGCTCGCTATCATGACGACGGACAACCTCTCTTTAGTGGTCTATGCCAAAAATGATCTGAGGCTTGTGAGTAACTTTACTTTCTCTTGACGCGAGAATTCATTGAAGGGTTATGGGTGTTCGTCCACAATGTATAGTGTGGCTGTATGTGTCGTACATGTCAAATCACATTAATAGTTGGGTAATAGTAAGTAATAAAGTAATAGTAAACCAGTTATGTTTACATTTCAATGTTTTCAAATTTATATTTAGTCTTTAAAACAACTTTGGCTACTAGGAATAGTGTTTAAAATACTGTAACTTCAAATTAAACCAATTTTTTTTAGAAATGTCTCTTTTAAAATATAATAACTTTTTGCATAATATTCTCTGTATAATTTGTAAAGCCTTCTGTGTAGTGTGAAAATTTAAACAAAATTTAATAAAAATGAATATTTTGTTGGATAACCCCAAAAAGTTTAAATTTTAACTTCGCTGTCAAAAATGCAGCATCATCAATTTATTTTTCACTTTTTTATTTATATATATATACACAAGAGTTTTTACGTTCTTGTAAAGTCACTAGCACACATTTAGAACAGATCCTTGATCCTAATTTTTCCCCAGACCTGCCAAGTTCAAGTATGTTTATTGAGACAAGAAAAAAATACATCTCAAAGGGATAGAGTAGCTTAGGCTATTTCTACCCCCTTCTACTTCAAGTCCCTCAAGGGGCGCACAAATTCAGTGAGAACAAATACACAAATCGCAATACAAGTGTCCCATTTAACATTGCAGGTTAATATAGTAAGCACCGCATATAAGTGTTACACTCTTGGGACAAAATTCTTGTAGTTCCTAAGTATACTGTCTGTCATACCATTATTACACATCCAAACAATTTGATGTGGTACACTACTTATTTCCTTATTTCTGTAGTTATTAATAAGTTGACACTAATGCATAATGTTCTAAGGTGTGGGCGTGCGGCATACTACATAATTTACACAACTTATTTTTTTCACTGACATCAACACTATTGCCAGATATATTTGTATCCTTATCTTAATCTCGTGTAAATTGAATCCTTCCACATAGACTTTCCTCTATCATAGGTGAAGGACGAATTTGTATTTATTATTGAATAATTCTTAAGTGTGTTACTACTGTCCACCATTGCCATTCTCTTTACCATTTCTTCACCCTCTTGGATCATCTTGATTCTTGTTTTTATTTGCTTTAAGATTATCTGACATACAACGTCAACAAGAGTTTTTTCCGTGGCTGTCTTTGCTATCTCATCTACTACCTCATTCAACAGTACTCCCACATGTGAAGGGATCCACATGAATCTTACTTTATACCCAGTTTTTTCTAATTTCTTAACATTTTCTCTACACTCTATCACAATATTCTGGTATACTGGGCGTCTGCTATTTAAAGACTCTAAGGCTCCTCTACTGTCAATAAAAAAGCAGGCATTTTTTTACCACATTTGACTATTTCCTGTAATCCTGCTAATACGCCTTGGAGTTCAGCCTGCATTGGAGAGACTGTCAGTTAAGGGGGTGTCCAATAACAGTATCTACAGTACCAATGTCAGTGTACTCCTTGATCAAGACTCCACATCCTGCCTTCCCATCCCTAGCTACTGACCCCTCACAGTATACATGTAGAGTGTTTTCTATAGGTAATTTTCTAATTATACAGTCATATGTTGCCCTTGGCTCTTCTATTTCATACATACTTTTTTTCTTTTGCAAGGGAATAATTACTACATCTACATTACAATCCTCCCATGGAGTGAATTGTCTCTTAGGCACAGCAATGCACTCTGTAATAACATCATACTTTATAACATTAGAACATAAAGTACTCCATATTTCCTCTCTTCTTTATCATGCATTGTTCGTTGTTCTTATAGATTTAGCTACTCGGAACAAGTCCCAAGTAGCACGGGCTATGGTGAGCCCATAACTTACCTGGCATAGGAGTGGGGCAAGTAACACGGGTTATGGTGAGCCCGTAGTTAACTTGCCTGGCACAGTAGCGGTGCTGTCTTCTGTGATGCATTGTTCATTCCTTCCCACCTTTTGAACCAAGAGGATTAATTCATTAGCTCCCCCACCTTGCATTAATCTAATGGCAGAGGCTACATTTATCTCTGAAATTCTATCCCCAATTCTCTTCAGATTCAACTCCATCCTCATTATCTCAATCATAGCATTTCTTGGGCATCCTAAGATAATTGTCATGGCTTCATTTTGTACCTTCTCCAATTTGCCCATCCTACCTGTACCAAAACAAGAAATGACAGGTGCAGCATAATCAATAATGGCTCTTACAGTACTCAAGTACAGTATATCATTCGTAGCACAGGGACTCCCACTCCTTTTCCACAGCATGCCAAGGCCTTCAGAGGTTGTAATCTCTTCCGACATTGACCCAACAGTCTGTTCATCTCGGCTTCCAAACTCTCATGGGTATATCAAACATATATGCCTAAATATTTATATATATTAACTCTATATTTTTACCGTTTATTTTCAATATAATGGGCCTCCGACTTCTACATTCAAGCTTAGTTTTGTCTTCATTAACCACCAGTCCCATATGGTGACACAGGTTTCCGAAATTATCCAACACCGTTTGAATCTTTGAAATATCTTTGCCCTGAAACAAAATATCATTGGCATATATGATCGGAGTTACCCCATTTGAGTCTCTCTCAGATGCTATCTTGTTCATTAGTACATTAAACAGGGTGGGACTCGACACTCCTCCCTGAGGTTTGCCGAGTTCAAAGGATCTCGCACCTGACATAAAACCTTGATACCACACCTGAGCCTTCCTTTCGTGAAGATAATCCCACCAAATTGTTTACAACCGGGTACCCATTCACTGCTGGGTTAACAGAGGCTGCAGTTAAGGATTGGCACCAAGTCAATCCTCCCTGGCCAGGATATGAACACAGGCCAAAGTGCTTGCGAAGCACCGGGTGAGTGTTTTACCACTGCGCCATGGGGACTGCTGATCATTAACAATGTCCCTTTTAATTATACTGTATAATTTGGATACAGTTCTAATATACAGGCCGACAACCAGAGTGCAAATTCAGTCTCCCGAGACTGATGGATGCCTCTAACTTGTATATATCTTCCAATGACTTTCATTTAATTACTGTAATCTGTTTTATATCTCATAGTAAAAGAAAGAAAAAAAAATGAACACACCATTATTGCCATTTTTTGGTGTGGTCAAGAGTGAGTTAAACAATATAATACTTGGTTGATAGATTTCTTTCAAAGCTCAGAATGTTGCTAATAATTTAGGCTTTCTAACTGTACTACAGTACATAGGTTTCCTGGCTTGGTACATTCTTTTAATAATTACTTGCTTATTTTAGGTTTTCTAATGATACTAAACGAGAAATGTTAAAAAAATAAAACTTGGGGCCCCCCTAACTCTGTAACTGTGCCCTCTAAATTATGTTGATGTCCTGGGGCACATAAAAAGTTATTAAAATATTTTATTTCTTTTTATATCAAACATTGTTTTCTAATTCAAGGAAAATTAAAAAAAAATAATAATTTTAGTTTGGGCAAAGTAAGGTAAAGAAATGTTGATATCGTATTCAGAGATATAATAATTTTAAATTCAACTAGAGTATTTAAATTCACTTCCACTGTAGGAAACTATAGCCTTTTCAAATGGTGGGCATGTTCAATAAACCAGAATGGGCAGTAATGTATCTTATATTTGGCAGTTATCCTTCATAATGGTTCCAACAACAGTTAGACAGTGAAGAGATCTGTAAGGGACTGAGTACTGTACTCCAGAAACTTGTACAAATCTCGTAAAATTTTGGGCTGTATGGATGTTCAACTGTATCCTACTGATTTGGACACCACTGGCTATCCCCACATGAAGGTGCACTCGAAAGCAGGTGTGCCTCGTTCAGAGGCAGAGAAAAGTTTCGTCAAAGATCCTGGAGTGATGTCAGACCCAAAGCCAAGGGAAACATCCTTCTCAAATGTGTGCGAATACTGATGTCCAAAGGTGTTGCCAGGTCCATGCTCTTGCATGCAAGAGTGACTACCACATTCATCACAAGGCCCTTGGACAGATCCACACCTTGTACCACATCAGTTTCTCTTTATTCATTGACATATAAATACCTAAGTGTAATAAACAAAGTGTAGTTAAAGGATGAGGGCTATGCTTGTTGTCCTGTCTTCCAGGTGCCGTCATATGACTTTTTCAAACTGCTGTACTAATTGTTATGGCGTTCGCCACCACCACAATTTTTCTAACCATCTATCACTCTTTTTGCAACAAAAAGAAATTTACCCTTTTTTCCAGCTTTTTTCCTTTGTGTCTGGCCTCTACTTTGTGAAGATGCAGGTTTCTAGATTTCTTTTGCTAATTTGTCAATTCCTGTTACTATTTTGTATGTAGTGATCATATCACCTCTTTCTTCTAGCTTTGGTATATTTAATACCTTCAGCCTCTCTTCATAGCTCTTATTTTTCAGTTCAGGAAACCATTTACTGGGTAGTTGCTTGTCTTTACACATTTTCCAGTTAAATGATGTGCTTCTTTAGATACTGGCACACACAACCACTGCATATTCCATATTTGGTCTTGTGAAGGTTGTGAACAATTTCTTTAATATTTTACCATCTATGTACTGTATTTAAAAAATTAACTTTTTGGATTTGGAAAGCGTGGCATAGGCTCTTCGCACAGTGTTGTTTGTGGTCCTCGGGTAACTGTGTTCTACCTAAGACCACCCCTAGATCTTTATCAGAGTTCTTTAAAGCCTTGCCACACAATTTGTATGTTGTGTGTGGCCTATAAAATTTCTCCTACACATTCCGTAACCTGGTATTTATTCGCATTAAATTCTGTCGGCCAGGTCATTTTGTCCTAATTCCGTACTTTTGTCCTAATGAAACCATTTCCATTTCATAACCGAGACAGTTTGCAGTCTCCGTGGTGTAGTGGTAAGACACTCGCCTGGCGTTCCGCGAGCGCTATGTCATGGGTTCGTATCCTGGCCGGGGAGGATTTAATGGGCGCAATTCCTTAACTGTAGCCTCTGTTTAACGCAACAGTAAAATGTGTACTTGGATGAAAAAACGATTCTTCGCGGCAGGGGATCGTATTCCAGGGACCATAGGATTAAGGACTTGCCCGAAACGCTACGCGTACTAGTGGCTGTACAAGAATGTAACAACTCTTGTATATATCTCAAAAAAAAAAAAAAAAAAAAAAAAAAAAAAAAAAAAAAAAAATTTGTCACTGTGCAGTTCTGTGGCACACATACATTGTGTCCTTGTAGTGACACAACATTGTGGCTGTGCATTGTGGACCTGTGGCTGTTTTGAACACCAAATGGAGAGCTGTAATGGAGTTTATGCAGTATAGTACAGAATTATTTCCATGGAGTACATAAACACCCTTTGCAGTACAACTTTGATTCAATAAACTGTATGGGAACGAGCCCAGTTCATTGCAGTGAGGAATTTGTTGCAACTGGAGATACCTCCAGGATGCATTTCTCATGCCCTATGGGCTAATTTTAGTTGGCAAAATTTTCATTTCAACCTATAATATAATAGACTACTACCAAAAGAACATGTCTCCAACAGAATTTAAGCATATCTAGCTCATTTCTTCCACTCCCAGTCTTAAAACTCGTTTTCAAAAGATGGCAAGGCTATAATACCTGAGTGAACGAAAACCTTGCTAACTCAAAATTAAAACAAACTATAGCATTTGGTTTTAAATATTCTCAATAGTTTTTCCAAGGCTCCAACTGTTTCTTAGAATGTTGAGTCCATCTACAAAAATCATAATAAAATGTGATTGGAGTCATATTAAAAGTTATCATTCATACCCTAATATTTCCCAGACCCTATGGACTGATTTTAATGTGTGAAATCTTGATTTCAACCTGTCATATGAAGGACAACTTCCTAGAGAACCCGTCTGTAAAGAGATTTAACTGCATCTTGCATATTTTCCATGCCATAACCTTGAAACATCATTTTCAAAGGAAACTGGACCCATATTTGTGAGCAAAACACAGAGAATTCTTGATATTAAGATCAACCATATACTGTACATGTAACTTGGTTTTAAATATTGTATATTCGATGGCTTTCCCAAAGCCCCCCTAATTATTTCTTATGTTGTGCCCATCTATGAAAATCAGTAAAAATATGATTGGAGCAGTATTAAAAGTTACCATTTATACCCTAATATTTCCCATGATTTATGGATAAATTTCATAGAGCAAAACTATAATTACAACCAGTCATATGAAGGGCAACAACAAAGAGAACCTGTCTGTAAAGAGATTTGACCACATCTAGCAAATTTTTCATCTCCAAGGCTCTTAATTTCATTTTCAGAGGAAAAAAGGAAAAGGGGCCCATGTTTTACTGAACAAAAATCTCTGCAACTGGAAGTAAAAAAGAAGTAGGATAATTTGGTTTCAAATATGCTCAGTGGCTTTCACAAGGCCCCAATTATTACTTGTAATGTTTCCTCCATTTGGGCACTCAGTCCCAACATCCTAAGCAAATCCACACATCCCCCCACTTCAGCGAACTTTTTTTTTTTTTTTTCATCGAGTCGGTTGAGTAAATCCAGCATGGAAAGTGTGTTCCAAATGGAGGTCCTTGATTCCAGGTTCCACTGTTCTGTAGGCAGAGGGCTTGCAAGATAGTCATCATATTCACCATCAGGCTTGAGTGGTCTTGTAAGTTCCATGTCTGGTAGAACATCAGGAGTGCAAAGTGTCTGGTTAACTGGTTTCTTTCAAAATATGATGCATTTTCTACAATTCAGTAATACAGTACATTAAATGGCAGCTGTTAATTTTTATTTTAAAATAATTTATTTTTCAGGAAGATCGTCCAATTCCTGAACCAGGTCCAGATGGTAAGGTCTGTTAAATTGTCTAAAATACTGGATTAGTTAACTTGAAATTGCTGGAAGAATGTCCAACACTGGAGAAACTTAAATACAAATTCAGTACTGTACCTTGATTTTTGCCAGGACTTCAAAAATGATTTACTATCATGCTGGAAAGTGGAGATATTTTCCAGACTAGGATACTGTAATCCCTTTTATTGAAAAGCCTGGCTGCCTCATGTCGATTTAGTTAGAATTTTTAATCACATTGATTATGATCAGATCGGATGACAAAGCTTTACACCTGGCAACACAAGAGCTCCACAACTTCCACTGACTCAAAGATGGTATAGAACCTCACCATGTTATATAAATATAAAGTATATAACAACTGTATATACATAATACAGTTGGCTTCATTCTCGACTCAATCAGGGGTTCCAGGTGCGATTCCCAGGCAAAAAAGACATGGTTGGGTACAATGTCACTTAATAACTCTGTTCACATAGCATTAAATAGGTACCCAAGAGTTAGGCAAATATTGTAAGGTTGCATCCTGGGAAGGTTCAGCAGTTCGACATGGGGAGGAGGGGGAGGGAAGGACTTTGATAAAAGCCTAAAGTATATATATACATGGGCATCCTGTCCCTGACAAAACAAAGTAAGAACATCTTGAACCAATCCAAATAATGCAAAACACCTCAAACTTATTGCCAAAGTGGATTGGTGCATGCTGGCAGAGGAAAGCTACCTCTATCCAAAACAAATTACAGATGTTCTGAATAACTATAACGTCAAGAAATAATGACCAATGACAAAATGAGGAACTCGCAGATGAGAGGGCACAATAGTATGCCTGTAGGCAAACAGAACACAAGGAGGGGGGGGGGGTACTGTGAGTACTGTGACCCTTAAAGGGGCCTGTGGGAGTCTTCCCTAATCAACAAACTGGAGTTGGTATGTTGTCATTAAATGTCTGAGTTTTTCCACTGCAAAACCAACTCTATTAATTTGAGTACCAACCCCTACATGAAATTCTATGCAATGGCAGGATAACAAATGGTTTAAGAAAATGTAAGTTCCTCTAGTGTCAAGCCAAAATAATCAAAGCTTAAATTATGAATAAATAAAAACAAACTAGAATGCACAGTGGGGAAAAAAACTAAAACATGAAGTAAATACTTAAGACGGAAGTCTTAAACCTAAAGTCTAACGTGGCTAATAAGAAACTGTGGGAAGTGCTGGGGAACTCTAAAATCAAATACTGTACAGTAAACAACCTACATGTTCAACAACAGTATCTTGAGACAACCATGTTTTCTCTAAAAGAGAAAACTAGAAATTTATGTTTTTGTAGTGATCATGACACAAGCATTGCCTTGGGAATATGATGCAAGAATGGCATTACCTTGGTGCAAAAACAACTATTTGACCAGCTGATTTATAACATTAACATAAGTGACATAGAGTGCATAGTGGGAAACACAGCTAGAGTCCAAATAAAACGAAAATTTTCCTTGACAAGAAGTTTCTCTTGGGAAAACATACATAAACGATGCCGTATTTAGAACAAATTTAGTATGTTAATGAATATTTGACTAAGAACAGGCAACCCCTTTCCTAAAGACTACAACGAGCAGTGCTTTGTTAAAGATGGAAAAATAAGTGTGCAACACCATACTAAAAAAAAAAACCTACAAAATGGCTAACATAGAAAACCTTAACAATCCTTGCCCACTGTGAGATACTGTGTATAAAGAACCAAATTGCCACCGACTCATGTTGGTGACCACCATTACTCTTAGACACTCCCTAAATGCCATAGAACAATGCCAGTGTTCTGTAGCTATGCTCTTATCTGGGATATATGTATTTTAAAAGAGTTCAATGCTATTGAAAGGTACTGGTTTATACAGTACTGTATTAATATAATTTTATTGTCCATCACATATTAAAATTAATTACTAAAATTGTGTATAGCAGGTAGAAGCTAATTCTTTGCCAAAGTGAGACGGATGAAGCAGGTGCAAAGTAATAACACACAAGGGATGACTTGCCCAACTGAAGAACAGTCTCAGTATCTGAAGTCCAAGACTCAAATTGTAGAATAAATCGGTGCTTGGTTTAAAATTCTTTTAATATATAGGATATCGAAGAAAAATAGTTATGAATAAATTTGTATTTAGAATGCATACTCCAAAATTATATAAGAGGTATATTTTTATTTGATGAAGATTACCAGAAGAAAATTTTCTTTGACCAATGCTTTCAGAAACATAGTTTAACTATTAAAATATTTAGATTTGATACCTTCCCATTTAGTCTGTAAACCTAGACTAAAAATATATGAACCCAAAATGTTTAGCTGCCCAATTTTCTTGGTTGACTGTCCTTTCATTCAATTCATTAAGAAAGATGCATGACACCTCATGGGCATAAATGTTACAGTAATTAAAATTTTGTAATAAATTTTATATAATCTTGCCATTAAATTATCTCTTAGAGTACTGTACATTCAGGGATACTTAGACATATGTGATTAATATTCTATATTTTCAGAGGTGCTCCTGAGAATGGCTAAAGTTGGAATTTGTGGTTCAGATGTTTCATACTGGACTAAAGGAGCCATTGGTCATTTCGTTGTTAAAAAACCAATGGTGCTTGGCCACGAGTCAGCTGGTGTGGTGGCCAAGTGTGGCAAGAATGTTACCACTCTCAAGCTAGGTATGATTCTTTGTTGTAGTACTGTATAATCTTTTGGCTGAGGGACTTAGCGCAAACTTTTATGTCTGGGATAAGAACAAGGAGTCTTTATCCTTGTTAATAAGCATTCAAATTGTATCTTTATCACATGTAGCTGGGCTTTTTTTTTATACTGAATGTAGATATTATTTTTAATTTCAAATAATATCTTTGATTGCATTACTCATTCATTAGAATTTGTATTTATGAGATATGTATACTCATTCATATTTATTTTCATTATTATTATTAAAGTATTACCCATTTTTCTATTATCATGGAGTGGGGGAGGCATTTGCCTGGAAAAAGAAGGTTGAAGATACTGGACGTTCAAAATAAAATGTCCAAATAAAATAACTGCCCGAAACGCTTTGCGTAATAGTGGCTTTAGGCATTGTATGTACTAGCTCTATCTATAAATCTATCAATTTTTGTATCACCTCTTGTATGTATGTACTTTACCTGAATAAACATTTGAATTTGAAAAAACAGAGTGAATTGGCATCACTATTATATAGTAAATAGTGTACAGCTCCATCATAGGATGGCCATAACGAAGGTTTCTCCAGGAGGCTTCATCACAAATTTTTCACTCTTTCAAGTTCTCTAACTCTCCCACTACTTTCCCTAGCTTTTCTTTCATATCTCCACTAACAATAGGCTTAAAACCATAGGAATAATAAATAGAATGTGCAGAATGAAGGATTAATTTGTTTCCTTGATGAACAATGCCAGTTCATTAAAATGCCTATACAGTATAGTACACAAATACCAGAACCCCAGCAAATAAATTTGACATTGTGCACTTGTACTGAGGATGAGAATCCAGACATTACTGGGATCAGCAAATCATGGAGATTGAGATTATGGATAGGAAATTACAACTTCCAGAGTACTACCCACCATTCAAAAAAGACCAAAAAGAGCAGGGGGCATATTATATAAGAGGATATGTTATGCTTGGAATTGGTTTTATTCTATAATAGCTCAATGTTAGTAAATTAATAGAATGTTTCAGAGCAGATAGAGCAATGACAGAAAAAGATACTGACCTGCAGCATGTGATAAAGGCAGTAGCTGAGGCATAAGCACTTAAAATAGGCAAATTTAACCACAAGAGTGGATGAATCTGCATCACAAACAAGCAAAGAGCAATTTATTCACCTCATACAAGACTGACAGTTTTTATACAGCATGCAGTGAAGCTCATCAGATTTAACAACATTCTTGATCTTTTGTTGACAAGAGGGCATGACAAGATAGTGATAATAGAATCGCTATATCTTGAAATGGTATACAGTTCTGGAAACTCGTATAAAGGTGCAGGATGATGACTTGATCTCTTGAATGGTAGCCATATATCATTGAATGAAAGAGGAACTGCAAAATATTTACTGCAGGCACATAATAATAGATAAAGACATAAAAACATGATATAATTTGACAAAGGTTATCACTGAATTTGTAAAAAAAAAATCTGTTGCCCCCAAGGGGGCCACAGAGGAAAAAACAAATTTTGTCACAGCTGCTACTGGTGGTCGGTTTGTCTGCTGACAGACAGGGTTCTACCGGATTAGCTACCCCAGTGCCTGGGCTTCCCATAGGGCTTGCTCACCCTTCAGGCCCTAGAAAACCCCAGTGGGCTTCGAGGTATCATGGATGTGTCTTCAGAGTCCTCTCTCGCCTTGTGCGATGTTGAAGGTTGTTCGTTGCCCCTGACATAGGTGTTTGGAGTATTATTTGTATGTCCCTACCTGCACACTATATGGGCTGACACATTATTTTTTTATCCTTGCCTTGAGCTCTCATTGAGGGCAATCATGTGTCCCCTGCTCTCTGCACCACTTTGAGGGGACCAGGTATTCGTCTCTGGTTCCCAGTAGGCTTTTAATGACTGGCAAGACTCGATAGTATGGAGCTATCTTAGTGCAGCTAGCAACATGGAGCCACGAAGGCCCTACCAGAAAGAGGCATTTTATTACATTCATTGCTGGTTTTTTCACTCCTAGCTGGCCACTAGTCTTTTGGAGCTTCTTATTTGGTCCTTGGATCAGATCCTTTCCATTTTATCCTCACCTTGATTTATCAACTCCATTAGTGGAGGATTACTTTTTCAGGGGTTGCTCTAGCTTTTGGTAGTTGTGTTGACAACTTTCATACTCTTTGCTACAGGAAAGGGTATTGTTCCTTTCATTTGTCTACAGCTGCCTTTATTCATTTTGGCCAGGAGTGTCCTTTGGCGGTGAACGCTTTGTTTGTCCAGTTTGAGGTGCTGTATCTTGAGATTATCTCGATCTTATCAGGGGCTTAGCGTCCCTGCAGCCCGGTCCTTGACTAGGCCTTCTTTTTGTTCCACATCCCCAGGAAGCACCCCATAGCAGCTGTCTAACTCCCAGGTACCTGTTTACTGCTAGGTAACAGGGGCATCAGGGTGAAAGAAACTTTGCCCATTTGTTTCCGCCTCCACCGGGGATCGAACCCGGAACCTCAGGACTACGAATTCAAAGTACTGTCCACTCGGCTGTCAGGGCCCCCAGTACATTATGCCCTCTGTTCTGTTGCCACAGTGTAGCATTATTTGCATGTTGCACAAATGAGACATTACAGTTTTGAGTTTGTCTTTTGGTTACAATTTGTTTGTTCTCTATTGGAAGGCACCGAATTCCCTCTTCAAGAAACTTAGTAGTTTCATACAATTAATTTTGTCAAGTTTTGCTGTTATTGAAGCAAAGTGGCTTTATAAATTGGCATTCTTTTTTTTATTACTCATATTAATGATTTTTTCAGGTGATCGTGTTGCTGTTGAGCCAGGTGTACCATGTCGCATTTGTGAGTTCTGTAAAAAGGGCAGATACAATTTATGTCCTGATGTATACTTCTGTGCAACTCCACCTGACAATGGAAACCTCTGCCGATACTACACCCATGCTGCAGATTTTTGTCACAAGTAATACCTGAACTCTATTTATAAACAGAATTGTCTTGTGCCAAATTTTATTCTATACCGACTGTTGAATTTATATTAGGTGACATTCCACTATTTGATATACAGTACAGTATATATAATTTGTAATGCTTAGAATATTTTTATTCACCCTACAGTACTATAATATAAATATTTGTTACAGTAATGTACTTAAAAAATTTAATGTATAAATTTTTAAAAATTTTAAAATAAGTAGAGAAGGGTCATTGTCTACCTTGTAAGCACCTGGATATCAAATCAAATAGTTTGTTTATTTATACAGTATACAAGAAGGTACAGTGAGTTGTGAAAGTACATACATTGGTGATTAAGTGGTACTTTCTTACCAAGCCACTACAGTAACATACATATCATTTCAGGCAGGACCTTAATCCATGCACTGCTTTTTAGTTTAATATGACAATCTTGTGGTGTGCAGAAAAAAAATATTCCCCAATTTTTTCTATACAGTACTGTGTTTGTTCCCTGATTACGGGAAGCAATTGTGCCTTGCTTTGGCTGTGATGGAGCAGAGAAGTCTAGCAATTTGTGCATAGTTAGTAGGTGCTAAGTGATGCTTGCACCAGCTGTCGTGTGGGGCAGCAGTTGCTGCAAATATAATTTTACATAATTATTTCAATGTGTCTGAATGGTTTTTATCTATTTTTTTGCACTATTGTAATTTTATTCAGTAGTGTGATTTGAGGAATCTATATTTAAATGTGGAACTCTGCTAAAAGCTATGGTGCTCATATTTAGTGACTTGTATATTCTATTCTTGGAACAATAAGTGTTTTTGCTGTCATTGCACTATATACACATGTCATGCCAACTCCAGCAGACTGTCACTTGAAGCAGCAAAATAGCCTGAAATAAACTACTGTACACACATAGTTATTACTATGAACACTGTTATTATCAAATTATGATATTATGGTACTTGAAACAAAACAACTCTACTCAAAATTCCAACCGAGTGAAGTGCTGTAAATAATTAAAATTAAAAGCCTTCCAAACCCTTCCATGGCATCATAAGTGACCACCAAACCTGGGCTCTTGATAATTATTGCACTCGTTTGCCTACCTGGCCACTTGTGATGATGTCCATAAATGCCATACACTGGCAGTATCGTGCGCAGCCCCAAATTTCACGGATATGAACCACCACATAATCTCTGAAACTCCCTAACCTCCAGCCTTATGTGGCCCCTTCAATAAACGAAAGGTTACAGTATTTTAGTTTTCCAATCACCTGGAGGTACCCATCATTTCAGTAAATTAGTCGCACTGGAATGACATTGTTAACAAATTGGTAAACAAAAGACAGTTTGGCGAGGCAAACAATATACAGTATTCCAGATCAACAAATGTTAACAAATTATTTCTGGGTTTCCAGGGGATCCTACTTTACCGAGATCTGAGTAAGTTTACTTGTGAGCCAAGTAATACGAATCTGTCCTACGAGTTCATGGTTTAACAGATTGCACTAGTAACACTACAGAAGTATATTTTACAATACAGTCTGCTCTAACTAGAACTTTGATAGCAGAAATGGGTAATTGTTACAGAAGTTTTGACCACACATGCCCAGTGAAGGCAGGGGAGTGAATGCATTAAGAATTTTGTTTTAGACTGAAAGGTGCAGCTAAGGCATTCTTGGGAACTAGAGATAGGGAGATTAGGTAGACTTGTTTATATCATAACATTTGAGTTTGTGCATCATTCCATAGTGATGCAACATGTCAAAATTAATACAATGCATAATAAGTGCAAGGAGTAATGACTTGTTTTCCTATGGTACTGTACCATAATTAATTTTTGTTACAGTATGTAAAACTTGTCTGTGGACCAATTATTAGTTTAAAAATACATTTACTTGTAACGTTCCTTTCCAGACTTCCTGATCATGTGACATTAGAGGAGGGGGCCCTTCTGGAACCATTGAGTGTTGGTATCCATGCTTGTGAACGTGCAGGAGTCACTCTTGGTTCATGTGTCTTAATTTGTGGTGCAGGACCAATTGGCCTTGTTAATTTACTCGCAGCTAAAGCAATGGGAGCCACAAACGTGTGCATTACAGGTAAGAAACTATTTTTTAAGACTATCAAGGCAAGCATATATTTATTATTATAATAATAATTTATTATTATTATTAGTCTGGAAAATAGAATGGCTTGTGCTGCCTCTTGTAGATGTAAACATGTACTTTTTTTTCTCTTAATATTTGTTTAATTCCTAACGTGTTTCTAAGGATTTGCACCCATATCTACCCATGCATATAAAAAAAATCCCAAATTTGTTACTGCATTTATAGAATTTGTATGCAAATATATAGATTAATTTATTATTGAATTTATTAATTATACTCTAGATTTTTTTGTATACAAAATATATGGAAAATTAGAAATAAATTGAATATCTACATTGTAACCAGTTGTGTAACAAATTGACCATGTGATGGCCCAACTAGAACTGGCAACACCAGACCTTCCATCAGCTACTGTGGTCGAGAGCAGACGACTCTGTATTTATCTTGGGTGTCTACACAATAGCTTTTACACCTGTTAGTTTATTTGCTATAGTATTTGTTGAATAACTAGATTTATTTACATATTAAAAAAAACTTGAAAACATTAATCAATATAAAGATAATGTAGTTAGGCATACAGTACAATGAATCATTATCAATGAATGAATGCATGTACCAAAGTAAGGAAATGGCAGAAAGCCTATTGGCTCATATGAGGCAGCTCTTGTTTCTATTTGCAATAAAAAATAGGAGCTGCCTCATAGGTGCAAATAGGCCTCGTGCAGTTTTCTTGGTTCTTAGGTTGTTGATATATTCATTCGTTTATTCCTCGATACATAAATTTGTCATTGATATGTATGTACAAATGAATCAATAGTCATATTGTATGTATCAATACGAACACAAGAACTAGGGAAACTGCAAAAGGCCTATTGGACCACGAGGTAGCTCCTATTTACGTTGTCTATATAAATAGACATTGCCTTGTAGTCCATACTAGGCAGCTCCTGTTTATATCCATAATTTAAATAGGACCCACCTCATATAGTCAAGAGATTATTATAAGTGGGATGAGGAGGATATAAATAGGAGCCGTCACCTATTTATATCCCAAACTTATTCACATATAGAAAAGAATTCATGTGAAGCAGCTCCTATTTGTATCGTGGATATAAATTGCTGCCTCGTAGTCCATACTTAGGGAGCATGGTCCTTTTTGACTCCTTGATGGCCAGCTCCGCATTGGTTCCCAGCTCTTCTTGCCCAGTGTCTGGACTAGACCGTTTTCTGTGGCGCTGCCTTCTTCAACAGATTAGTCTGGCAACATACCTTACTGGTCCGAATTTTTTCTTGGCGATTTGTCTGGAATTTTTTGTGTATACAGTATTGTAATTTATATGACGAGCAGGTGGCTGGGTTATTGATGTCCCACCTGCATCTGTCTTTGTGGAGGCAGGATGAAGTTACTTGGCACTTGTTTTGCCTTTTTCTGTTCCCACCCATCCCCATTGTTTTTCCTTGGTCTCTGTTCGGGTTATCTTTTTGTTGTTGTTTCTTGACTGGTTAATACTGTCGCCTCTTATTGTTCGGCATTGGCAGTTGCTGTTTCTTGCATTCATCATAAATACTTCTTTGGTGCCATTCTGCAAATTGTCTTGGGCAATTTTTCACCTGGCCAACCTTGCTTGGCCAGGTGAAAACCTTGCTCTTCCCACGCCATCCTGGTTGCTCGACCGCATCTTCGCCTTTCTCTCCTCAGTTTATGGCCTCCCCTTTGGTCTGGGATATCATTCTTGAGGCAGTTACTTTGTTGGCTCTTGCCTCTGGCTGTTGGGTTGGGGAGCTTCATTCTCTTCACCAGAGGGGAGGATTTTGCTCTTTTTATCCCTGATGGGCACTTTCTTTGTTTGCAGCAGTCTCCTTTTCTGGTGAAGATAGTCGGTGGGCTTCTGATGTATCCCAGCTTCTTTACAGTCCAGTGTCAATGATTCTCATATTTCTGACTGAGATTGGAGTTCTAATGCACAGGTGGGACAGGTGTGTGCGCAGTTCTACCTTAACTTGCATCTTCTCTGCAGCAGGTGTGTTCTCAGAGCTTGCTCAGGCAAGCCTTTTTTTTCTGTAGATTCTTTTATGGTACACACTAGTAATGGAGTGGCAAGGGGGAGGGAGGGGGCTGTCTTTAGGCATGCTTGGTCCTGGAATACTGTACTTAAGTATAATAAGTGGTGTAATAAGTGGTGTCTCCAGATCTTGCCTGAACCCTGTCCTTACTGAGTGTTCAGGATCTTCTGTTCCAAAGAGATCCTTTAGAACCTCTTCATTCTAGATGTATCTGTTCTCATCTGGTTTCTTATTTGTCCCAGGTAGCTTCAGCTTCACCAGGTTGTTTGGAGCAGGCATTGGCTTATTTTCTTTTTATGCCTCTTTAATCCAAAGTTCAGGAATATGCTTGGGTTACAAATGTAGCCAGTACTATAGTTTAGTCAAATTCAAAATTCAAATGTTTATTCAGGTAAAGTACATACATGCAAGGGGTGATACAAATATTGATGAATTTATAGATAGAGCTAGTACATACAATGCCTAAAGCCACTGTTATGCAAAGCGTTTCAGGCAGGAAAAACGTTAAAGACTAAAACTTAATACTAATTTAGATTAAAGTATAAAATGTGTTGAGAAAATATAAAAATAAAAAAGGGGGAACATGGCAGAAAAACGGCAAAAATACAATTTGGTCGACGAACAGCATTGTTTAAAAATAACGGACATGGGTTGACATTATAGGGGTAAGGTAGTACAGGGAGTTAATTAGGTAGTGCTTAGTTTTTCTTAAAATGGTTGAGAGAGGTACAGTCTTTAACATGATTGGGAAGGTCATTCCACATTCTGGGTCCCTGATTTGTAGAGCATTTCAAGTTTGATTAAGTCTACTCTTGGAATATCAAAAAAGTATTTGTTTCTGGTGTGGTGCTCATAGGTTCTGTTACAACCTTCAAGGAACCTTTTGAGGTCAGGCTTGGCATTACAGTTCAGCGTTTTATATATATATACTAGTTTTACCCGGCCACACGTTGCTGTGGCTCGGCAACGCATGTGTGTTGCTGAGCCTCGGCAACCTTTCCCTTTTCCCCGGTCCTCCCCACCATTCCCCCCCCCCCTCCGCCATCCCCTCATCCACCCAACCATTCCCCACTCCTCTGTCCCCTCGTCCTCCCAACCATTCTCCTCTCCCCCCATCCTTTCGTCCTCCCCACCATTCCCCCTCCATCGTCCCCTTGTCTTCCCCACCATCCCCCCCCTTCACCGTCCCCTCGTCCTTCCTACCATTGCCCCCTTCCCTGTCCCCTCTTCCTCCCCCAATCCCCTGTCCTCTTGTCCTCCCCACTATTCTCCATTCCCCTCTCATTTGCCCCCTCCCTCGTCCCTACCATCCCCAACTCCCTCGTCCTCCCCACCATAACCCTCATCCCCTGTCCCCTTGTCCCCACCATCCTCTACTCCCGTCCCCTTGTCCTCCTCACCTTTCCCTTGTCCGAAGCATTTCCAAATTATCTGGTAGTCCCTTCAGAAAATTGAGAACATCAAATGATCTGATGTTCCCATCACTGAAAAATAAGAACAGTTAAAAACGAAGTGAAAAAAATTTAAAAACTAAAAAATAAACTATACTCATGAAACGAACGGTATGGTAAACAACACAGCTCAATTCCAAGGCATTGTCACACAAAATAATGAAATAAAAATAAATCAAAATCGATGAAATTTAAATTTATCAATGCAATCCGAAACATTGAAATGGAATCGTTATACTGTACTGTATAGTATAGCGAGTTGTTCCTTCGTGCAACAGATGGCGCTGTTTTTCAAACAAAGCATGGTTTTACCTCTCACAGGTGTGGCATCTATACTTATACAGTACCAGTACTCACGAAATGAGCGCCATGGTAAACACAGCTTGATTACAACTCAATGTAACACAAAATAATTAAATCAAGATGAAAATAAATCGAAATCTATGAAAATTCCATTTATCAATGCAATTGGAAACATTGAAATGGAATTGTAACATTTAGTATACCATGTGTTGCTCTTGCAAGCAACAAATGGCACTGTTTAAAAAAAAAAAAGCTTGTTTTTACTTGTCACAGGTGTTGCATCTATATAGTAGGTATATAAAAACCTACGCGTATTCGAAGATAATGTTGTGTCAAAATTTCAAAGCAATCGGTGAAGAACTTTCGGAGATTACAGCGTGTGTTGCTCTTACATCCAACAGATCTTGTTGTTTAAAAAAAAAAAAATGTTTTTCCTGTCACAGGTGAGGCATGTATATAGTATGTATATAAACACATGCGCCTATTCGAATGCAACGTTGTATCACAATTTTAAAGCAATTGGTAAAGAGGTTTCGAAGATTTCACTCGCATGAAAAATGCATGAAAAACAGTTTTTCAAAAAAGGCATGTTTTTTCCCGTCACAGACGTGATATCTATATACAGTAGTATGTATATAAAAACCTGCTCGGATGCGAATGGAACGTTGTGTGAAAATTTCAAAGCAATCGGTGAAGACCTTTCGGAGATTAGTGATTTTGAACAAACGAACATTTCAATTTTTATTTATATAGATAATACACATGAGAGGATGTGCAGTGACTTAATATTAAATATTCAGAGATTTGAGTAGGGGTACCGAGTGATGTCTGGGACCAGAGTTGGATATTGTCCTAATAGCAGCTTTGTGTTGAGTAATTAGAGGACTTAAATGATTTTGGGTAGTTGAACCCCAAGCACAAATACCATAGTTGAGATAAGAATAGATGAGGGAGTAATAGAGCACCACCAAGGCAGGGCGAGGTACATAATATCTGATCTTAGAAAGAATGCCAACAGTTTTTGAAACTCTTTTTGAAACTTTTTGATATATTTAGAATGTGTCCCTGGAAATTTACCTTGTGGTCAGTGAAAATGCCAAGGAATTTGCCATCTATTTTGTTACAAATTTGGGTATTGTTTATCATGAGATTTATTTGATTCAAGGATTTATTGCCAAACAAAATACTGTAAAGTTTTGTCAATGTTGAGGGTGAGTTTATTGGCAGTTAGTCAAAGATGGACTTTATTTAGCTCAGTATTCACTGTGACATTTAGAGCAAGGGGGGTCAGGACTGGAGTAAATGAAGGTTGTGTCGTCAGCAAATAGAATTGGTTTGAGGTGTTGGGAGGCATTTGGAAGGTCATTAATGTAGACGAGAAAGAGAAGAAGGCCAAGTATGCTGTACTAGTACTACACAAAGTACTAAAGGCAGTACACTAACAGTAGTTTAATACTACTATTGGTTCTTCTGTTTGAGTTAGGCCTGGCATCTGGAGTTTTTTGCCAAATTAACTTGCATGATATGTCTGGATCTCCACCTATATGACATCAGAGTTCTGGATTCTTTATATCTCGAAGACTGGGTGGTTTTGTTCCAGCCATTCAGTATATCTGTTAGCCAGGGATCTGGTTCTTTCCCAGTTGGCCCTTTTCAGCTTTAAGGTCAATGGGAGGAAGTCCTTGTTAACACATCTACTGTGTCTGTCTTATTTGGATCTGATATGGCCTCTCTGGTGCAGTAAACTTAGTTGCAAGTGTGCCTTCATCATTGGGTGCTGCTTGGTAGGTCTTGGCTTTCCTGTCTGGACATTGTGCCTTTACAGTAGGGTGACCTGGTCTTCACTTGAATGTGAATTGGCTCTTTTTTTTTTTTTTTTATATTCTTGTGTGTGTAATTACCTAAGTGTAGTTACAGGATGAGAGCTACGCTCTTGGTGTCCCGTCTTCCCAGCACTCTGTCATATAATGCTTTGAAACTACTGATGTTAGTGTGTGTGTGTGTGCTGGAAGAAACTCAGCCATATTCTTGGGTGGGCCGCTGGAGAAAGGTTCAGTTCATTTCATTTAACTGTGGGGTTAGCCTCTGCAGTTGGCCCTTCTGGTTTCTCAGGGTTTCATCCTCAAGATAGTCCTCATTCAGGGCATTTTCACTCAATCTGCAGATGGTGTTTCTTGCTTCTGTCTGATCTGAGTGGTCAGTGAACATTGCCTCTTTCCTCTGGGTTGTTAATCACACTTTTGTATCAAAGTAAGTTCCACAATGTCCCATATGCATTTTTAATGTGTGGCTCTTTACAAACTGACCTCACTACCAGCATCATGGATTGGTTATATCCTGCAGTGTTCTTTTATCCCCACTCAGAATTGCAGGAAAAGTGTTTTTACCTTTTATGTCTGTTAGATTGTTCCTTCTATATGCAGAGTTTTACCTGAGGGAACAATATTGATGGCTTAGTAAATTTGCTCTATGATTATTGTATATGAGGTGGTGTTTTGTAAAAAAGTTACAGTACGCTTGCAGAGGGTACTTTATTGTACGAGATTCTGCTACTTGGTGGCAGTGGAAGGTGGTCAGGGTGATCCACAAGTTATTAGCTAGGGCACACTAGGTGTTTTGTTTGATGCCAAGTGGGACTTGAAAGGGTTCTGAATTCACTTGATTAGAGTCGTGCCTTCAATAGATCACCGAAGCTAGGAATCTGTTTTATCATGTGCCTTTGTGATCCCTGCAGTGACTAGTTTAAAAAAAATTCCACTTCATCAGTACCAGAATGTTAAATTGCCTGACTTTTTCTTAAAGTTCAGGAGGAGACATTGAAAACTTACATTTTGTAGCAATTGAGCAACTTGGTCAGAAAGGTGCTTTGCATATAAATGCTAACAGTATTTTTTATTATTATTAATATTTAAGAATTAAAATTATATAATTTTCCTTCAGATATTGCAGAGAATCGCTTGAAAGTTGCCAAAGAAATGGGAGCAGACCACACAGTTCTTGTCAAAACTAGTGATGCTGAAGCATTGGCAAAACAAGTCAAAGAAGTAATGGGAGATATGCCAGACAAAACAATAGAGTGCAGCGGAGCTGAAACAAGTGTACGCCTAGGAATTTTTGTACGTATGCATTATGGTTTATATTTCATATTTTTTGGGGAAGGATCCCCTTAGTAACTCCCCAATGCTTCACCCTGAATGCTACCAATCCGTAAAATATGAGCCAGGCCTCTGACATCCATGAATGCCCACCAGGACCAGAGTCTGGCTTGCTTAGAGAGGTGAAGGGAAGCCTGAGAATAAAGAATTCCATTAAAATGCCCATCAAAAATCCCAAATACTCCAAAACAACTTGTTTCAAAGTTGTAACCCTAACAAAAAATACAATCACTTCCATGGCTAAATCATTGTCTAGAAAAACTTGCCCACCACCTGATAGCAGCCTTGGTTTCTCACCAGCAACCAGCTCATTCACAAGCCTAGCATGTGGCCAGGGCCACCACTCTGAGCCCATTGTTGCCATTTAGCCTGAGGGCTGTTGTGTGGTATTATGTTTTGCTTCATGAGTGTTTTGTATCACTCGTCTTGTGTGTTTCCAGTGTTGACTGTTTGCTTTTGCTGTTGTCAGGATTGCCTTCCATGGTGGCAACCGTGTGTTTCCCTTGCTTCTCCAGGATTATCTTCCCTGCAGGGTATTAGGCTGTCTCTTAAGAGCTGCTTCCTCTTCAGGCAGCTCACTTCTCGATAGTGTATTGGCTTTTGGCCCTCTGTGAGCCCTGTTGATGGGGAAGGCTTTTCTCTAGACATGTGCTAATGTGCCTCAAGTGTCATGTTCTTGCCTTGAGCTTTCTTTTCCAACACTTTAGTAGAGGATACTTTTGGGGTGCCTGACTAGGGAAGGTGTACAAAGCCACACAAAAATATGAATCATGGTAATGGCCCATGTAGCCCCCCAAGAAAAAGAAACAAAGTATAGTATAAGGCATGAAAATGCAAAGAAATTAGAATAAGACACAATAGGAACATGAACATAATGCAAACTACATAAACTCTCATACATAGTTCTTGCAGTGGAGAACAAATCCCATTTGCTACCTAGCAATGAAATGATCCAAGAGGAGCCAACATGTATAGGAGGAACTCAAATCCTGCAGAACAGTTATCCCTGGAAGGGAAATGAAAGCCAACTATCAGGGACGGTAACTGTCTCACAGCTAGAGTGAAATATTAGCCAAGGCAGTCCTGATGTGGGTAGCACAAAAAAATTGCTAAGCATAAATTAAAAACTAAAACAATGGCTCATTGTGGAATTGCTATTCTAAGGATAGCCAAAACCACAAACTGAAAATGAAGTTATGTAGTGTAATGAGCTCTGCAGAGCGATGCAACTGCAACAAACACTAAACCTGCCTCACTCACTAGAACACTAGTGAGTGAGGTGGGTAGCTGGCTGGGACTCTGGGTGGCTTGGACTACCATCTGGTGGTGGTTGGGCACATTAAGGTTCGGATTGGTATGCCAGCAACAATGATCATTTGCTTTGCTCGCTTTCGGGGTTCACCTGTTCCTTCAAGTAGTTGCTCATTTTGTTGTTGTGCCTATTATTTCTAGTGTTCTTTTCTGTTTTTGGTAGATCTCCTATCCCCAGGCTTCCCTAGCTTTGTCGAGTCAGATTCTAGTCCTGGGTTCTAGTACCTTCATTATGGGTCTCGGGCTTGAATCAATTTCCAAAGGCTGGCTATACCAGCATTTTTTTTTTGTTTATCTTGGAAGACTGCTTCACAAGCTCCCTGACCTTTTTGCTTAATCCTTTATATATGGCAATAACTAAATTCTTCAGGTGCAAAACACACACAGATTGAATATTTTTTTCCTTGTAGATGAAGCAAAACAGTTACAGAAATGAAAAATAGTAAACAAAATTCTCCTGGTTAGCAATGATCTGGCATGTTTACAAAATTGTGCTTAGAAATAATGACATCCATTCCATTATTACTGATGCCCTGCTGGTCAAGGTAACAAATCAGTGCGTCGGAGTTCACACTTGTACTATTGCCCAATATGACGTGTGCATGATTAACGAGTTAATCCTTTGCAAGCCAATGTAGATACCATCCTTATTCAAAAGAAAATATAATTAAATTTTGTTTGCTATATAAAATACTATTTAAATTGATCATTAAGATTTTACTTGGAAAATACTTTTAATGTAATTGTATTTTTGGCATAGATTAATGATTAGATTTAAAAACTAACTACTTTAACATTCAACTTGCTCCAAATTCCTAATATATTCCATAACTACTTTGGTAGCTTCAAGATTTGCCTGAAGTATTATGCATCTTGGTGGCCATGTAAAAAGGTACCATGTATATTTGTAAAAACAATAGGCAACTGTATTCTCCTAAAAATAAATAAGAAACATTCTTTACAAGCAAGACTCGGATGAGTCGAGGGTAAATCCTCCAGTCTTGCATTCTTTATAGTACACATTTATTTAACATTTATTTTTTTAATAGCCTTAATAATTAAGCTGTAGTAGCTACTTTTAAATAAATTGTGGTATTTATGTACTTTTATTCTCACAGGCTACAAAATCTGGTGGCGTGTTGGTGTTGATTGGCCATGGTCCTGATGAGGTTAAAATTCCGGTGGTTAATGCTGGTGCCCGTGAAGTTGACATTCGAGGTGTATTTCGATACGCCAACAAGTAAGATTTGGCGGTAATTTTGTAGTCATTTCTCATTGTATAGGATTGATTTCTTGGAATTAATTGTAATGAATTCCAAAGATGTATTACAAGTGGTGTTGCGGTAAGGAGTAATTTTAAAACGACAAGATTAATATTTTATAGGTGAAATCCTTAACCCTTCAAATGTGCATGACAATCAGGGATGGTCTCACCATTTTTTACAACTACACAAAACAATGAGGAATGTTTCAAAGGTTTGTGTAAGATTTAAAACTCCCTGTAGGTACACAGGGTTCACATATGTTCCTCGGGCCTCCAGTAAACAGATGCCATCTTTTGAACAAATCATGGGCACCCTTCCTGGGTGTGAGGGGCCTCAGTCCTGAGTGATGATGATGAATAGTTTATGCAACAGCAGCTGGCAGCGCTGTCAGGCACCTCAAATCCACCGCATGAGCTGCATGGTGAAATAAATAACTACAATTATTTAAAGATGGTAGTGTCATAGAAGATCCTGACTGATAAAAGCTATGTACTGTATAAGGTTCAGATATCAGTAAACCCAATGCTGATTATGATGTCTACAGCATGAAGCAAACATCCATAGCACATAGCTGCAGTTTTGTGCATCTTGATCATGAAAGAGTATCCATGTTATTATAGAAAAGAAATGTGTGGAGCCGATTCATATTAGGAATTTAGTGAAAAGAATTCTGATAATAATAGCATTGGAGAAACTTACTAAAATACTGTAGTGCTTGAATGAAGGTGAAGGAAAGACAATATGTGTAAGTGTATTAAAAACCAAATTTTTGGATGTGACCTACATTTTCTCAAAGTGTTGTATACAAAGTTCTGAACAAGATTCTAGGAATTTGCATTTATGTCTGGCGGAGCAGCTTACTTGGCGTTCATCATTAGACGCCGCTGTGATTATGCTCTCCAGGGACTTTCCAAGGGATGTCTAATTTTCAGAAGAATGATCAATTATCCTGATTACTGGAAACTGTGGGCAGGGGTCCGTGGAATCATTGTTTCTATTGTAAATACTAAAAGGTCTGTGCTTGTGTATTAATGAGGTTGAGGCTAGTTAATTTTGCTTCCTTAACACTTTCGGCTGTCTGTGACAGATATTGCGTCCATAAATAACTCTACGGATGTCCGGCGGTGCAGCTTTTTGTGTCCAAAATTAAAATTTGTTAAAATTCCATTTTTTTCGATCATTATGGGACGTGTTTTAAAATGTGCGCCAACATCTAATCGTTTTCTGTGATGGGGAAAAAAATATCACATTCATCACTTCCTATGATGGGAATGTGGCATCACGGCACCGCCTGGCAAGCGGTAGGCCCATTGTTATCGTGTCTACTCTCGTGACTGCTGCGGCCTTCCCTCGCGTCCAACATATGTGCCCGTTCCTGCTATATTTGTTACTGCCTTTATACACTACATTTGCTCCAAGATGGATGGTGATCAAGAACAGAGCCATTCCAGGATGAAAGCAGGAAAATAAACACGTCTGAGGGAGAAGCTAAGTAGTGTTCGCCAAAAGTACAGCAAAATGAAACTCGTGCCAACAAAATTTCAGACTTAAGTTGAAGAATTTTCTGATCTTTAACTTGAAAGTGCCAAAAGTGACAGTGATATAGATAGTGAGGTGGTTGAAACTAAAACAGCAGTCGAGGATGAAATTGAAAGTGAGGGGGCGTGATGATGATGATCTTGATACCGCCACACGTGCAGGGTCTGCTATTAGAACTCGTACCGCTCGTACCCAACATACCCCACACACACACACCAGTTCTGGTGAAGCTTGGTCTACTGATAACACTGCACCATTTGTAGACAATTTTACTGGAAGACCAAGCTTGACTACCAGTACCTAGCACTCCTCTGGGATTTTTAGTTATTTGTTATGGGAGTTTTGCCGAAATATTTGAAATTTGCTGTATTTGAAACAAACTTGTATGCATCACAAAGCATGTCCAACGCTTCAAACAACACAAACAATAAGTGGGATGAAGTGAGTGTAAAAGAGCTTGCCAGATATTTGGGACTGACAGTGTTGATGGGCATTGTGAAGATGCCAGTGATGAGAATGTACTGGCAAACGGGTAAATTGTGGCATGTACTTTCTTTCAATACTTTGACTGTGAGACGATATGAATTAATTGCTAAATATTTTCATACTTGTAACAATAATGCCATTCCCAAAGACAATCAAGACAGACTAATAAAAGTTAGAACATTCATGGAATATCTCGTATATAAATGCAAAACATTATACATTCCTCGGAAAAATCTGTTTGGATGAAGGCACAATGTCATGGAGTGCTTTCAAGGTTTATAATAAAAATAAATCTGCTAAGTATAGAGTAAAGCTGTACATGCTGGCTGAATTGCATATTGGTTACATCTGTGATTTTGAAGTGTATGCTGGAACTGGGAAGACAACAATAATAGTTATGGGCTTGATTGAACCACTTAAGAACAAGGTTACCATTTATATATGGATAACTACCATAACTCAGTTCAACTTGGTGAAAAGCTGCTTGAACAAGGTGTATGCACCTGTGGTATTCTGATATCAGCGTGGTGCACCAAAAGATCTTCAGCTACAAGCATATGATAAACTGCCAGTAGATAAAACTGTATTCTGACAGAAGCACAAACTTTTATAATTCTGTGGAAAGATGAGTGAAACTATTCTTATCACAACTTGACACAATACACAAGAAGTGGAGCAAAGGAAACTAGTACACAAACCTGATGGATCATCCTCATTGCAAGAGGTCATTGTAAACAAACCAAAGACAATCTGTGACTACAATACACACATGAGAGGTGTTGATCACTTTTATTAAATGGTCAAATATTATCATTTTACACGGAAATGTCACGAGTGGATGAAGAAAATCACATTTCTGCAAATGGCTATCCATTTCTTTCTGCAAATGGCTATCCATAGTGCTTTTGTTATACAAGTACTACACAACTGATATAAAGAAACTCTCATTGCTCCAGTTCCATGAAGTAATAATTTGGTCACTGTTGAACTTTAAGTACAAGAATTGGCCTCTCCAAAATGACATCATACATGCTGGTGATGTACATGACGATGAGAGCAGATCTACTGGCCACAACATTGCAGCCCCTGGACCATCAGGTGTGAAGCAGATACTGTTCCCTTCATCTAGAGATGAAAATTAATCGTTTGACTCAGAAAACGGGGTTCTGATTACTTCTTGTGGTGCTGCTGCTAGGAGAAAGCCTTGTATTGTGAATAAACCCAAACATCTGAACAGGAACTTGAACCATTCCCCAGTTCGCACTGAGATAAGTCTGAAGTGTCGTGTCTTCTACAAGTCTGGTATAAGGAAGGACACCAGGTATAAGTGCAAGTGGTGTGGTGTAGCACTTTGTCCTGCACCATATTCCGGCTCGTACCATCGCAAGAGAACATGCTGGGTGGATAAGCAGTAATGCTTACCCACAATCCACTCCACCTATAAAACATAGGTTGAGAAACTTCAGGAAACATTTTCCTGGAGCAGGTGGAGTGGTTCAACCTAATGCTCAACTCGTGCTCTACAAACATCATTAGGTGGTAAGAACAGGCATGTTTATTAATTTTGTTATACATAGGATATTGTGGTACAAACATTTATGTGAAGGAAGCAACACAAAAAGGAATGATATTGTTACAAATAATGTCGGGAATGAATGACAAATGTAAAATAATGAGTTTTTCGCATGACCATATACTTTATCTTATGAAATTGGTAATGTTCTTCAATTTGCCCTTATATGCATATAATCCCTTTAGAGCATTCTATTGTGGACAATTTGATACCAAAATGAACAACGTAACACGAAAATTGAGGTGATCAAACTGAAAAGCGTACATATACATAATTGAGTGCAGGTGTACGGATGGGTGCTCGCTCATGGGTAACACTCGGCGGATTTTCTGGTTTGCTGTGGGTAGCATGCCCGTTTGTTTTACCTTGTATGCATATATCCCTTGAGAGAATTCTATTGCGAACAATTTGATACCAAAATGAACGATGTAACACAGAATTTGACGTGAGAAAACTGAAAAGAGTACTGTATACACATTTTAGTGCGAGTGTGCGCTGGCGGGGAAAATGCCAGGCCACCATGGAGAGGGCTGGAGCCTGCAAGTCAGGCAGCTCAAAGTGGTAAGAATAGTTTTAAAGATCAATCGGATCTACTTTTAGTACAGTACAGTACTGTACTAAATCTACTGATAGATTCGATTAACAGTAAAATTATTCTTAAGGGAGCAAAATTAAATACCCTTATTAATATATACAAGCACGGACCTTGTGGTGTTCAAAATGGAAACAATGATTCCAGACCCCAGCCCACTAGTCCCCAAAATCAGGATAATTGAGCAGTCTTCTGAAAATTAGACATCGCTTTGCAAGTCCCTGGAGAGCATAATCGTGACGTCTAATGATGGACGCAAAGTGAGGCGCTCTACATGACATAAACGCAAATTCCTAGAATCTTGTTCAAAACATTGTATACGGCACCTTAAGAAAGGATGAAGGTTACATTCAGTGTTTGTAATATACTATACATACATTGGGTTTTCCTCCACTTTCAATAATAGCAGTATTGTGGCTAGTTAGTGATGTGCATAATATATTGGGAGGCACTTTGCTTTGTCAGGTGCCATTGACAATTGATTAGCATACTGTGCTTGGATTAAGAGAGAACCACACCCACCAGAACAGCTTTATGATTCATAATGATGCATAAAAATGTGGCTAGTTGTATGTGTGTATAGTGTAATAACAGCAAAAAATGTTTTATTGTTCAAAGAACATAATATTGTGTGCATATTACTGACACGAATATATCGTTGCGTACCTATATTTTAACATTGTGATATCAATACATTATTGATAGCCCAATGCATCATTGCACTTGAAAAACCATGATATAAAAGCATTAAATATATTTTATTCATATTTTTAATGTGTATTTAAAACTTTGTGCATTATATGCAGGGCTAGGCTAAACTTTGATTACTGGTTAAAAGGTTATTGCATCCATCAGAACTGTTTGATGGTTCTTAATGATGCATAAAAATATAGATTAACATGTGAATAGTGAGGAATAACAGCAAAAACAGTTTTATTGTTCTAAAATTATAATATGGAGCACATATGAGTGACACAAATACTGTATTTGAGCACACTGTTCCACACATTTTATTACATAAATTTTTCAAATGACACACTATTGAGTAATATTACAGCAAAAAACTAGGAAAACAATGTGACATTAAAGTGTGTAAAAATATATTCATGGCAGCTTGAGCCAAATGCTCAGCCTGGGGCAACCTGCACCATGCAATTGCTTCATAAATACTTGAATCGTGATGTCATTGAAATTTCCTCCCTCCATCACAGCCAAAGTAAGTCATATTTTTTTCCCCCATGACAAGGAAACACATTGACGGTTAAATGGAAAACCAATTTTTGCAATTTTTTTCTCCCATACTCCAGGGCATTCTCATAAGCAGGGGGTTGCAGACAAAGGATTAAATATTAAATAATAGCATTTGATCTCTATTTGTACCAATAATTGGTATTTCAGGTCAAAACAATGTAATGTTATATTTAATGTTAACCAATTAAATATAAATTGATAGTTTTCCTAATGATCTCCAGTAGGTGGAAGACAGGAAACTTGTTAAGCTTGGGTCATCTACTGATACTGTACCTCAAAATACTGTACCCAAGACTGCAGGATGCCTGCTACTACTACCTCAAAATCCTTATCATAGAGATTCGGCTCACCTCCCACAGCACTAACCACAATTGAAGACTGGGGGGAGGAAAAAAAACCAGTACCATAAGGTGCGTGCTTGGAGGGTAGAAGCGGCCTGAAACCGTTAACTTTCAGGGTGTTGCAACCAACAGACATTCAGCAATAAATATTGCAGATTCTTGGATGAAATAAAATCTGAACCTAGCACGTGGAATAGAGGCAACAGGAATGTCTTGAACTCGAAACATCATCTTACATCCCTGCAACCAGCAGAAGTCAGGTCATGGGTGGATGAGAATGCCATCACAAATCAACCAACAAAATCAGAGGCAAACAATGGACCCAGACTGGCCATAATGAAAAATTTCTAAGCATTGTCCCTTGTGGAACAACATTATTCCTACGTAATACTAACCCCAATTAACTCATAAAACGGTATTGGTCCTTTGCTCCTTGTAGAAGAATAGTAACATATTTGGTATTAGGTGCACATACGGGGAGAGGCATGCAGCACCTCTGTGTGACACGAGATGCCACCTGGTGGTACACTTGAGTAATAACGCATGGTTTGTTGACAATGAGCAAACTGTAGCTTCTTTCATTACCATCTTCACCCTTTAATCAAGTTACATAAATTCTTTTGCATTACCTGCACTTCATCAGTAGTTTAACCATTTTGGGTCAATTTGATCCCGATGCTCTCCTGGGTTCTATAAGAATACCAGTCTGGTCCTGGTGTTTAGTAAGCCTGCTCATTTCCAGAGGCCGGAGAGTTTTTTCGGTGTGTATGTGGTACCAGAGCCAATGCATAGGGAGCTACTATGGGCCAGCCTAGAAAGGTGCACGAAGGATTAATAATAGAGAATATTTTACAAAAATAAGATGCCTTTTTGTTTTGTTGTCTTGGGTATATGGTGTTTAAAGTTACAGATTGCCGTAATATACAGGTACCTAAAATAAATAGTACTAATAATTTTCTTCTTTTTTTCCAGCTATCCAACGTCTTTGGCTATGGTTGCCTCGGGAAAGATTAACGTCAAACCCCTAATCACCCATCGATTCACTCTCGAGGAAGCAAAAAAGGCATTTGAAACTGCTCGTACTGGTGAAGGCGGAGCGATTAAGGTCATGATTTCCTGTGAGTGATTAATATACAGTATTCATGGGGGCAAAAGTCAAATATTACTTACAGTAAATATTATACATTATTCAGAGAGAAAACGTCCTCGAGTTTGTAATGTGTGGACCCTTTATCTTTAATGGCCTTGTAAACCTTAGTTTGCAGGAAAGCAGCTTATTTAATACAGTACAATATATTAATGTTTTCCATATACAAATTTTATCATTCACAAATGAGTGGAATATTAAAAATTAGATTTGTGTAGTGTAGTAGTAGGCATCCATCAGTCTCAGGAGACTATGGAGTTGCGCTCTGGTTGTCGGTCTGGAGAGGCCTCACCAGGGCGCAAAGCCAGGGTAGGTTGATTTGGGGAAAAAGCTGTTACCCAGGCAGCAGGTTCCCCCTCTCCACGGCGCTGAAAGTCTCCAATGGAAAAGTATACACCAATACGAATTAATAGTAATTACTATTACTACAGTAGTAACCTAATGTGGGTACCACATACTCAAATATTAGGAAAAGCTAGAAAATGTGTAGACTACTCTGGTATAGTTGCCAACTTTATGCTTTTAACATTAACTGCAAGATTTTATATACTGTAAACTAGGTTTAAAGTAATATTTTAAAATAATTTAATGTATAATTCATACATTATGTACTGCTTTTCAGGATTAAGTATGAATCTTTTAGAAAAAAAATTATTTGCACAAATTCTCTAGGTGTGTGTTGACGAATTCAATGTTTACAGCATTTATCATTAAATTCAATTAATTATAAAATTATGTGACGTTGTGATTTGGAAGATGTTTACACTGATAAATGCAAAATAAATATTTAATAAAATATCTTTTTTTTTTTCATTATGGATGTCAGCATTGTGTAACCTTAGTGGACCAGAAAATATGGAGCTGAAAGTGCTGTGAACCATAAAGAATTCAGCCACATTGTGGTTATTTGTCTTTTGAGCTAAAAAAAATTAGAACAAATTTTTTCATAAGGATACCAATACAAAGAGTAGAAACACCACAATGTGAAGTCAGATTCATTAAATACTTCAGCAAAGAACACAAGATTTGAAGGAACAGAGGGAAAGTAAAATTTAATTCAATGTTTTCTTTCCATTATTTGCAAGTCATGCCTGAGGAAGACAGGCTTTGGCTAAAATAAATTGGTAGTTTCTTAGCTGGTCTCCATCACTCCCAGGCCATTTGCCATAATTAATTTGTATCTTTTTCTGGAGGTTCATTGTAGTTTAAAGTGATGGATGATTGCTAGCTGTTGTTGACATGTCTTAGGCTGTTACTTTGCTTTTCTTTTTATTTAAAGTGCTGCTTTTATGAGGATTTGTTTAGTATAGAATAATATACCTTTCGCCAGCTTCAGGGCTGGATTAAGAATTCGGCAATCTCCTTATATACTTATGTGGGAGTGTTTGTAAAGATTCTTTCTCTCCCTGACTAAGGAGACGAGAGTATCGTTCTAATCCTGGCTGACAGTAGTAAGGCCCTATGGGACTTGCCAAAGGAAGCGACTTTCCTCCCTCCCCCTTCCTCATTCAAAGCCTTACAGCACTTCCAATAAGAATAAGTCACTCCCATCTTCATGAATACATTATAAATAGGAAAACAGCGGAAAAGTAAAGAGAAATATCTTGCTATATTTTAATTATCGTTAATTTTATTACATTTAGAATTTTAATACACTAGCTGACAACCATTGTAGTAATACGATTAGACAGTGATCCAACTGCTGGATCGTTTCCCTTGGCTTGAGGCTGAAAATTAAGTTTTTCAATTAAATATACAGTACACTTGATTTCTTAATGCAAATAAATGAATGAAATATTAAAACTAACAAATTAAAAAAAAATACAATGGTGAAGGAAACACCAATGTGTGTGCAAGTGTATTAAAACCAAATTTTCAGATGCAACCTATATCCTTTGTTCAGTACAACATTGTGCTGTAAACATGTTGTGAACAATATTGTTAAAGCTTGCATTTGTCTTTCAGTGCGCTTAAAGTGACGTCCATTATGAGACGTTATGATTATGCTTCAACGGGACTCGCCGAGGATGCCGAAGCTTCAGATGAATGCGCAGTCATCCTGGCTTCTGTGGGCGGTGCATCGCAGAAACATTATCCCCAGCTTGAACATGAAAAGGTCTGTGCTTATGAATTAATCTAAGAATAATTATGGTTAATCAGATAGACTTTACTAAAAGTTATTCCCCATTATGCCTATAGAAACTAGAATTAGCCCTATCAGGGAGCAGTTATGTTGACCAGACCACACACTGGAAGGTGAAGGGACGACGACGTCTCGGTCCGTCCTGGACCATTCTCAAGTCGATTGTGATGAGGAAGTAGAGACAGGCAATAGATAGACAAGAGAGACCTGAGGAGCAAAGTAAGGTGTAGTAGAGGGGATAGTAATAATAAGAAGAGCTGCAGAGGGCCTATTGGTCCATACGAGGCAACTCCTATTATAACCACCGATTGAGGAGGAGATAGTAATAAGAAGAGGATAGCAAGGGAGCGTAGGACAAGACAATGAACAGAAAAAGGGAGAAGAGAGAAAGATAAACGGAAGGGGTAGGCTTATGTTAGGTCACATTTGTTAGAAAGATTAGAGCATTTGAGTATATACTGTGAAAGGGAAGAGTCCACAGCAACAAAGCCAGGACTCAAGTTCATGTTGGGTACATTGTGTATTAGAGCCGATTCAATAAGACGGCATCTGTGTAGAGTAGAGGCAGGAAAGATTATTTTGGAGGAAGACCAGTCAATGGGATGATTAGAATCCCTCACATGCAGAAGAGAGCATTGTTAGTGTCTGCAGACTTAAAGAACACAAGACGAGTGTTGTCATTCAGTGTACGGCCAGTTTCGCCAAAGTATTGGAGAGGACAAGACGAACAGGAAATAGAGTAGACACCAGCAGCATTAGAAGAAGGAGGAGCAGTGTCAACTAGATTGTTACGAAGTGTGTTAGTTTGTCGAAAGGCGAGTTTAATGTCAAGAGGACGAAAGGTATTGGTAAAAGTTTTGAGTTCAGATATGAAGGGAAGGCATAGTACAGTGCTACTCGTGTTGGAAGCAGGTTTAGGAAGAAAGAAATGTTGTTTAGCTTGAGAGTAGGCACAGTTGATGAAATGCAAAGGGTAACCAAGGCGAGAGAATGATTTGTAGATAAGGGCAATTTCAGAATCAAGAAATTGAGGGTCGCTGATGTGTAGAGCGCGGAGGAAGAGAGAGACGAGGACACTTTTCTTAACAGAAGGAGGATGGTGGGAAAAGAAGTGAATGTACATGCCACTATGTATGGGTTTATGGTAGACAGAGAAAGAGAACCCAGACACAGCTGTGGACATGAACGTCAAGAAAAGGAAGGAGAGAATTAGATTCCCACTCAACTTTGAAATGGATAGAAGGAGCCAGATTGTTAAGAGAGGCGAGGAAAGGCTGGAAAAGATTAAGGTCATGACATTTTTGCTTTATGGCCTCATGACCTTAATCTTTTCCAGCCTTTCCTCGCCTCTCTTAACAATCTGGCTCCTTCTATCCATTACAAAGTTGAGTGGGAATCTAATTCTCTCCTTCCTTTTCTTGACGTTCATGTCCACAGCTGTGTCTGGGTTCTCTTTCTCTGTCTACCATAAACCCATACATAGTGGCATGTACATTCACTTCTTTTCCCACCATCCTCCTTCTGTTAAGAAAAGTGTCCTCGTCTCTCTCTTCCTCCGCGCTCTACACATCAGCGACCCTCAATTTCTTGATTCTGAAATTGCCCTTATCTACAAATCATTCTCTCGCCTTGGTTACCCTTTGCATTTCATCAACTGTGCCTACTCTCAAGCTAAACAACATTTCTTTCTTCCTAAACCTGCTTCCAACACGAGTAGCACTGTACTATGCCTTCCCTTCATATCTGAACTCAAAACTTTTACCAATACCTTTCGTCCTCTTGACATTAAACTCGCCTTTCGACAAACTAACACACTTCGTAACAATCTAGTTGACACTGCTCCTCCTTCTTCTAATGCTGCTGGTGTCTACTCTATTTCCTGTTCGTCTTGTCCTCTCCAATACTTTGGCGAAACTGGCCGTACACTGAATGACAACACTCGTCTTGTGTTCTTTAAGTCTGCAGACACTAACAATGCTCTCTTCTGCATGTGAGGGATTCTAATCATCCCATTGACTGGTCTTCCTCCAAAATAATCTTTCCTGCCTCTACTCTACACAGATGCCGTCTTATTGAATCGGCTCTAATACACAATGTACCCAACATGAACTTGAGTCCTGGCTTTGTTGCTGTGGACTCTTCCCTTTCACAGTATATACTCAAATGCTCTAATCTTTCTAACAAATGTGACCTAACATAAGCCTACCCCTTCCGTTTATCTTTCTCTCTTCTCCCTTTTTCTGTTCATTGTCTTGTCCTACGCTCCCTTGCTATCCTCTTCTTATTACTATCTCCTCCTCAATCGGTGGTTATAATAGGAGTTGCCTCGTATGGACCAATAGGCCCTCTGCAGCTCTTCTTATTATTACTATCCCCTCTACTACTCCTTACTTTGCTCCTCAGGTCTCTCTTGTCTATCTATTGCCTGTCTCTACTTATCACAATCGACTTCAGAATGGTCCAGGACGGACCGCGAAACGTCGTCGTCCCTTCACCTCCTAGTGTGTGTGGTCTGGTCAACATACTTTAGCCACGTTATTGTGACTCATCGCCTGCATTGAGCAGTTATATACAATTCTACTATGATTGAAAATCCAGTAATAGTTAGCAATGGCATTACAGTATTCCTAATCAGATTGTTACTGCTTGTGTGTGTTCAACTCCTCAGTTAACCACAACGAGTCTCGCCAACACATGATACATTGCAATCAATGCAATTTTATCACAATCACCATTACCTACATTATTATTACCATTGCTACCTCTACCCCTTTTTTGAATTATTACCTTTACTAAACACCACTCCTCCTGTTGGTGTTAACAATATCATCACTCATCATTACTTCCAGTATTATCATAGAGTGAAGATATTGGTAACAGGAGTGGTGGTGTTTAGTAAAGGTAATAATTCAAAAAAGGGGTAGAGGTAGCAATGGTAATAATAATGTAGGTAATGGTGTTTGTGATAAAATTGCATTGATTGCAATGTATCATGTGTTGGCGAGACTCGTTGTGGTTAACTGAGGAGTTGAACACACACAAGCAGTAACAATCTGATTAGGAATACTGTAATGCCATTGCTAACTATTACTGGATTTTCAATCATAGTAGAATTGTATATAACTGCTCAAATATCACAAGAGCTCCCTGATAGGGCTAATTCTAGATTCTATAGGCATAATGGGGAATAACTTTTAGTAAAGTCTATCTGATTAACCATAATTATTCTTAGATTAATTCATAAGCACAGACCTTGTCATGTTCAAGCTGGGGATAATGTTTCTGCGATGTACCGCCCACAGTTTCCAGAAACCAAGATGATTGAGCGTCTATATGAAGATTCAGCATCCCTTAGCGAGTCCCGTGAAAGCATGATCATAGCGTCAGATGATGGACATCACACGAGGCACCCTGCAAAACAAACAAGCTCTTAGAATCTTGCGAGACCACCGTTTACAGCACCTTCATATTAGATGAATGTGGCATCCAAAATAATTTAGTTTTAATAAACTTGAACATGTATTGGATCTTCCCTTCACCTTCATTCAAGCAAGTTTCTCAATAATAATAAAGAATATATGGGACGTCAGCACCAGCTCTTACTCCTAACTAGTAATGGCATGCTTCTAGGAACTTCAACACAAGATTCGTGGATGCTCAAACTTTCTACCACCATTTCCACAACAGCTATCAATATAACCATTTTACGTAGTTCAGTCCGATTAGAAATGCTTGGGGATGAAGAGCACAAAGTTTTTAATACTATCCCTTGACCTCCAACCTATTGAATTACTCAACACTCACACCTGTACAATCACAAGTGGAAAAATTTGGGACAAAAGGTGCAGAATGTACTCTAAGGAAGTGCAGACAATTGACAAGCAGTATGAAAGGAAATGTTATTTACCTAAATATATCTACATTTAAAACAAACTGCATGAAGGCCATTAACAAATGCTAGACAAGCACTTAACAGTAGTGTTTGTAATAGATGAAGACAATGAGAGTACACTAAACAGTGTTTTACCAACAAATCTGGGGCTTTATGAATAATTTCACACAGTTCTCTCCTGTTTTTTAGGATTTCCAAGATTTTAAGAAGAGATAATAGACCATAAGACCAGTGGCTATCTTCCCAATCTCGCTAACTTTCTACACACCAAGTACTAGCCAGAGCCTACCATAATTATTGCAACAGATTTCTCCTACATCTCCCTTTATCCGACAGTTTAACACAGCTGTGGTGAAAGAGATCACGTACTTCTGTGAGGAAGTTGACAGAAAGTCACATTAACTTGAGCTGGATTTATGCAAACTGAGTAAATAGGAATTTGCCTATGGAAGTGACTAAGTGGCTTTGGCTAAAACAATTTTAAAGAAATTATATTTTAAAAGAATCTGAAGATAAATGCATGTAGTGAATCGTTTATTTTTATATATATACATTTCATATGATCAAACAAGATCACTGTTAATAAAGTTTATTATGGCAAACAAAGAATTATCATAGCAGTAATAACCTTATTTAGCAGAAACTGTCATTAACTTTACTTCTAAATCACTTTATTTTACATATCCGTAATCTCTAAGTGCAAGTGAAACCATAATAATGTATGGTTTTCATTACACAAGAATATTAAGAAAAAAAATAATCCTGATGTTTAAAATTTTCCTTTACGTCACAAATAATTATTTTAAAGTAAACCAATGATGTAAGGAAAAAAGTGGCAAATGGTGGGGAAGGGGGGGATGATTTAGAAAAGTTGTGATTAAATTGTATTTAATTAGATGAAGGTGCTTGAATGTGTGGGGGGAAAAAAAAAGTAAATTTAACTAGATGACGGTTCTGTACTGTAGTAGCATCATTCTTATATAAGGAAAGTTAATGAAAACTAAATGTGAGAATTACTTTGGAATAACAACTTGATTGATATAGCAAAACACCATTTTCTAGAGAAATCAGTATACCAAGAGAATCATACATTTACTGTTAAGGCACCCAACTGCTGTGTTATATTTTCATTGGTAAGTGTAATCACCTAAGTGTAATAAAATGTGTCCTGGAAGGATGCCAATAAACCCAATAGATTCATGATAGAAAACAGCCACTTACCATTATGTAAACATGTGTAGGTAAAATGCGTGTTAACAGAGCATCAAGGGAAGTTGGTTGGCCTGGAGAGTGGGACTCAACACTTAATGTTAGTTTTGGTAAGTGAACATTTCCGGCAAGTAAAGGATATAGCGTGTAAGTCACTCGTTCACTGCAACCTGGCAACACACGTAACCGTACCTGAAAAATAATATTTTTGTCTCACACGCACACACAGGTAATTACATGAATGCGTGCATATAGACAAGCTCAAATATGCAGCTTTGATATTGTATACCTTTCTAAAAATATATACTGTACAGGCAAAATATTTAATCTAAGGACATACAACAAAATGTAAACTAAGAAATAGGAACAACGATGACAAATTGAAGACTTTCAAGATGCCCAAATTTGTAGGAAGATGATGGATATGACGATCAAATATACAGTAGTATACGTTTGTAAAAGAGTGAAATAAAAGCAGAGAAGTGTTTTTTAAACCAGAATCAAACAAGAGAACATGGCTGTAAACTACTGTAAAAATGGAGAGGAAGTGTTAATGTTTTTATGTTATTATATACAAAAATAGAACACTACGAGCACAGCTCTTCTCATTTCTACAAGCACAATAAAATTTAAAAATGCCTGCAAATAATTTTAATAAAGATTTTTCAGATCTGCACATAAAAGCAAATACGGTTTAGAAACTAAAAAGCAGGAGGAATAAAAAGTATGTTACTACAATACAATACTTTTTGTTTGAAAGTATGCTACATGCAAACAGTGACAAGAGGAAAAACTTCCTTCTCGAGCAGTCACTAGTAGTCTCTCATTGTGATGTTGCTGCACACTTTTCATCAAATTAGTAGAGGGTACACAATAAATTAGTCACCACAGGTAAAAATTAAATATAATTAAGAGGACAGACCAAGTTCCAAGGACTCCACTTGAAAACAGCGACTACTGCAAAGTGGTCCCAATACATATTTCAATTGAGACTTGAAGTAAGAGGGGCAGAAACAAGGATAGAAGATCAGCATTCAGGCATGTCAGAATAAGGAAATTTTCAGGGGGGCAGGATAGAAGAGAACCAAAACTATAACAAAAGAAACAAGCAGGAATTAGGAAACAAGAATGATACAGAATCCAAAGTTTGGAAAACAACCGAAACTACTATAAAGCCACATGAGGAGGAGCAGTGCTAGTAAGGCATAATCAGGAGAGGGATAAGGATTTGGGATGAATGGGAATAATCAGTGAATGATTAAGTAATTACACTAGATCTGAGGAGGCCAAATAAAAACAAAGAAATTGAGGCACTGTACTAAAGTTTCAAAATGATCTTAAATAAGAACATGGGAACCTTACAGAAGTATAACAGGACATTCTTTCAAGAGAGTAAACAACACAAAATTTACAATAGATTATTTCAAATCGGCTTGAGGATCTAGATATGCTGCGAGTAAAACATTTTCAATATTCTACAAATACATCACTGGAGTGTGAAACTATCAAATAACTGGAAGATAGCTAATGTCATACACCTAAATAGAGAGATGGGTGAATATGAGGCATTAAACCACAAACCTATATACTGAACGTGTACATCAGGAGACAAGTCGATAAAAAACAAACATATAAATAAAATAAACAAAGAATAAACAGATTGTGACAAATTTTCAACATGTGACCATAGACCCAAAATTCCTTGTCAAACCTGCTAGTTATATCAAAATCAATAATCAGTGAGGAAAGAAAAGGATGGATTGACTTCACCTTCCAGAACTGCCAGTAGGTCTTGACCCTATTCCACACTAGAGGTTCCTACTCAAACTTAACAGGCTGAAGTAGCTGGAAGTTACGTGTTGAACCCAGTGAGAGAACACCTACCCAGCAAAAAGATATTACAGTAGTGAGATTTAGGGAACAAGACTAGTTGAAGTAACAAGCTTGATACCAGTACCACAGATCAATACCAGGATCTATGCTGTTCCCAATATATGCCAGTGACAGAAAAATAAGATCCCCATGATGCAAAACTATCGAGATGAATCAGAACAGGAAGCTTGCAAAATGCTTCAGGTGGACCTGGGTAAATTAAAGAGATGGTCCCCTTTAATCAAAGGTAATGTATGGGGATGAGATTTCGGACCGGGTGAAATGATCACAGCAACAGATTAAGACATGCTGAAGTTGGAAAAGAATAGAGATCTGTAAGTAGACAATTCGTGGCCAATCACCAAAGGTTTACATTACCAGGATAACTTAAGTAATCAATGCAAAGCTGGTTAACATTCACACAGCATTCAGGAATGCACACAAAACCTTTCAAGATGTGGTATAATAGCTACAAGGCAGGTTTCTGGAGTTAAGATTTTACTCTCCACAGACAACTAAGGACACACAAACACTGACCCATCCACTTACACACCCTTGCACAGTTTTATATTAGAGTATGCCTGTGGTAAACAAGTTTACTGTGTTTGGGAACTGGACTTTTGTTCCCCATGTGTTATTTATAACATGGTTTCCCAGGAACATAATTACAGTACCACATTCTACTAGGGGCCATTCTATAATATTTATATTTAATGCTTAAATCAGTGTATAATGCATATAAACATAGTGGATAAATTAGATATCATTGGTAAAGTTACAATATGCACTATATTAAGACAAACATTACCAGTAAAAGGTATCTGTGATAAACAAAATTAAAAATACAATCTACATATCCTAAATGGCAGGTAAGGCATCCATAACACTAGTTAACCAAGTACTTCTATGTAGAGGGGAATAAATACAGAACATACCTCCTTGTGTCCTGCATACATAAATGCATCTGAAACCTGCATGTTTAAGGCAAGTTCTGCAGTGTGTGCACCATGATTTGATATGATGTAGGCCAGCGGTAGTGGTGTGCGTACTGTTCCTTGTGGAACAACTTCACAGTCTACCCAGACCCCCCAGTGTTCTACCACTAGGGACGGTAAGCCTACACTCACGCTCACAGCTGGCGAGTCATTGTCCGATCTGTACATGGAGTACAAATGAATACAGTATACTGTATATATATATATTGAATATCCTGCATATTCATAAATTTTCTCTTTTATTTTAAAACAAAACATTACATGAAGATTAAAAAAAATTATAACATACAATACTCTTGAGCTTATACAGTATTCATCATCTATTTGTTATTATTTACATAATTTTTGGTATACAGTACAAATAAATAAAAAATAAAAAGTAAATAAAATAAAATAAAAATAAAAAAATCCTGAAGAATTTTGCTTTAAGAAATATTAGACATAATTCAGATGAAGGTCCTTAATTTTCATTAATGTTCAAAACGATTGTAAAATGTCCAAAATGGTCCAGCTGATTTGTTGGAGAAATGCAATCTTGGCTGGGAGGAGGAAGGTGGTTCAAATATTAGCAGTGGCACTAGCACTGTTTCAGATATTAAATAGTAGAGTGTTACGATTATGGAATTTCACCAGAATTCTCCCCCTTTACAGTATGATGGACAACTTCCATCATACAACTTCCAGCCAATTATTGTTCAACCAATATGATGGACAACTTCCAGGAGAACCTGTATGCAAAGTGATTTCACCCATCGAGCATATTTCTCATGTTCCAGCCTTAAAACGTATTTTTAGAAAGTAGATGGTTGACCCATATTAAAGTCAACAAAACCCCCCAGCAAAAATTAAAACGACCCACATAATTTGGTTTTAACCACTGTGCTGCTCGCCTTCCAAATATGGCACCCCCACCCCCTCCCTGTGCGCAGGAAATAAATTCTCTGGAAAAAATTATTTTTGTTTTTGAAAATGTTAAATACCCCTTCCTGATCACAGATATGTAAAAAACAAGAAAAATTGTAATTACTTTAGCCACAATGGGGTCCGAAAAATGGCATGTGATGTCACGATTTGGTGGTCGCCCATGACGTAGACTCCCGAAGGCAGTCGCCTGCCAGCTTCAACATGCACGAGTTTCCACAAATATTTTTTTGTTCATTTTTTGTGTACATTTCCAAATACATTTGTTTTGTATTTTCTTGCCAATCCTATGTATAATGAACACGTACACAATATTATGGCAGTAGAACATCCGTACTGTCCCAAGACACTGTTGTGTGTGTCTCAAATGTGTCCACACATATTGCTCATATATCCTATGTTTCATGTTCATTTATGTATACTTACAACATATTTACACACTATATACATTCACCATCAACACACTCAGAACTCAGCGAGTGTGAGCCACACCCAGCCAGCCCTCCCTCACTCCTCCAACACCTAGCTTACTCTTTATTCACCAACAATGCTCCTCCCACCATACTGTTATTGTTTTTATTACACTATTTACACACATTATGTATATGTATCTACACGTTTTATTCACCATAACTATGCAAGTAAGCTGGTATTGTGTCCAAACAGCACAATAGCCACCATACACTGCTTGAGAAATCACACAACAGCCAGCAGATGACGCTACAATTATGACACCACCGTCCTCACCAAAATGGCTCCTCCCAACATACTCCTGTTGCTGTTATTACACTATATATACACACATTGTATATACTCGTGTACATGTGTGTTCACCATGGCAAACCAATAAGCTAATATGGTGAGCAAAACAAGAGTGGCTGCCACACACAGTGACGCTATCTGGATTCCCTCCCTCACCAAAATTCCTCCTCCCACAATACTATGCACATATGTACATGGGTATGTACATATGTGCATAGTATTGTGTATATACCCATGTACATATGTGTTCACCATAGCGAACCACTAAGTTAGTATGGTGAGCAAAACAAGAGTGGCTGACACACACAGTCACACTACCTGGATTCCCTCCCTCCTCTCACAATACTACGCACAGCGCGAATTATCACCACAATCCTGGCCACTAAATCCTGTAAATAAATAATTGACCACAAGTTTATTTTGTAAAGGAACATAGGAATTCATTTGAAGATTCCTAGATGGACGAAATAATGCTGTGGTGCTGTGGCTAACGCTGTGAACATCGTGAACAGCATTGATTCACTGATATTTGAACATTGTACACAAGTCATTATCACACTCAAGCCCTTCTGTAATACTATCATGGCTAAATAATTACCCATGATAATTAGCCTCTCAGTTATATATATATTTTGACATTATTAGGTGATGCTGTGGCCACAAGTTGAACAGCAGTGCTGTGAGTTCATGCTGCGTGCGCCAGCCTTGGTTGCTCACTCAGTACCGAGGCTCTCATACCCGGAAATGATCCCCACGATTTTTTTTTTTTTAAATGGCATCTGTTTACAAGAGCCCTAAGGAAGCTGAGGTGAACCCCATGTAACCGCAGGAGTTTTGAATCATACACTAAAAATATAATATCCCAGAGGTGCGTTGCGCACCCCCTGTCGAGCGCCTGTAATCGCGTTGCGCAGTTCAGCGTTTAAATAGGTTGAAATTAAAAATTCACTTGGCTTATATAATTGACAACAGGTCTGAATTCTGGCTCTGCTTCCTAATTAAATTTGCACATTCCCCACTTCGCTGAACAAGTATTTGGATATTCAGTGAAGCAGGAGAGTAAATCAAGTCTAGAAAGTGTGATGCAACTGATTCATCAAAACAAAGTTTGCTAAATGAGATTGCACCCAACAGTGTCGGCATGGCTGTTGGCAGTAAGCAGGGCCCTCCCTCGGTTGGCCGAGCGGACAGCATGCTGGACTTGTGATCCTGTGGTCCCGGGTTCGATCCCGGGCGCCGGCAAGAAACAATGGGCAAAAGTTTCTTTCACCCTATGCCCCTGTTACCTAGCAGTAAAATAGGTACCTGGGTGTTAGTCAGCTGTCACGGGCTGCTTCCTGGGGGTGGAGGCCTGGTTGAGGACCGGGCCGCGGGGACACTAAAGCCCCGAAATCATCTCAAGATAACCTCAAGAAGCAAATCAAGAACATAACAGTGAGCAAATCAAGAATAGAGATTTGCTTGTAACTTTCAAACTCATAACTAACTCAAGTTTTTGATAGCTGCATGAATTAAAAGATGGTCTTCAATTGGTATGAGTAGTATTTCTGTTAAGAAATTAAGTACGTGTGTGTGCATAGAGCTATATAAAAATAAATTGCAGGATTTTGTTGGAGAATAAGTAAGTAAATAAATACATTACGTACATACACATTACAAATTACAAAATACATTACAAAATAATCAGATTTATAAAGATGTTGAGACTGGCTATGTGTGGAGATGCTGCCTTATGAAACTTTTACTAGTAGACTAGAAGAAGTGTCCCAACCCATAAGATTAAAAAAAAAAAAAAAAAAAAAATGGCCATGTTGAATGTTAACCCTTAAACTGCGCATGGCGTATATATACGCCCTGAGTAACATGTCCCATGGTGCGCATGGCGTATATATACGCCATAGGGTGCCAGGCCTGATTCAAATGGCCCGCGGCTACACGGGGTTCACAGTAGCTTCCTCAGGGCTCTTGTAAACAGATGCCATTTTAAAAAAAAATCGTGGGCAATATTCTCAGGTGTGAGAGGCACAGTACTGTTGGAGCAACCAAGGCCGGCGCATGCAGCATGAGCGAACAGCATTGATGTTCAGCTTGTGACCACAGCATCGCCGAAAAATGTCAAAATAAATAATTGTTATTATTTTGCGATGACAATATTACAGATGACCAATGACTGTGATATAAATAACCAGGGTTGTGATAATAGCAGGATTGTTGTAATAATTAGCGCTGTGAGAGGAGTGATGCTGAGAGACGGAGGGAGACAGCATCGTTTACTGACTGTGTGGCTAGCTGTTATTGTTTGCATTCACCATACCAGGTCAATGGTTCTCTATGGTGAACACAAATGTAGATACTTATATATAATGTGTGTATTAGTGTAATAACAGCAAAAGGATTATGCTGGGAGGAGCCATATGGGTGACGGAGGTGACGTCGTCTGCATGATTTGTCTAGCTGTTTAGAGGGTGGCCACTATGCTCTTTGGGCGCACTACAAGCTTAGGTGTACAGTTACGGTGCATAAAACATGTAGATATTTATATATAATATGTGTATATAGGGTAATAACACTGCAAAAGGTATTGTTGGGGGAGAAAGTTTAGTGCGTGTAACCTTGAAAGAGTGAGGGAGCCGCCAGCCGCCATCTGTGTATAGCGACGACTCAGTGCCTGAACTAACTATATCAGCTTAGCTGTACAGTTGTGGTGAACAAAATATATACATACTTATATATAACGTCTGTATATAGTGTAATAACACCACAAATGGTATTGTTGGGGGAGAGAGTTTAGTGCGTGTGTTGAGGGAGTGGCAGCCAGTGGCTGGCTGGTGTGTGGCGGTAACTCCTCGTTGCTTTTCGACTCTCAATACCAACTTAGTGGTTCGTTATGGTGACCAAAACATGCCAATACTTATATATAACCTGTGTATAGAGTGTAATAGCAGCAAAACTATTTGTTTATAGTTTTATAAACATAATAATTGAATCACTAATATGCACATCATACTTTTGAGTATAGCGATTATTAACGACTTTTATTATATAAATATATTACAATACACACTATTGAATAATATTACTGCAAAAAAACCAAGAAAAAATCAATCGAGACATTGAAACAATTAGGTAATAATATCTTTGTGGCAACTCCCATCTGTCAACGCGGGTGACGCTGACCGGGTCTGACGACCGCTGTCAACGCCCACTTTTTGCCAGACTTCCTCGGTCAATTGCGCCCAAAATATGTCACCTACGATTTTTTTTTTTATTTTTTCCGTGCTCAGGGGACACAAATTAACATGTTTAGAAGACGAAAAAAAATTTTTTGAATTTTTTTTTTTCTTGCGCACAGGGGTGTAAATGTCCAAAGGACCCCTGAGCAGTGTAAGGGTTAAATGCTGATGGCTCTCTCAGACTAAAAATATAAATGGCAGGTACTCCAGCAAGAACTAAATATAAAAAACACTGCTTGCACAGTTCCTCTACTCTATTACCATACCAAAATGTAAATATTAAAGTACAACAAGACGTCATGTGTATTGGACTATTTACTGCGCATCACAAATATTTTGATGCACTAGTACTGGTAGTAGGCATCCATCAGTCTCAGGATATTATGAAGTTGTGCTCTGGTTGTTGGTCTGGAGTGGCCTCTCCAGGGCGCAAAGCCAGGGTAGGTTGATATGGGGGCGGAGCTGTCACCCATGCAGCAGGCCCCCCCCCCCTCTCCACAATGCCGAAAGTCTCCAATGTTAAGGCAAACACCAATACGATTGGTTCCAGCACAGTCGCAGGAACCATCAGAACGTGGTTGAAGATAACAACAAACTGCCCCTAGGGGCTCCAGCTCCGGAGTTTACCTTGAAGTTGGTAAAAGAAAACACAGGGACTTCAAACCCGGAGACCGCCGTGGTCAGAGACGGAGAAGAACCACCCCAGCAAGAGCAAGAACAACCCCAGACTCCTGAAACAGAGCTTGGGCCACACAAACCCCAGGAGGTGGACATCCGAGCCCCGCACCTACAGGTTCCACACAGAGATCATCACAGCCCCCTTTCACCTGAGGTCGGCTTCCTTCATGACCCAGCAGAAGGAAGAGTAATAATTATTAATTACAACATTTATTATCATAATACAGCCTCATCAACCAGAGCGCAACTCCATAGTCTCCCAAGACTGAAGGAAGCCTACTACTACTAATTGCACTAGTACTATACCATACAGTATATAATCCTTTAAAGTTAGTCTACTGTTACACAGTAGTGATATTGTATTACAATGTTCTTATAAAAGTGTCAGTTGAGTATATTTATACAAATACTGTAATAAGTATTTTGATTTCCACAAGTGTCATAATTCAATAAAGAGTTAAGTGAGATTAGAATAATTATCCCCAAGTAAATTATATATTTTCAACAGTAATGTATAATTTAGGTATTAGTAACTGAGCAAGAATTGACGGATACTTATACTATTCCTATGATAGCATTTAACCAACATTAATATGCCAATGCTATAATTTAATTTGTTGTTCATTTGCCAAATTTGCAGTCATGTTAATCTAATGAGAAGCAGATACAATTAACACCTCTTAAATGTCATGTTCATACATTCTTGGGGAATAGCACAAACACATGCTAGTATATAGCATCTTGCACAAAAATAGCACTGCTTATAAACTCACCTTTTCCAGTACAGGACATACTGCCCGAGAGTTAATGCTGAATTAGGAGTTGCCTTTTTGCCAAGAAGAATGCAGAAGCAATCAACACCCATTTCTCCTTCAGACAGCACTGTATTCATTATCTGTGACTTTACTTCTGTCCCAACTTGATTAACTTCATTAGCCTGGAAATTTTATGCATAAATATCAATATATTCAGCGAGAAAATCAGTTTGAGTAGTGCGGGGATTTGAACCAGCATCCTGGTGAATACCAGATGCACACCTTATACATAAATATTAATGTATTCAGTACCCTCCCTCATATTGTACGTGGGTCACACCACATGTCATGCTGTGTATTTAAGGTCTACTGTAATCCAATCCATTCATTTATAATTTTCCCAATTTAATAGTGAAGGATGAACTTTTTAACAATTGACTGCCTTTTTCTATGGCCATGCCCACACTGTAGTAGCACTTGGCATTCTGCTTTACTTTCTCTACCCCCTACATGTAAATGCTGGAACTGTACCCATCATTTCCCATTCTTTGTTTTTTCCTTTTCCCTTTAAACGTTCTGCATTTTTTTATATTTCCCTTCTACCTTCTCACATGCAAGTGTATGGAGGTACGTACTCCAGCCCTCATGGATGGTTCCTTAAGTTTTATTCTCATGACACTTTGTGGTCTGCTCCATTTTCTTAATCCTAAAATGATATTTGATTAATTACAGTATCATCAGAATCACTATTCTGATGATACCTTATTCCTCCATTTTGATGGGATGGGGAGATTAAAGCATAGTGGAAAATAGGAAAGCAATTTAGTGAGAAAAAGTTTAAGACATTAGTTGTTCATTTAGTATAACTACAAATTTTTTGTCAAAATGTTCACAAATGAGTTCTGTAGACAATAGATGTAAAAACAAAAGTGTATTTATAATATACTGGATTTATCTACACTATGTCTAATCTATGAAGATTTTAACATTCCTAATTTATTATTCATCCCAAATAAAAATTAAAAACACAGAAATGTGTGCAAGTGACTGATCTATACACCAGTACAAATAAAAACAGTATGCTAACAATTTTCTTTTAGGCACTTTGCAAACGAAAATAATAATGTGCATGCTCAGAGCTAACATGGTCTGCCTGTGAAGTAAAAAAAAAGTTTATCACTTTACATTTTTTAAAGTATCTGATGGATTATAACTACAAATTTGGTGTCAAAATGTTTGCAAATTAATTCTCTAGAGTAGAGATGCAAAAAAGTACATTTATAAAAGATTATGAATGACAGCAATGATTATATGAAAGTTTATATTAGAAGCGAATCCTCATGGGCGAGAGGAAAGTACGCTGGTAGGTCTACTCATGCCCTAGATATTATCTGCTCACACAATAACAGCAATTTTCATAAAGTTTTGGATAGCTGATGCACACAGAATACCTCCAGAACTGAAAACCAAAAATTTAGCAACTGGACGAGCCATTTTAGTGTCATCGGAATATTCATTGTCAGAGTATGGATGGTCTCTTAGCATCATAGGAATGCGAGTTAAATGCAGTTGCTTTTTGGTGGCCGGGAACCTAACTGATATACTGTGTATAATTGTAACGACGAGAAACAGTTCTGAGAACAGACCATATACTTTGTGAATGGCCCTCAGGAACAAAGTCGAGTTAGTTGAGAAGACATTTGTGCTTCACCCTGTGCTTCACATAAGTTGTGCATATAATAAGTAAACAGACCACTTGTTTTTACACACTTTAGACCTTCAAGCATCTCTAGCATTTGAAAAAGATGAATTAATTAAAAATCCTATCTTAAAAATAATAAATGGGAAGCATTCTTCTAGGCTTTCAGGTCCCAAGAAGCAGAAATGGGTCCCGCAGGATTATATTATTACCGGTATTTAGCATTAAATTGTTAAGACAATATGAAGTTTTTCCATCAAGTATTTTTTTTTTTTTTTTTTTTTGAGATATATACAAGAGTTGTTACATTCTTGTACAGCCACTAGTACGCGTAGCGTTTTGGGCAAGTCCTTAATCCTATGGTCCCTGGAATACGATCCCCTGCCGCGAAGAATCGTTTTTTAATCCAAGTACACAATTTACTGTTGCGTTAAACAGAGGCTACAGTTAAGGAATTGTGCCCAGTAAATCCTCCCCAGCCAGGATACGAACCCATGACATAGCGCTCGCGGAACGCCAGGCGAGTGTCTTACCACTACACCACGGAGACTGTAGTTTATGATAATACACAAGTTCTTTTAGTAATGCTTATACTGTAATTATGAAACATTGCCTCAATAAAACACAAAAAATACTAACCAGAGCCAGAGAAGAGTCAGTGAGTGTAATGGGGACATGTGATGTACACTTAATTTTGGGAACCACCAAGAAGCACTCACCACCAGCTACTCTTGATAATTTTTCAAATTTTAATGACTGGGTTTCCACAGTGACCTGTATGAAAGAATATTTCTTCAAGAAATAACACACTATTGAACAATAACTTCTTCACAAAAATAATTATACTGTATATGAAATTAAATAAAATTTTCATTAACTGCCTATTATTGGTTCATTTATTTTAGTTTCCTTTTACACTGCTGTCCCTGAGGAACTGTACTGATTGATTGTACTGATTATTATCTCATATGATATCCTGTACTTGGGACTAGAGGAAAGGAAAACTGGGGAAAAAATCTTTATTAAAATACTGTACAACATCTGTCTTGTGCTAAGGCAACACTTATGAAATGGGACAGTAAAGCTTTGAGAGTAGATTAAAAGCTTTATGAGCAGGTCACTTGGTTGTTACTTTAAGCAACATCCTGCTGTTCCAAAGAGTTAAGGTGGAAATTTTGAAGATAGTAGCATTTTAATAGGTAATATATGAGGGTGTGTGTTGATCACTGCTATACCTTCAACAGCAAAATGTCACCTGCTACATAATATTTTCAGAATTTGCCGGACAAAAATGTATGTCAATGTCACTTGCTGAAAAGTAAAAGATGGGAAAAATACACTGCTATTTAATGCAAAATTTGTTGAAAGAAAATGGGAATGTTACAAAGTTTAAGAGATGATGAAGCTTTCTCACTGACAGTTATTTAGCTCCAATTCCAGTTATCTGGAACTTCAGTTACCTACGCACCCAGAGGTACCAATTGATATGGATAATATGGGGTCAAACTATTTTTTCCACTACATTCTGAAGACACTGATAGGTAACCAAAGAAATGTCATGTCCCATAATGGAGGAAGGTCGGTATAAATGCTTATGCAGCATGATACTGATAAAAGTTAAATTTTAATAGGTATTCTTACCTGAAATGGAATTCTTGCCTGGAGAACAATGCTTTTCTCGCACACACAAGGACAGTGAACAACCGAGTCACCAGATGATACTGACACAGTATATTCAACCTGTTTGAAAAAGATGTAAACTCTGTCCATTTAATAACAATATGTGAGCATATTAATTTTTTATCACCTTTTGTTTTTGGTCAGTTTACTACCTTGCCTATTGGGTCTTTCATTAAGCAATAGCAAGAAATACAATCGCCCAGTGAATCAGGTCACTGAGCTTGCAAGAGTTGCATGCAACGCGCCCCAAATGATGGAGGGGAAAATGGCATCTACCGCTGCAAACTCCAGGTGTGCAAATCACAGAAGACACACATTCTACCAATTAAATTATCATGTACCCAGTGAAGGTTTGGCATATTGAACCTTACAGATTTGGTGCATTGAGGCAGCAAAGGAAACTTAAGTAATTTTTGTCAACAAGGGACATCATATTAGCCACACAGGTAAGCTAGAACACCACACGAAGGTGTGGATTATATTAGGTGGCACTGATGGCAAACTTTTATCCAATAAATTAATTAGTTTTCCTAACACACACACAAACTATTTTTTATCTTATTTAAATACATGTAAAATTATTGACAAGGTTAATCAGCTTCATCACATTACCAAAGAGCCAAAGCTCAACCCACACAAGCACAATTAGGTTAGGTGAGTACATTAGCTATGAGGAAGAAACACAGGCAATAATTCCTCACCTTCAGTGTCAGTACTCGTTCAGATGCAGTGAGAGATTTGACATAAAATGTCATGGATGATTCTTCTCCAACACCTAATTCTCCACTACTGAAGCTGTTTATTTGAGACCCCAACTTGTCACTGAGTAGACCCGATGATGTACAAATTTGTGCTGTGCAAACATGAAAGCAATATTTATAATTAGAAATTGTTTAATATATGTTTGTTATAAATACATTAAATTTTGTTTAGATGTGTCAAATTTTCCAAGGAAGCTGACCATGGCACTGGTAGGGGGTATACTGTGCTGCATAACACTTCTTTTCTAGGCAATTATGGAAAAAGGAATAGCAGTGATAAAAATCTTCTAGGTAGTAGTAATAAAAATAATAATAATAATAATAATAATAATAATAAAAAAGCAAGATCTTGAGTGTTATTGTCTTCAATAGAAAAGGTTTGAGAAGGATAAAAAGATCAGAAAATTAATCGAGAGGTTAAGAAAAAAGGAAAATAGGATCCACTTCATTCACTTGTCATCATTTACACTTTCTACATCCTCAGTCCACTAAGCACTTTACTTTTCATTTCCTACCAATTTTCACACCACATCTGATGACCAGACCACACACTAGAAAGTGAAGGGACGACAACGTTTCGGTCCGTCCCTTCACCTTCTAGTGTGTGGTCTGGTCAACTTACTTTAGCCACGTTATTGTGACTCATCGCCTGCACACCACATCTGTTCAGTATTCCAGTCCACAAGTTCCTTGGGTTTATCCCACATACTTGTTAGGTTTATTCAGTCTTATTCTTGAAGAATAACTACCAACTACCCTCTATTATTCATTAACTAACTGTTCCTCTTAATTTCTTAACTTCTGTTCTTGCACATAATGCATCTTTGGGAGACACTATAATTGCATTGCCAATGTATTTTATATAGCCCTGTTGTGTAAAAGATGCTCTTCTTACTGCTCTCGTCACATGCATCCTTTAACTAGCTTCTCTCGACCAAAATACATTTGATTGCAGGAGACTTATCTGCCATGTCAGAAATGTCATAACATGCATACATGTTCACATGCTTGCGAACAATACACATGGTGTTAAAGATAATGAAATACTGTACTATTTTCTGGGCAAGCCCCCTCTATGGTGTTCCTAGCTAATGCCACCGACACAGGACAGTGTGAATATACCAGGCTCCAGTTCACCATCCATCATTATTTCCAGCAATCTTGTCTCTTTCACTTGATGGGAAGCCTTTAAGGTCATCGATTAAAGCACTACTGAGATGATCTGCCTACCATAATACAGAGAAATGCGTAAAAAGCATACAACTTCTTTCCAAGTATTGCTTGAAAATGCCAAATCAAACAAAACTCTGAATAAGCTAGTCACATATTATTCAGACTGCCATATTTGCCATTCTCTCAAGTCCATGCCTGGCCCCAGGTTGGGACTGGGAAATAGAAGAACTCCCAGACCCCTCCCCAGGGAAGATTCAAGGAAGACCAGATGGTGGGCTGACTAATTATGTTACCCTGTGGTACCCTTGCATTGGTTCCGAGGATTAATGTCCCTGCAGCCTGGTTGGTTTGGTCAACCAGGCTGTTAGATGCAGCTACTTGCAGCTTGATATATGAATCACTGCCCAGTTAATCAGGTATTCTTTGGAGGTATCTATCAAATTCTTTTTTGAATACCATGAGAGGTTGGCTGGGTATGATCCTATGTTTAGAGGGAGAGTGTTGAACAGTCTTGGGTCTCTGATGTTGATAGAATTCTCTCAACATACTATTGCACCTCTGGTTTTCAAAGAAGATATTTTCCTGCCATGCCTCCTTGTCTCTGTGTTATTATTTTCTTACTAATATTTACTAATTTTTCCTACTAATATTTTTCTAATAATATAGTTACTAATATTTTCCAAGTGTAAATTATTATATATTTCTTCCACTTGCACTCCAAAGAACATAGATTTAAAAATGTTAAAGTCCCAATAATTTAGATGTTTTATCGAGTGAATTCGGACAGTAAAATATCTTTGCACATTCTCCAGGACATCAATTTCTCTAGCTTTGAAATGGCTGTTAGTGTGTGCAAGAATATTTCACTCTAGAGAGCACTAGTGTCTTAAAAAGTATCATTGGTCTGGCATATCTTGCTTGAAAGGATCTTATTATCCAACTTGCCATTTTTCTTGCAGCTGTGACAGCTACTTTAGTGTCTTCTTCAAAAGAAAGATATTTCAGCATTATCACTACCAAATCTTTTATGTTGCTGTTCTGTTACATAGTGTGATTTGACAGCATTTCATATTTACTTTCCATGTTGATATTTCTATATTTTGCATAGTGCAGGAGGTACCTAACTCTGTTGTGGATGATGATACACGTACAATTCCATGCTTTAGAATTTTGTTTAGAAAATGCTTTAGAAAATTCCATGCTTTCATGGCATGTATGCCAGCATATTTGCATGTCTCTTGCTACCATTTCACTTTGACATTGTGGTGTACCCCCATGGTCAAAGTTTAGGAACCTCAACAGATGCTAGACCTACCGACAGGATAGCCAGCACCTGGCTAACTTCTATCAAAGGTGGACATCAAATAGTAATGATACTGATTCCAAGATAAAAGAGAGGCCATCTTAGTATCCCAGGAGCAACCCAACCAAGTCAATGACGTAGCTTACATCACTTGTGACACATTTGTGTATGAGGCCAAATCACTGAAGTCACTGAGGTAGGCTAGAACTTTGATCCCTATAGATGCAATTTTTGGAGAATCTGTCTTCTATCCCCAACTCCAACAGCCCCTTAACTGTGGATAAATAATTATTTCAATAGGTATCCTACAGTCCAAGGAAATGACCCAAGACTATCTTGACACCACTGGGCAAACCTGAGACATGGTGGTCATCCAGAATATTGTACAAGAGACGAGCGTTGAAACAAGACAGATTCAGTATGAAGTGTGGCTAAACAAAGCCGCCGCCGCCGCCTCCTCCAGCGTGCCGCCGCCGCCGCCACCGCCACCGCCTCCAGCGTGCCGCCGCCGCCACCGCCACCGCCTCCAGCGTGCCGCCGCCGCCACCGCCTCCAGCGTGCCGCCACCGCCTCCAGCGTGCCGCCACCGCCTCCAGCGTGCCGCCACCGCCTCCAGCGTGCCGCCACCGCCTCCAGCGTGCCGCCGCCGCCACCGCCTCCAGCGTGACGCCGCCACTGCCTCCAGGAATATGAGAACCATGACCAAAACCCCCAAAATAAGAGGTTGGCTGAACTGGCTTCAACTGAAACACTTACTAAAACAGTTGAAAAGAAGCACACAATGCACCCAATACCTAGGCAACAACTTCTTCCAGAAGCAGCGAGAATGGGGGAAGTCAGAAAAAAAGGAAAACTGATTAAGAAGATGGCTGGAAATGATCCAACGATGTGGTCTACCCAAAGAGGTCTCATCTTGTACCGATAATTGTCGGCATCATACTAGGAGGTGCATGAAACTAGCACCTCTCAGTAGGTGCCTGGAACATGGCCAAGTAATCCAAGAGCAAAGCCGAAAAAACATCCTCATAAAACATATGGGAATTCTCTTCCTCCACACCAGCTTTGACAAGATACCATGGGATCCTGCAGGTAAAGTTTCGTTTATTTTCAATCCCAAAGGTGAACTCTCCCGAGTCAAGCTTCATACTGAATCTTTGTTAAACTCTCTTCTCTTGTCGAGTATTCTGGTAGCAAACTAGTTTCAGTCTTGCCAATGAGTTTGGGCAGGTTTATGGCCTTGACAGAAGTTAACTGATTACTGATCCTAAATTGCTCACTCCTGTCCACCCAACCATTATTGGAGATCTAGTTATAAACCGATTGGCTGGTCGAATTCCAGAGGAAAACTAGTAGGGTAAGGCTCGAGATGAGCTATGAGAAGAGAAAGTGTGAAACCTGCTAACAAGAGTAAAAAATTCGTCTTCTGTACTCATCTGACAAGTTGACTAGACCCTGGTGTGTCAGTTGGGTTAAGCTTGGGGGTCTTCCCAAAAAGTAATTTTTCTCAATGTTGAGGATTTAAAAAATTTCCCCTTATCACAATGCAATCCAATTTACTCCCATGGAGTAAATACACAATGATACCGGAAATGTTATAGGAGTAAATCTCATAGCTGCTACAGGTATAATGATTTCACGGGCACCATATAATACTATTCTAATACTGAACGTGTGAAATATCCAGAAATCAACAATGTCAGCCAGGCCCACAAGCTAATTAAGTCTTTGCAGATGTAAAGTATCTGTAAAGAGTTAAAAACAACACTAGAGCACCAACAGACAAACCTGCATAACTGATACATCTACATTCTTGGCTAATTTTCCCACAAGTAACAAGCAACTATTCAAAACATAAAAATTTGCAAACAAAACATTATGGTAATAATTAATATGAACTTACTAACATGCTCCAGGTTAACATGTGAAGCTGGGTCTAGTCCAAAGCTTAGGGAAATATCTGAAGCTAAACTGCCTTCCAAATTGGCGAGGTAAATTTTCACTGGCAGCCACTCCCACACTAGGGCTGTGGTATCATGCTCAACCTGAAACATTGCAACACTTCATATACGAGTTACAAAATGAATACTGTAACTAGTGAAAGACACTTTGGAGAGTTAGTGTTAAGTTGTATTGGGCTTTACGAAGGCTGGAACAAATGAGGTTATTCAACTGTGAAAGAGGGACCATATGTAAGGGAAGGGGGGCCAATTACAAAATACTAATACAGTCAACTACTTTCTGTTAGCTCTGGTATTCGTTAGTACAGATTCTTAATAAAGTGATACTATGCTTTTTGCACTAAATGTAAAAATAAATAAATCTTTCATATGAAATTTGAGAGAAACCAAAGGTTTTTGTGATGGTGGCAGCCTCATTAAAGGGTACTCTTAAATACTAATACTCTTTTTATTAATTAAAAAAATATTCATTTTAACATGCCAACTTATAATAGTGTCAAAGGCTGTGCAATACAGCAGCCGAAATAATAAATGTGTGCTTGTCTATCAATGATACGAGAGAGCGAAATCTAGCTCTTTATGTCCCACCTCCTAGCCTTTCATACCCGAAATGCTAATTAAATCTTTCGACAATCAAATCTTCTCATACCTATGGGGGTGTACCTTAGATTAAGAATCATACCACTAGTCCCATTTGAATGGGTGGTATTTGTGAGTTGATCTAGTCACACAGTCCCTTAGACAACTATGCACACTAAACATGGTATGGTTGATGAAGAATGGTAATGCTTGCTTGTCTGTGATGCTACCTACTATAGTGTGGAGGATGTAATAAACAAACTTGCCATATTTTATTGACTATTACATTAATAATGTTTCACTATACAGTACTGATCCCCAAATTCTTCTCAAGGCTGACGACTACACACTTCATGAAACAAGAAAACGGTAGTTGCTGTACAATAATGACATGTGTTGGGTAGATACTTCCAATGCATGAAATTATAAATGATATAAGAATTTTAAGTTTAATAATGTAAAAATATTAAGTTTCCAAAAGTTACACCTTGGATGAAAGCAGTGAGGCTAGTAATTTAAAGAATTCTGATAGAGAGAAACTAGGGGGATGGTTCTAGATAGAAAACTGTCACCAGAGTACCTCATAAAGAACATTGTGAGGAGCATATGCTACAATTTTAGGATCATTTAAATACATGGAGGCCAAAATATTAAAGAAATTGTTCACAACCTTTGCTAGACCAAAATTGGAATACACAGTGCTGTATGGTGCCAATAGCTCAAGAAACAACCAAATAAATTGAAAAAGGTGCAAAGATGCAACTAAATGGCTTCTGGAACTAAAAAATATACATATTCTAGTAAATATAGCAGAAATCGACAAAATTGACTGAATAACTTTTGAAAACTGCAACTTCAAGAACAAGAAAACATAGGTTCAAACTAAGGAAACAAAGCCACCAAAAATAATTACAAAGTTCACTTTGGCAGTGATAGATAGTTGGAACAAGTGAAGTGTGGAGGTGGAGGAGGCCAAAATTGTCATTAGTTTCAATGTGTCATATAATAAAGAATATTGGGTAGACAGGACACCACTAGTGTAGTTATCACCATTTAACCCTTTGGCGGCTCAAGGGATTTTATCATGCAACTCTCAGGTGCGCATAAAATAAATTGCTCTCAAAAAAGTATTTGTTCTTTTGTCACTGTTAATTAGCATCCAAGAAGGAAAAAAATAAAGAATTGCATCTATTGCTGACCATTCAATGACCATGACAAACACTATTTCAATTTTTCACCACTATCCTATTTACCTTTCATATTATGATATATATACCTTACCTCATGCCTAACGTATCTTCTAATTAATAAAATTTGCAATAAATTGTTTTCAATTATTTCCCCTCATTTATACTATTTACATTAAGCAGACAATTTCACAAAAATTTCTATCCCAAAGTCATCACCATTTTGCCTGGTTTACTTCCTGCCCAAACAGGGTGGTGGTTGGTAGCAAACCAAGTACAGCAGTATTCAAGAAGGGTCTAGGGGTCTGGTTGTCTTATCCAGCTTTAAAAGAATACTGTGTAAATAAAAACTAATTAAATGACTAAAAACCTGGTACAAAATAAAAAATATTTATTACTCAAGACATCAAGGTACCTCCATAACCCTTTTGTTCCACCATAATTGGTGTAAAACAAGATCACCATGAAAAAGCACCAAAGACATTAATACCTTACATCTCAAACCTAGGTGCTATAGATCTTACAAAGTAAAATAATACTACCAATACATTTGTACAGTAGATACATTTACAAGTAAGGTTTATAATTAGATAATTTAGCAAGATGTATTATACATCATTCATTTCATACCACATTGGGGATAAAATTTTGGTAAAGTAGAAAACCAAGAAATCTAGCCAGGAGAACTTACCTTAACAGTAAGGCGGGGCTGGCGAGGCAGAATTTCCATTTCAGCAATGGGAACAGTGATGTCAAACTTGTCTTTGTAGAGCAAGCTGTAGATGAAAATTACAGTGTTTTCAACACAATGTCAAGATAAGCAAATTAATAAAACTAAACATTCTATTCACTTTGTCTAACTTACATTTCCATCTGAACTTAGATGAAAGTCATAAAATTACAATTATTTAATCATAACTTTATAGAAGATATAATTGTATACCTTCTATATTGTAACATTACGATTGAATAATTGTAATTTTAAAGAAAGAATAAACTATTTTCATTCTTCCTTCTGTGAAGGAAGAAAAAAGTTTGTAGTTTGCCAAAGCTGGAAGATAAAAAAAAGAAGAAAAAAAAGAGGAAATATGACCACTACATAAAACATAGTAACAGGAATCGACAAAATTGACAGTCAACCATGAAAACTGTAACCTCAAGAACAAGAGGTCATAGATTCAAGCTTAGGAAGCAAAGATGCCAAAATACATTAGAAAGTTCTCTTTTTGTAAACAGAGTGGTAGACAGTTGGAACAAGTGATAAGGTGGTGAATACCAAAACCATCAGAAGTTTCGCAGCATCATAACAGAGGACTGGGAAGACAGGACTCCCCACAAGCATAGCTCTCATCCTATAACTACACATGTAATTACACTTAGGTAATTAATATTACAAGAATGTAAGAACTTGTATTAAAAAAAAAGCCCACCTCATACCATTTAATACAATGAAGACATACTGGAATAAACAGAATTTCCTTACGATTTAAACTAAATTCTTACTTGAACTCTGGGAATGCTGGGGTATTAGCAGCATGCATGGCAACTCCTTCATTCCCTGTTCCTGACCACTGTAAGCTTACAACTAGGCTGCTGCTTGGCACACTCATCTGAGCACGCACCCCTGTCACCTGTAATAAAATAACAATGACTTTTGGATACAAATTTTTGAGGTACGGTATCACATTCAATTGCTCCCTAAGGCAAGCATCAGAAATAGATATAACAGAGGCAAGAAAAATACAAATAAAAAGGGGATGTTGCTTGCCTGTGGTGTAGAGCAGTGTTCAAAACAACAGGGGGAAGAATGTCCAATTCAGACAGTGCACCTCTGACGGACTGAGTGCAACAGGCACACAGCATTTAGTATGCACCAATCCTTCTTGTGTACTATCTAAGCATCAGATTTGTCACATTTTTTACAGCAACAAATACTAGACTTCAAAGTTGTATTTAGCAAGAGTTGACACCAGAAAATATTATTCAAAAAAAAAAAAAAAAAAAAAAAAAAAAGTTTGCAGTTTAAGTTAGCATATACTGTACATAATTTTATTTAAATATTCATTTTTTTCAAGTTACCCCCAAAATAATATTACAAGTATTAGAGTAGCAGACTAATTAAACTGTAATGGATGGCAATTGGTGGCTGACACTATGAAGCTCAGTATGTGCCCATAGCAAGAGCTGCCAAGGCTTGCTTGGCCAAGCATTAGCACTACACTTGTACAACTGTATCCGAGAGTCATGGTACACAACCAATGGAGTTGGGATTCTCTGATCTGAGCACATGGCCACCACTCTCACTATGTCCCTCAAAGCCTTTTCAGTAAGGAAAAAAACTAGTGTCAAATATCTTCCAATCTTGTCTAACTGGCAAACCCTATGTATTTACCCCAAAAATTTTGACCATTCTGATATTTAAGGAATATTTTAGTATATTCCTATAAAGCAGATATACTGTGTATTCACTCATACAGTTCTATACTCACTTTAACTTTTTTTCCCACATCTTCCACTAGAGGAACAAAGCTGAGGTAGATCTCGGTCACTTGGCCAGGAGGAAGGACCAACTTGTCTGGTTGGGTTTCCAAAAGTCGATCGTTGTAAGTTGAAGCGTTGGTGCTAACACTCAGAGCACTGAGGAATAGGGTTGACAAGTACGAGTTTCTGGAAAAAATAGCACATTTATAAAATAAGGCAAGTTAAAACACAATGATACAGCCATTTTTAAAATACACTTCTTTTTAAAGATTCATCTTTTGTTTATGTTCCTCTGACCATTCATAAATAGAGACAAACACACACACACAGGAATTGGAGGAAAGTGTAATGAAACATAGTAACAAAATACACAGAGGGAAATGGAGAAAATGAAGAACCATAAAACCTACTTCAAGACAGGACACTACAGAAGTCTAAGAGTTCTTTAATAGACTTGACTAGAATGGTTAGTTGTTAGGAAAGGAAATAAATTAGATTTATGCCAAACTTTACAAGATGTATGATGAAGGCACCCAAATATTCATACTGAAGCAAAGACAAAACTATAAAAAAAACAGGACTTGCTTAATAGAAATTGTAACAGGCCCAGAAAGCAAAAGAAAAACACTAGTTTGTGAACAGTGGAATAATTAAAATGATAGGGTAGTGGATGTCAAAACCATTAGGCAGATCAGAAGGCATAGCTCTCATCCTATAACTACACATGTAATTACACTTAGGTAATTAATATTACACCTGATGCCATTGTTCTTCCAACAGTACCCCAAGTTAGGCAGCTGTTATGGGTAGCATTCCAAGAATGGTTAGTTTTTGGCACAGGGGAACTGCAGCAAGTCTAACAGGCTTCCCTGACAACGAAAAATCAAATAGGTCATCCATCCTATAAGGTAAATAGCCAGTAGAGGAATTGACTTTGTAACTGCACTAGAAAAGAGGAGAAACAGTCTATCACACTGACAACAAGGCTATAAAAGCACTGACCACCAGAGCTAACAATTCAGACTCCAATTGTGCAACAAATAACTCCCAGGCAGTTCAAGTTTGGAAGACTTTCACCAAGCTTGTGTGTTCATTAACCACTGGAGCCAATGGCAACCTGGAAATTACCTGGATAATTGAGGTACAAATTACTTCCTGGTTTGTAGTCCTGCAGTACTGAAGTATTATTGAATCAAGTTAGATTCGAACAAGTTACAACTATCAAAAATAAAGTTACTGGAGGCTCCAAAATAACTCCCTCAGCACCCATTTGCTCTACAATTTTTTACCACAAGCAATAATGTGTAATGGCAAAGACTCCTAATACATTACCTTTTTTGCACATGTCACCTTCACATCATACAATGATTATATGAAAAAACATTATATGCTTATCAAAAATATCATCTTACTTATTTGAAAAGAAAACTAAGATGTCTGTATGAGCATAGTGCACACAAACACACATGTACCTAAATAATAATCCTTCTTACAGACAAATAAATCACACACACATGTACTAGATCAAGCACAAGCTGTGAAAAACAAAATTTCATTTTATTATGTGTATGTCTGCTTTATATACAAGTATCTAAACTAATAAATATTTATGGTTCTGAAATATTTGCTCTACAATTTTTTACCACAAGCAATAATGTGTAATGGCAAAGACTCCTAATACATTACCTTTTTTGCACATGTCACCTTCACATCATACAATGATTATATGAAAAAAAATGCTTATCAAAAATATCATCTTACTTATTTGAAAAGAAAACTAAGATGTCTGTATGAGCATAGTGCACACAAACACACATGTACCTAAATAATAATCCTTCTTACAGACAAATAAATCACACACACATGTGATCAAGAGGACATATGAATTAACAAGATTTTGGTGTTAGGTAAAAGCCAAGAATGAAAGTGCATTCAGCATTCTTTACTACACATGTCAATCATAACAGATAACATTTTAAAATAATAATTACCTGATCATAACTGTTATACCCACTTCCTGATCAACATGAAACTGGTTTTGAGTAAAAGATGCTCGCACCTCAAGGCACGGCACCAAGGTTGTCATGTCAACGGTGACAGGCGATACTTGGCTTCCTAATAAAACGGACCATGCTTCAGTGGCTACAGTAATAACCTCGGAGGATGTTCCCGGCTCTGGGTCAGGAGAATGTCCCTGTGAAACATTATGCAAGAATTAATGAAGTACTTGGAAGCCACTAAAATTAAGTTCAAATAGGAAATACAGCGGAATATAGTGCCATGTAATACTACAAAGGATAGAGCTGAACAACATCTCAACAACAAAAGACTTTGACTACACATGGAGTCACAAACTGGCAAGCATTTGTGAATTTTCAAGAAAAGGTACTGTAAACATTAAGTTACCCACTCAAGATAAAATATACGGTTTCTTCAAACAATTATCAGACCTGTGAGCCAGGTGAGCCCTATGCAAGTTAATTATGAAATCAAGTCTAAGTTACCTGTTCTCCAAGAAACTAGATCATACCAGGAAAGAAGTTCATAGGCTAAATGACCTTCGCCCTAATTTTGCCACCTACTCTACACCGGTGATAAATATGACTATAGTAAAGAAAATGAAAACCTTAAGAAAGATTTATTTGTATGTGGCATGAGAGCTTAAGGTGAAAAAATTAGATTAAGAGATCAGATGAAGATCAGACTATCAGATAAAGTATAATATGTCAACAGTGGACCTCCTTTACTTTTCTTCCCTAATGATATTCGTGGAAAACAAGTAGAGGAGCACACATGACATTGAATAATAATTTTCTTCATTATGTATAATGCCCTGGAAGATGATGCTGTAACGTAAAATGTCAATTATCTAGAATTACATGAACTACCAGTTCCTGTAAACCAAAACAATCCCAAAATACAGTATGCTAAACCCACAGTTTACACGAGAAATGCCTTGCTGGAAAACCATCATGCTTATGCAGTGCAAATTTGCACAAGTCAAATTAAAGTTAAAAAGTGCAATTCCACTCAAACATTAACTCATACTAGATCCTATTTGTTGCAATAAGAGATCCATTGCAAACATTTTGCCATTTTGTCAACAATAATTCACATTTTTTTGTTTTTAGAATTTTATTAGCTCCAATTATTTTTTTGTATTATTTAACTGGTAGGACAGGTTTTTGTGCATATTGGATACAAAATGACGTCAAAATAATATTTATTAAATATTTTTTGAGTTTCTATATAAATATTTTGGCACTGAATTTGCAGTATAATGTTGCTCAACCAGGCAATGCCACTATACAGAATTTTTGTTTTCTGCCACTATAACAGAGTTCACTTCACAATGTTGAACCCCACCAGGAAATCTATAAAATCAGACGCTACCTTTTCAGCTTTCAGTTTTTAAGACAGAATAGGGCTACATGGCCATACTGTTGACAATGAGAGCATCTGCATGGTTTGGCAATACTGTACAGCCTGTGTATGGATTTACTGAAAAGCTATACCATGAATTTGGTGTATCTATGAATCTGGACAAGTTGAGGCAGTCAGAGGTAATGAAGTCTGGGTGTCTGGGTAGATTTTCTATTAATAATCTTCACAAGAGTTATTCTTAATAATCTGCTGGCTCACTAGTTCTTTCTGTATTGTCTCCTGTGAGTTCTGCAGCAGTGTACAGGAGAAACCCCCCCACCAGCTCTGGTTGAATAAACCATGTTTCTTATTCAAAATTGCAGCTCCTGTTATATGCAAAAATGTGAATTTTGATGCAAAGTTAAGCGAGGCTTCAATCAAGAGGCTGTCTTCTGTCTGAAGTCATTTTGGTTCTCCCCGCAAAGGCTGCAATAAATGCACAATGTATGTCAGTCCTCCTAGACTGATCTTTCATCCATCTAAGTCATAACAATGGAAGATATACTAGAGAGCACCCAAAAGCGATAACTCGGAAAGGAAGGTGAATTACAAACCCATCAAAGAACAAAATGGCATAACCACTCTTATCCATGACCTTAGATTATTATCCATTACAGTACACACTTTAAGTAATTGCCCATTATTAATGCCATTCCTTAAGTTACAGAATGGAACTGTGTACCACCAACAGCTAGCCCAGAGCAATATTCCTCCATAAATCATTGTAAACATCAAAATCCTCATGCCGAGGTTTAAATTATTTTAGTCAATCTTTCTACCACTGCTCTTCATATTATTCAAACTTTATTATCTGTTTCTGTTGCTTTATATTTTTGCCAGAAATGGCTGGAGTACCAGTGCCATACCATTCTGCCACTTGCTGCCTCCCCAGCCCAAGATAAAGTTTTTTAAATAACTCTGCTTTCTTGTCAATGGCAAGGAAGTTCCCCATATCCTTGCCTGATGTACATGCATTACATTTACTGGACAACATAACTTCAACTTGCAATTAATGGAATATCAAAGAAAAAGCTGGTGAAAATGCTTGAGTAATGATCAGTAACAATGGGAGTAATAATGGGAGCCGGTCGGCCGAGCGGACAGCATGCTGGACTTGTGATCCTGTGGTCCAGAGTTCAAACCCGGGCGCCGGCGAGAAACAATGGGCAGAGTTTCTTTCACCCTATGCCCCTGTTACCTAGCAGTAAAATAGGTACCTGGGTGTTAGTCAGCTGTCACGGGCTGCTTCCTGGGGGCGGAGGCCTGGTCGAGGACCGGGCCGCGGGGACACTAAAGCCCCAAAATCATCTCAAGATAACCTCAAGATAAGATAAGATGATAGTTCAGACCTCTTTAACACAAATTTAAGAAAAGCTAACCTAAGAATGAACTGAGCTTATGAAAAAATTTTGCCAAGAGATCAGTCATTTTTAACTTACCCTCAACAGTTTAATTAAGTTTTCATGCACCCTTCTCTTATCCTCAGGTGATGCCAACAACCTTGTGCCCATAAACTCCAGGGCTAGGCCAAAGTACTCTGTGATGGAAGCAGTATTGTATGCACACTGAAGGGCCAAAGCCGAGGCTGATGACAGAAGACTCCACCACTTTTCACTACGATAGTCCCACATCACATGATTCAACAACCTGTAGAAAGCATATAAAATTTAATGTAGTGATATCTACAATGGCATATAGATATATAAGCCTAAAAAAAATCACTTTATTTTTACTTTAGTATATCATCTTACATTGTCTCTGAGGATAATATAAGGTGCCAAATGCCCAAAATGTGCATTCCAAGTATCCTCCAGTTCTGCTTCACATTCAAGATGCTATAGCAAACCAAATTAAATGCTAATATCCTAGCACTGCAAATGCAATATTTAAAGTCTGAATGCAAAGTTTAAGTTGTTAACCTTTAAATTTTTTCAAGTTTATTTTGAGCAATACACCTTTGATGATTCCTAGGCAAATTCACTGAAGATTTCACTAGCCAGAATAATGGTAGAGAGGAGACACTAAAGAATAGCTGCCAGTACCCTCTGGGGCAGAAAATTGTCCACAAACCATCATGCAACAGTACTTGGGACTGGATGCAAGGAATGAACCAAACCCAAGCAGAGCACTGAGAAAGCCAGATGGCCAGACCAATGTCCCCAAGGTTTAAAATTCTGTTAACCCAGAAACAGAGAGGCATGATGGAGAAAATTTTGGAACACCAGTACATTGCCAACCACTATGGTAGCAATGAACTGAACTAAAAACAAAAACAAACTAGCAACATACTCAAAAGAGCAAGAGGACAGAAAAGCCTCACACCCAAAATTGGAGAACTGGAACTAGAGCATCTCCTTTCTCTAGGAAGAGGCAACACTAGCTTCTTTGCCCTGTTAAGGATCAGAAACCACTCTTGCCCTAGGGCTGAGAGCAACAGCTGTACGAGAAATTGCAGACTCCCTCCGAAGGGACTACACTTTCATGTTAAGGTGGAATGAGTGGAAGAAGCCGACAGAAGACAGGTGCAGCTATCGAGCCCTGCCACAGGGAAGAAACCAACCCCCAGCTACTGCCTCAGGTCAAAGGTAGCATAAGATTAACCACAAACTTCCTCTTGGTGAGAAAAAGGTATCTCTCCCCCATCTAAAAGAGGGGTCAGAATGGTCTTTGAGAAAGCTGGATCCAACATAAACCCCTCAGGGACACACAAGGAACAGAGCCCCCAGCCCTCTCCAACTCATCACTACAAAGAACTTATGCAAGACAAGAACACCTGACCTTTCAATTACCTTTCAAAAGATTAAAAGGATTAATGTCAACCATGGCCCAGTCTCTGACCAGGACTCCTGGTTGGTGATATGGTCAACCAAGCTGTTCAATGTTGCTGCTTACAGCCTGGTTGATCAGGTACTTTCTACAGTGTAGTATATTCCATAACAAGCAGAGGAAATTGGAAACCAAGGGCTTACTGGAAGAAACATCAGCAGCCAAAGTACCAAAAACATGGTACAAAAAGGAACTGCAAATGTAGCAGTAACCTCAAGAAGAGAAACTAAAAGCTGAAGCAGGAATATTTCTGGAATAAGGAAAGTAACTATAGGGAGCCAGATGGTTGAGGTAGGCAAAGTAATTATCAGGAGAAAGCACTATGCCATTATGACTATACAGCACTAGGAAGAGCCAAGAACAACAATTTTGGATAGAATGGATAGAAGGAATGGTGCCCAACCATTTGGATGGTTGGGGATTGAATGCTGACCTGCAAGAAGCGAGACCATTGGTCTACCATCCAGTGCAATTGGTTGGGTAGCCCAATGGTTGAACCATTACTGAAAAATCAACTGAACTGGAGGAGATAAGCCAACTTTGAGTCATCAGTAAGTTTTAAATCGATCTCATACAAAAGGTTTGTCCGAACACAAAAAATTACAAACTGTACTGATATAGAATATGATACAGCTTCCTCAAGTATGAGCCCTCTGCATAGTGAAAAACAAAGTATAAAAGGATAAAAATAAGACACTTAACTATCAGTTTCTAGCATGCCCAACCATCAAGAGGGGCTAGTGTTGCCATGGGTACTGCCAACTGATAGCAATTGGGGATAGCAGCCAGGTGAACATCAAGCAATTTGGAGAGTACTACTACTCTGCAGTCCCTGTGATACTAAGAAGAGATTAGAAAAGCTTTGAATGCTTAGGAGTGAACTTTCTATATCTGCCCTGGGCTGAACCGAGCTTCCCCATCCCAAAACTCGGTACCTACCTAGTATCAAAATGATCTGATGGAAAAGGTTTGAAAGGTGGTTTGGGATCTTAATTTCCCTGACTGTTGATGACCTTATGAAAGGAAAGGAAAGGATCATTCAGAGCGATCCTTTCAGAGATCGATTCAGAGACAGCTTGGAAAAAATCCTCTAATAATGTACAGTGTGACCTAAAGTCAAACATCCCAGGTCAAAGGTAAACAGGCCTGAAACATTAAAACTAAAGCATAACCATACCATCTGTTACTCAAAATACAATATTATCACATTTAAATAAACTTCTACACTAAACTTTAACACCTTTCCGAGTGCCATGAAGGTTAGGCAATTAAGAATGATGACATGGCAAATCATTTTCAATATTATTGATCATTACAGTGGTGTTATTTAATGTGATGTCAAACTTACGTGAGAGCTTTGGATGAATCATTGGCTTGGTGATATTCTTCTGCCATTTGAACCATAAGATGTCGCTTGATACGTGGACATCGATATTTCTTAAACTGACTAATTGCAGAAGAAAATAATGGAATGATGGTATTGGAATGGTTTACTTCTTTAACTTCATGGTACTGTACTTCCTAAGGTAAGAAACAATAGTGATGTTATACAACATATAAACTTATCCTATTTATACAAATTAAAACAAATTCTTAAATACATGAGGAGAAAATGCAACAAGCATCACAAAAATACAAACCATACAAGATAGTAATGAATGACTAGTCTCAATGCATGTGTATGTTCTCATAAACAAGTAAACTAGGCAAGGAAAGGAAATGAAAATATCCTGTAAAGCAACAAATTTATCTACAAGAAAATGTTACCAAACTTAACTATTTTCATTTCACAACACAGTGATGAAAACTAAAATATATTAAACATTTAGCCTAATTAAAAAATAAATAGCACAACTCTCAGAGCGCCTTAGAGGCGCCCACCGCAGTACAGTGGTTAAACAATGCCAATGACATTTTTTTATTGTTGAAAAATCTTTGCATTATTGCATCTTTCTTCACTAGAGTGGTTGCTCTTTAGTAGATGATCAATCATAGGCCTAAGACTTGTGTGCTGCCATCTCTTTACTGGTAATTCTTCTAAAAAACAGATAAACATGCAAAAGCTAACCTTTATTCCCTCTGTTTCTCTCTGTTGTTCTGGAGGTTCAAGGGAATGTTTGCCTGGCCGCCAAGGACGCTGCCCATAGAACTCCAACTTGCTCCATCCCTCCAGTAAGTCCGACACCGGAGCCGACAATTCCTGAATGACAAAATAACACAGTACTTCAAGTAAACTGGATAGGATCACAAACAGTCACGACAGGTCAATATTCTGCACTGTTGCCAAAGAGAACCTTTTACATATATATTTCACATAGTTTATCACAAGACCTTTATAGTGATTTCCAACAATTTGTTGCTTCATGGAAGCATGTCAATCCTATGTGACCAAATCTCTGTGACCAAATTTCAGGAACATTGGTTTAGTAAGATGGTTAACAAGATAAAAAGATAATTTTGTTAGGGTGATAGAACTAATTAATGGTTAATAAATATCAAGGTGAAAGGGTCAACACTCCATTCAAACAGTTTTATAATTATTACATGTCACTAACTTCTGCTACTGAAAATACAGGTATGTAGTATAACTTTTAGAAACGTTTTATATTAAAATGAATAAGAATAAATTTATTCATTACAATGGTACCTCCACTTACGAATTTAATCTGTTCCCAGACACGGATCGTAAGTCGAAAATTTGTAACTCAAAACAAATTTTCCCATAAGAAATAATGTAAATTGAATTAATCTGTTCCACACACCCCAAAAATATTAACTTAAAAATACATTTTATACCGAATAACAATCTTTTTGTACTAGCTACAATACAGTATGTATATCTTCCTTTATTGAGGAGTCTTATTGGTTTATGGAAGACAGTGAGGGGGGGGGGAAGGAGGAGGAGGAGAAGAGGTGTTATTGTTTGGAAGGGACGTCCCCTTTCATTATAACATCAGGCAGTGATGACTTCTCTGGGGTACTCTCTCTCCTATGTTTTGAAGGCATACCACTAGAAGTTGGTTGTGGCTCACTGCTTGCTTGTCTTACTAAGAATCTGTCTAAAGGCTTGTTTTTCCCTACATTTTAACACTTGTCTCTAGTGAGACATCACATTGCCATTTAAAAGGTCAATGCAATGGCCTGCTACAGCTTTATCTGGGCGAGTTTTTTCAACAAAACTTTGCAGTTCTTCCCATACTTCACATATTTTCTTAATGAGGAAGAGGCATCCTCTACTTCCCATACTTCACATATTTTCTTAGGTTGAACCTTACCACTGACTTTCTTGAGATCCATGGCATGATATATAATAATTACTTTTATGTACAAAAAACAAAAAACCACAAAAACAATGAAATTCTTCACAAGCGCGAGCATCACTAAGCGGGCGGCTCTGGTAAACTGGGGCGGGGTTGCCCATGCCACCAGGAACCACACGCTCGGCTGACCCATACATGTATCAACAATGTCGCTAGTCGAGGCACAGGTCGTGAGTCACATTTTTCGACAAAATTGGAGTCTTAACTTGAAAAATTCGTAAGTAGGGTCAGTCATAAGTTGAGGTGCCACTGTATTAGTATTAATATTATTATTTATATGTGATCCATTACATTGTCAAGTTACCTTACAGACTTGTAATGCTGTCTTTCTCCTCAAAACAGCATATTGAGCGGCTTGCTGATAGTAGAAACCTGGGTGTTGTGTCTGGACTGCAGGAAGACCTCCTCTAACAGCTTCCTCAAACACATCTCCAAAGAGCTGGTATCTGAATTAATAATTACAATTTTTGGTCAATCTTTGCACCTGGAGTACAGAATGCTCTGCTTGCTTTTATGGTGGGCACACTACTCTCCAACAATACCTCCCAATTTGATATTTCCTACGTTTCCTTTAAGGTCCCTTAGATTAATGGTTTTTGTTCTTTAATAAAACTGCCAACCCATGTACTGTACACATCCAGAACTTTCTTATCATATTTTCCTTTGTCTTACTCTCACTTTTAACTGAAGCCTAAGCAAACAATATTAATGTCCTGTCACACAACCTTAAACTCTTAATAACAAATACAATTACTTCTTGAACTAACAAGATTTGCTAGGAGCCAAAAAACAAAAAAATAATAAAATCAACCAAACTTTGGAAATAATGAGAGGAGCCTTTGACTTTAAAAGAAAGTGGTTATTCAGGTGTACCTCTTTTGACTCCAACTGAACTACTGAATCCAAACAGAGACCTGCGTGTCAAAAGGACATACAGTAACTGCTTTGTAAAGTGTTCAGTGCATAACACAAATTCTCTAAGAACTAATGCAACTCCCATACAAAGAAAAGTCAAGGAAGGGAAGAAAACTATCAGGAGAAAGTGCCGTCCATTAGACTATATAATGGCTTATCCCAATACCTTGGAAGGGATCAGGATAAGGATTTGGGATGGGAAGGAGGTTAAGGAAAGAACCCAATCTAAGGACCAAGTAGGCTCTAGAAGAATGGGAGCCATACAGAGCTGGATAAAGGCACTACACAACTTGGAGAAAAGTGAGAAGAACATTAACAACAATTAGCAAGAGAGGCTCTGCCAAGGGCTGAATGGTAGGAAGCAATAGTACTGGGCACAAGACAACTCCACAAAAAGAACAGAACATTACCATATAAATTGAGGACAATTGGGAAAAAGGAACAGATTGAACGACTGCCAAGCCACCTCATACTGGTGACAGCAAGAAGGATGCAAATGGGACACTTAAAGGCTCCACTACCTGGTCCCTATGAAGGTGGTGGTACAAACTGTCGAGAAAAAAAATCCAGATGCAAATATTAGTCGATAGTCTAACCATTCAGGCAAGTCTGGCATCCAATCAGCTGGGAGACCAAAGTGCTGGAAATGGAAAAGGACAAGGACAACCAGCAGGAAGGGCCAGAAACCAGTGCTGAACCAGCCAAATTTAAGCTCAGGAAACGACTGAGGGACACCTCATTAGAAAAATAGATTAGATGTTATACTGCATTAAAGAAAGAAATTATTTACTTTAATGGATAGATTTCCTGATGACATACAAGATACAAAACAAGCCAGAAGACAATATTTAGAGCTGGATGAGGGGCTCTCTTATGGCCAGCCCCTTTGCAGAGAAGCTTGCAAGGGGCTGGTCATAACCCGAGAGAACCGAGAGAAAGCAATTTAAGAGCAATTCAAGGTATAATTCAAGAATTAAAACATTCAAACAAACCAATTAATTTGTAATAACACTGTTTATAGCAAGAATTTAAAGCATTAAAATCAATGAAGTACAGTAATTAAATTTTAATACTTACTGCTTTGAGAGCCATGCATAATGCTCAAATATTAATTCCTTGGGTCCTGTTCTTTGACGAAACAGATCAATGTGGCGTCTGAATTGGGCAATTGCATCTCTGGGAAGATTAAGGGTGAAATCCAGTCGACAGATTTTGTAATTAACAACTGCTGCAACGATGCGTATTTCGTGCAAGTTGGTGTCTGTTGAACGTAGGTCCAGAAGTAGGTGGTAACACTGTGCATAGTGCCTGAGAAACAATATGAAGCTTGTATTGCAGCTGCAGGATCTCTTACCTATGGCCTCATTATTCTCAATACTAAACTTAAATTCTACTATTCTGTCTACTGCATCACTTCCTTTTCCACAAACAAATGATGCTGTACAGCATCTCTGTCATTCATATACATATAAGGACTCAAAGAAAATACGTATAAAGTTTTTAAGAGCGCTAAATTATTATTATTCATACCATTATTTATGGTGTGAAATATTATTCACACCATAAATAAGGTGTAAACCCCATTCATTCCCACAACCTCTTACTAACAAGAGCTTCCACTACACACACCAAACAAATCCTGTCACCTTCCATTAACTCATTCACACACACACAAAAAAAAAACAGTGTGGGATGTAATGAAACACCATTTTCTGGGGGAGAGTCCCGGAGGATCCCCGGAGCTATCCATGGTTGATACGGATACCCTAACTATTTTGCATCAGTTGATGTGGGTGGAGTTCTAGCCTACCGGGGACTACGAGCCAGAACCTGGCCCCCCCCCCCCTCACAGAAGCACGGGGAGCAATGGCCCATAGAAATGCATATGTGATTTGGAGCATTTTATATTTGCCATCGACCCAGACAGGCACCCAGAAAGGTAAGCGCCACAAAACAAACCCCTATTCTGGTTAGCAATGAAAACAGGGTTGTTGATTTGTGGAACCAATTACCGCGTAACGTGCTTGAGGTGGGGTCCCTTGATTGCTTCAAATATGGGTTGCACATGTATATGAGTGGGACTGGGTGGTTATAAGTAGGAGCTGCCTCATATAGGCCAATAGGCCTTCTGCAGTCACTTTTATTCTTATATACTCTTACAACAAATACACTCCAGGTCTTTTTAAATCAGGAACTTAGCTTGTTGACAATATACTGACCATGGTTAATCCCATGCTCATCTATTCTTATTTTCTTCTGTTTACAAAGGAACATTTATAAGTCAACAAATGAGTTATGAGAATACATATAATGCAGAAATACTGAGGACAGACAAGACTCAGTCAAGAGCTGCAGGAGAGCACATATTGCCTAAATAAAGAGGACACAAGAGTATTAATTCTTAAGCCGAAATAAACAGCAGGGTATTTATATTTATAAACCAGAAATGTTCCAATAATATATACGACTGTCGAATAATCCATCACAGTATTCCACAAATATTTGTAAATTCTTAATACTGCACATTAATATATCTACTGACCACTACTCATCTAATCATAAATCTGAAGTGTCTGGACATTTTTATGGCTAGATAGAGCTTGCACGAAAGCTTGCGACTTGTCACTGATGAAGGGGTCTAGGGCAACGGAGTCAAACCTCTTAATACCAAAGTACCTCATTTTTACTTGTGATACCATAACATGCAGCTATACTAGACAAACACAGACAAGTCATCCAGGAACACTGCCCAATTACAATGCACCAGATTAACTCAGACACCTATAAAACTTAGCTGTGTATAGACTCACATATACTGTGCATTTACTGTAGTTTTGAATAAACTACTGTTTATGAAGACCTCCATCTTTTCCTAAAATACTAAATGTGGATTCATTCATGTGTGTAACCCTTGTACCTACAACTGTCCTTACTATTTGTGTTCTCTGTGTAAATGTTATGAATAAAATTATTATTATGATGCTAAGAGCTCAAATTTTATGCTGAACCTGCTATCAATCTAATCCCTCCTCAAGGTCGATTCGTGAAACAATACCTACAAACAGTCAACAGGTATTGACCATTGTAATTTTCTGACAAATTTACCCTAGGATTTAAACTAATCATGAAGAGGCACAAAGTTTCATGCCCAAAGCAGCTTTGCTCAGCAATGAGCTTTGAAAACATTTGTGGACATGTTCCAACCTAAATAATTTCCGTACCGAGATCACAAAAGTAACCTGCAAGTGCAGCTGAAGATGTGCAGCATATGTACCATTTACAACTGTTACATACAGAGTATCAAAATTAAAGTACAGGTTTGACAATCTTTATTGCCCCCTCCCCTCTAAGAGATCCAGTGTGTTAAAATACATTACTGAACATGGTAGTTTAACAATCTACCACAGGGGTCTACAAAGAATAATAACTTAAAACTTCCCTTGCATCATTATTTACAATAGATGAGTAAAATATTTGTTGTAATATGACTTTATCAAATAGTCAAACCGAGATACACCTACATTCACACACATCGCGAGTCACATTCTAGGATGTGTTTAACTGTCATGAATTTTTTTACATTCTTCTATAATCGCTTTCAGTTTTAAAGTGTCAAAAGTGAGACCCGGAAGAATACTTTGTTCATTTCGTAGAAAGAGCCCACAGTTTCTGCAAAAATAATTTTTTAAATTAATGTAACAAATATTTTTTCAATGCGAATAAACTTTCATTACACCCTGTGTTGTGCTGCAAATTGCCAAGCAATTTATAGATATTATTCCCAGAATGGGAATAACAAAAGGGATATCACTAATTTACATTCTTCAAGTATACATTATCAAGTATATCAACACAAAATTAAACAAAATGGTTTGTTTGTGGAACAGATTACCAGGTAACAATACACATGGGCTCACCAAATTGTTTCAAGCAGAGGTTAGACCAACGTTTTTCAACTTTTGTACCTTGAAATAATTCCAGGTCGTACTTTAGACAAACAAGTAGATTTTATTGTCAAATGAAAAGAAACGATTTCTGTCTTTGCTCTTGATATCGGTTAAATGAGAAAAATTAAACTCAACAATGACTCAAAACATATTTGCACGTGATTAGAATTAGCTATTTATTAGTAGTTCTTGCAAAACCCTTCATTACCTTGGTATGCAGGTGCACAGTGATTGAAAAACACTGGATAAGACACACACACAAATGAGTTTAGGTGCATATAAATAGGAACTACCATAGATGGGGCTATAGGCCTTATTAATTTACAGTACAGTACTTACTTTTTATTTATACTGTACATTTATACACACAAAAGTACAATGGATTGTGAAAGTACATACATTGGTGATTAAGTGGTACATTCTTGCATAAAGCATGATTGCTTCACGCTTCAGGCAATTTGATTGACATCTAATGAAACATTTCTAAAGAAATCTGGTGTAGAGAAAAATCCAAATGAATGATTAGTAAATTTTTTAAATAAAAATACAAAATTTATCTTACTTGATAGCCGTTTGTGGATCATTTCGCAGCTCGTTCAGGAAACCAAGTTTAAACTGGTGGCGCACAAACAGAAGTGTGTGATTAGTTTTGTTGAGAAAATCACGATGAGCTCTTACACCTTTTGCCTCGCCAAGATAAAATGTCCAGGCTATCTCACTCAAGGCATTTTCCAATCTGAAACAAAGACGATTGAATACTTAAAGTAAAGACAGATATACGGTATTTTAAATTTTGAATTTATGACAAAGTAATGAGCACTATCATGGGGCATTAAAAGTTGATTAAAATAAATCGATTACTGAATGTAATGAAAGGCCACTTAAGGGCAACCTTTGTAGCTCCCAAAAGTGTTAGGTTTTGGTACCACTAAATCAACGTAGAGGAGAGCGGAGCACCGAGATCAGAGGTCAACCCAAATCTCAGAAAATCCGCCCAGAATTCAGAAAAATATAAGGCATCAGTTTGGGGACACGTAATAAAAATGTTCAAGTTCCTCTAAAGAATCTGGCATTTGTAGTTGATTGTAGGATTACCTATTTGATGAGAAAAATAATATTGGATCAATGGTGTCTTCTGTAATTTCTAGTGGATGGAAAGAGTCACAGACTCTTAATTTTATGAGTACAAGATTGCAATTTATAATGTCCAGTGTCAGTAATGCAAAAAGGTATTCTTCCACTAGGAAGAGAGGCAGGGGATACAGGGAACAGGATATATAACAACTATCCAACAACATTTCCCAACTCTCAGCAATATACTGTATATCAAACTTGCATCATGCTTCATAATTAAACGGCCTACATCAATTAATGTACAAGGAGTTTTCTGAGGTCAAAGCACCATATCAACCTACATTTAACAACCCATAGGAATTCGGTTTTAATCACAAATTCCTACAATTACCAAGATACCATAAACTGTTACCTTCAATTTACAGTTATCAGCAGCTGCATTGCATCCTGAGGAAGGTCAGTCTTTGGCTAGAAGGATCTTAATAGGCCTAACAGGCTTCCTATCCTCAATAATGGGAAGCAACAGAAAAAGTAAAAATGCAGAACTACTATAAATTTTACAACAGAGCAAATTACAATACACAAATAGAATATTTAAACACACAAAAATGTTCCATATGTACAAACCAAATTTGAGTCTTACCTTACAGTATATCCTAAAAGATGAGCATCAGAATGAGGCAATACAAATAGATGTTTAGCAGGTAGATCACAGGCAGTGCACAGAGTTGCAGCCTTCTCGGCTGCTCCTGTGTCCTCGCCTGGCACACTGATCCCACTCTGGATAAGAACTAGAGCTACACGGCTGTTGCGACCCCCCATAGCAGTCCTGCGGACATGAAAAAAGCATTATTAAATAATATTTAACTTCATATAAAACCAGCATCGAGAGTAATGAAACACTATTTTCTGGGCGAGCCCCGGATGCTCCCTGGAGCAATCGGACTGATATTAGCTATATTAGTCTGGGGCTTCAGACAATGTTGTTCTGCATACTGGGGACCATGAGGCAGAACCTGGCCCCCTCAGAGAGGCACAAGGTGCAATAGCCTAATATTTTTTCTCCCCCTGTATTTGGGAGTATTCCACGTCTGCTATTGACCAGGGTTAGGCACCCAGAAAGATAGGCATCCCAAAACAAAACCCCACTTGGTAGTAAATTGCAAACCCAAGACTGAACAGAGAAACAGAACTCCCCTAAAAGAAAACAAGGAAACAAGCAAACCACTGCTGCCCCTCTTGTCTGCGCAACTCTTTCTCCCCCCCCTCCCAGGAGGCAGAGGGTGGAGCCTCGGACCCCCGCATCTACTTCAGTTCGGAGACTGAGCATCAAAAATGAAACTGCCGACCAGAGGGAGCCTCTGGGGCTCACCCAGAAAATGGCATTTCATTACATTCAACGCGGGTTTTCTGTGGGGAGCCCCTTCAGCTCCCTGGAACTACATAACTAAAGATAAGTAAAAGAGGGACCTAACCAGGAGGCGGCCACACCGCGTGCCTCAACTCAAAAACGAAACAATTGGCTGTAACCGGTGGCCGAAGGCCACACAACAACAACTTGCACCCGGCACATTCCCCAAATAATGGGCAGTCAGGACACTGTTCGACCTCCCAAACCCCCACGCCTGAATGTCAGCCCAGGACATGTTTCCAAACACAGCGGCGAAAGCAGCAAAATTCCGATCATCATGGGCATGAGGGTAGACTGCAAGATTGCTAGACTTAATAACCCTGCGGGACAACCTGAGAGACCCGAGCCCTGGAACAGGGAATGAGGGAAATCTTATCAACCCAAAGCACGTCCACAGCCAGAGAAGCCGAGGCGTGCAGGTAACAGCGAAGAGCCGCAACCGGACACATGGTGTACCCCCGGCCTAACTAACCAAGCATCAATAACCCAAGGAACTCTCTTGAAGCCTGCTGCCTCATTCTTCGCCAGAAAAGGAGACAACTGCAACCGAACAAACCGTCCACTAGGACCGAAGAGCAGAAACCACCCAGTCCAAAGACCAGGACAGCTCAGGCGGCGCATGAGCAGGCCAGAGGTGAAACAAAGCACGAGAAAGCTTATGGAACGGGGTGAAAGTGACATCAACCCCAAATGCAAGCAGGAGTGGCTCTGCCAGCGCCTCATGATAAGAGGTGACAGTATTTGGCATAAGATGACGGTCCTGAAAGAGTCTAGAAAGAAAGGACAAAACAACCTGAACAGAAACAGAAGACAACCCACGAAGAAAGAGGAAATGACGAAAAGAACGTCAAGAGACTTCATACTGTCGTTACAGGTTGGGAATACCATCAACGAAGCCACCTGAGCACCATATAAATGGTGATCAGGTGTATCACCATATAAATGGTGATCAGGTGTATCACCATATAAATGGTGATCAGGTGTATCACCATATAAATGGTGATCAGGTGTATCACCATATAAATGGTGATACACGTGTCAAAAAGACCAGATGCGAAGAGCGGAGGAGTAGATCGAGCCAGCCAGGTGCCGGATCAGCCCAGTCTGCTGGAAGAAGCGGAGCTGCAGAAAACGCCCCTGGGTTCAGACACCGAGCAAGCAGCGACTGAAACCAAGGCTGGGCAGGCCACCAAGGGGCCACAAGGACGACTTTCCTGCGATAAGACTCCAACTGAGCCAGAACCCGAAACAACGGGTTCCTGTTGGATCCGGGGGGGATGGGGAGGGGGGGGGGGGGAAACGGGTAACCATCAAAATGTGTGTTATCAGTATAAAATATAAAAAATAAGTTAATATTTTTGGGGTGTGTGGAATGGATAGAAGGCACTCTGATGCAGCTTACCACAAAAGAGTTGGCAGAAAGAACCCAAATGCCCATTAGATTTGGGCCAGCACAGTGCAAATGTGGCAGACACACACTGCACACCAGCAGCAATGCAACTGGTGTCAAGACCACAGACAGCAACTGAAACCCTTAATTAAGCAGCTCAAATGAAGCACCTGCCAGTGCTAATATCTGTGAAAATCTTTGCCACCAGAAAACATGGTTCGGAATTCATTAATGTTGCCAACTGATAACAGAGGAGGCAGTTTGCTGATTGAAATTTCAGAGTTCAGAATGATTATTACCAAGTTTCAAGTTACCGTACCAAGAATAATTGGCAGAGTTTTTCCTTTAAATGTGAATTATAAGTGTGTGTGTAATGCGTGGTTTACCTCAAGGTGGGTCGAGATGTGCTCTTCATCATGAGCTTCCCACCCAGTTTAGTAGGGCAACGATACAATTTACATGCAAGTTGTATGTAGTAAGGTGTCTGCATCTACAGACTAATAATGTACTGATAAAATGGAGGAAAAAAGTTAAAAGATGTGCAATAAAATTAATCCCAGAATTTAAGAAATATGAAATATAAGGAAAGAGTGAAGATGTTTGAAATACAATATAATAATTCCTTAGTAATAATTCACACAACTTACTTCAGTGTTTGAACTCTACCAGCAAGGTCATTCTTCTTTTCGGTCCAGTTGCTGTCATTCCAGTCCAGGTCATAGAATAACACAATAAGTGCTGGAACATGGTAAAGGTATTTGGAGATCCAGTTGGACTTTAGGATGCCCTTGGGTATATACCATTCATAGGATTGTCTCTGAAAAGAAAATATGCTCTTGAAACATACACTTAATCGTAACCATACATAATCACTCTAGAATAAAATTAGTTTTCCACTGAAACTGTAAGTATTCGAGTCAACAATATTGTACTGTATGTGAAAATAAACCTTCTGATTTATTACAGACAGGCATCTCCTAAGATATAAGCCAGAATTATGAACAGTCAAGCAGGAAGACATTCTATCAATAGCACTACAGAGAACTTTTGTATGTGTAGGGGGTTCATACTAGGTACTCTGGAATCACTGGGGATCCCACTACCAGGTGGTGGGACCATGTGCAACTAGATATATGATAGACTCCAAGTTCTTAACATTATCTCAGAGACAAAAGTTAAAACAGAGCCTGCAATTCTGAAAAAAAAATAGATCTTACCGATGAAAAACTAAGGAACAAGACAAGGGCTCAAAGCAGAGGGGCACCATCAGCAAACCAGACATAAAACCACAACATAAGTGCAACAAGATTGATGGACATGCCAGTAAGAACCAAGAGCCAACTCTTATCACCCAGAATAAGCCCACATGCCCTAACATAAGCAAATAAGAAAATGGTAAGGAAAGCAGCAAGGAAATCAGGACATTTCATCAGCAAGCCAAAACTTAAATCCCCATAGAGATGCCAGGAATCAATGGCATTAGATCCAGGCAAGGTGCCCAGAGCTTCAACAACTGGCCCACACACCAAAGGACCAGAAGTCTTTTGGCCATAAAATACCAACATGGGAATGAGGCCTGGAAGCAGGCACACGAGGCCCAAACTAAAAGAAATGGTACACTGCCTAGTCTACTAGAACTGCCTGAAAATACAGATCACTCAACCCAGTGGGCAGAGGCTATGGCACCCACCAAACAAATGGCACACAGCCAAATCTGCTGGGAACAAATTGCAAGACACAGAGGTAAAAAAAAACTTGCAAAGACCAGGGCTAGGTTCACAGAAAATCTCTGAAGGCCCAATGTAAATAGCACTGGGCAAGATATGGTGGACAGAGGATCACCAGGCCCATCTTCTTGAGGTTATCTTGAGATGATTTCGGGGCTTTAATGTCCCCGCGGCCCGGTCCTCGACCAGGCCTCCACCCCCAGGAAGCAGCCCGTGACAGCTGACTAACTCCCAGGTACCTATTTACTGCTAGGTAACAGGGGCATTCAGGGTGAAAGAAACTTTGCCCATTTGTTTCTGCCTCGTGTGGGAATCGAACCCGCGCCACAGAATTACGAGTCCTGCGCGCTATCCACCAGGCTACGAGGCCACTCAGGCCATTGGCAGAGAAATCCAGCCAAATTAGATCAAAACCACAACCATGAAAGCCAAGGCACACAACCTGGGAAATTAGTTAGGCATTGCTGGCCAGAAAGCCTTCACCACATAACAAGACAGCTCTGGAACATTTGAACTTGCAGTCCAGGTATTCAACCGAGCATATGGCCTGGAACAATCAATCACACAAAACTTTCTAGGCCATAGTAGGAGTAAAATGGAATGTTAGGGTGCACGTAATGCGAGTGGCATAAAAACTCTGGAGCATAAACAAAAAATGCAATGGTCCCCTGTTTAACATCAATATTGAGCCAGTCAGAGGCTACAGGTGTTTAATGCAAACACCCTTACTCCTCTTACTTTTCTACACCAGGTAGAAGAGTAAGGGGGAGGTCAAGCTGAGTGTAACCTCAGGTGAGCTGGACTATCATCATCTGCTGACAGTCAGATGCTTCATAGCCAGGGTATTTACCCTGTACTCAGAAATGATCATTAGTCTTGTTTACTAGAGGTACGTAATTTCCCTCGAACAGTTGTTTGTTCAACTGCACCTATCCTTTCTAGTGGGTTTCCCCAGTTTTATAGTTAATTCATTTTGTTAAAGACTGTAAGCTTGTGTATATGTGTACTTTAGGCTTGTATCAAGATCTTGGAAGCCTAGTACACCAGTATTGGGGTAAAGTCAATGCAAGACAAATCATAAGCTTAGGGAACTACCTAAGGATCTCTCTTTTGGAAATACGAACTGAATCATTTATATACCTTCTGCTTCATAAGAGGCATCTGGAAATCATTAGAGAGGAGCCGGAAGTGTAGTGGGGTCCGATCTGTCCTCCGGTTAAGTGCAAATGCTTCCCACACAGCTTTGTGTGTTGCTTTCTCTATATCCAATCCTGAAAAAAATTTAAATACAGTAAATATTACAGTAATGAAAACTGCTATTGTATATATACAGTATTCACCTTTAAACTAGACTTTTTTGGGTTCAGTCATTCATCATCATCACTAAACCATTTTCATAAGAATGGGGAGGCACTTTGTTTGAGGAAGAAATTTTTTTTTATAAAAACATGATTCTCCAATTTACTTTCCAGGGAATTTATGTTATATAATTACTAATGAATGTAAATGTAAAACCAGAGGAAAATATACTGCATCTTTTGTTCTTTTCTCAGATTACAGTAATGTATTTAAATGCCCCACAAGCTGTTCTTTTATCTTCAGGATAACTGGCAAGACAAAATGAGCAAAACTAAACCACTCGGCAGCACCTTTAAACAATAAATGGAATGACCACTGGAGCAAATTCTAGCAGCGCTGGAAAGCCATACAACCACCTCATTCCCCCAAAAGTATGGGGAGTGAACTCCCCCCCCCCCCCAAAAGTCCAGCATAGGCATTGAAAACCTCACAAGAAACCATAAATGATTAAAAACCTAATATAGAAACCCCTAAAAAAATGTTTACACAGTAATGAAGGCAGGCTCTGAACTAGAGAGAAGAAACTGACTCCTGTGCAGAAAACATTTTGATGAATAACCTGGACATTGAGAAACTGCTCTTGTCAAGAACAACAACAATATGAATAGAGAAAGCGGAACAAGCAACATCAAACAAGTCACTGGGAATGGAAGAAGACTGCTAATGCTGCTTCCCCACCATCCTGTAAGTGATGAGTGACACCACTCAGGATGAAGATGAGAAAGAAAACTATCAGCTGCTGGAAACGGTAATTGCATCTGAATGAGCTCTGATTCAGGTCACACATGTGTTCACGGTTTAGGAGCAGGATCCAAAGCAAGCTCAACTAATCAAGTCTCTGAAACCAAATCTCCAAGGAAAGTCAAGGGGCAAACACAAACCCTCATCACAGAACATGGGGCCAGGGTCAGAGCCTACATCAGTCTGGGACCCAAAGATCAGGATAGAGAAATAAACATTCATATTCAGCAATTCAATAAATTTAAAGTTATTAAACTGAGCTCTGAGTATTTTACTTATTAAACATTTACCTTTCAAAATTAGCATTAACCCTATCAGGAACATGTGTTAAATATAGAGTACTTGGAAATTATTAATCAAAAGAACAAAATGTGTATTTTAAATCAGAACTTGCTAAAACAATAATTGTTCACATTTTCAGAACCACGTACAAAGCCTCTACCTGCAAACCACCAGTAATCAGTTATACTACATGACTTACCCATCATTCCAATCAGTGCATGGGGTGGTGTAGCCGCTTCAGGGGGAAGACCATAAGGATCAAATTCATCCTCCATTGTATCTATCATACCTCCAGGAATGCTTATATTATGCTGAAATTAAATTTAGCATAATAAGTACAGTACACATATACAATGAAGCTTTCACAGTTGCTTGAATAGAGGAAAGTGTTAACAAAACCACTTATTCCTTCCCTGTGTTGCATTCACATTGGTACTTAAAAAGACTGCAATCGAAACAAATTTTGTTAGCACCAAAATATTTCTTACTTTTGTATCTGTTAAATCTATTCTTAACCACTGCACTGCGCCAAACAACAAATGTCTTTATGAGAGTTGTACGTTTTTTTCTTTTTTACTTAGGCTCTATTTTAATGTTTTTTAATGTTTCCATCACTCTGTGTTTTGAAATGAAAATAGTTGAATTTGGAAACATTTTGATATTAACTTTACCTAACCATTTATAAAAACAACAAAAATATGCCCTTAACAATTGCACTATGAAGTTTTTGCCAAAAACAGGTGCGCAGTGTAGGGGTTAAAACTCTATTTGTATTTTGAAGAAAACATGGCAGGTTGTTCTACCCATCCATAATTGTTTTGTTAACTCCTAAGCTGCATCCCTGGCTTTAGTGCTTGTGTTAGGCCTAAATCCATTCCATTCAATTTCATTGACTTTCTCCATTCACTTCAATTTAATCAAAAACTATTTTAAAAACAATTCTTACCTACATCCTATCTAAATTTGCCCAAATTGAATTAAATACGAGTTCTGACTTTACATGATATTTTCAAGACTACTATACTTATATTTCTTTTATTAATGCCTTTCAGTTATTGGTGTACTAGAGCCGTATCGCCCATTATTTTACACTTCTCAATCTATGGTTGCAAGTAAGCAAGTAATTATCAAAGGAAGGCACCAAACCGGGAAGGCTATGTAGCATCTATGGTTGCAAGGAAGATTTCTTATTCCAGAAATCAACTTTTTTAGCAACAGAATGTCTATACTGCAGCAGTATGGAGACCACAACTTAATAGCATAGGCTAATCTAAGCAGTCTCATTAACCATGGTAAAGAAGGGTAAAGAAATAAAGAAGTAGGGATCGTTTCTTGCTGACTGGTTAAGGGGAAGTATCATAGTATTGTGAAGTGTGTGCAAACCTCTATATAGTGCCTATTATAAAGGAATTGCAGATGTAAGAAATAAGTTCTGAAGACAAAGTATTAACAACATTGAAATTGCAAAATCTGAATACAACAAAGATTTTGGAGTTGTGATTAGTAGGGATCTTAAGGAAAAAAAGTAAGGAACAGAGCAAACAGAATACTGTACTGTAATTTATTTCCAAACATTCTAGCAATAAAACATCTAATGTTAATTATTGAGCTTTATCTTGCACCATAGAGATTATGCAGTTCAGTTTTAGTCACCACATTATAAAATGGGCAAATTCAATTGAACAAAGTGAAGGATGACAAAATTAACTCCAGGAATTAGAAACCTCCCTTATGAAAATAAATTTAAAAAGTTTAATTTAAATTCTCTAGAAATACAAAGTAAGAGGTGACATGACAATTATATAAACTAACTCCTGTATTCTTTTCTCTATCAATATGCTGCATGGTGGTGTTGTTGATATAGTAAATATAATGTACAATGTTATGCCCTGTATGAGATGTTTTGCATTTTTCCAGTATCTAAAAGCATTTGCCACTCTTGTTCACGTTGCCCCTGTGCTGTCGAACTTATTGGTGGGTGTGAGGGTGTTCAGATATTTCAGAACCTTACTGAATATTTGAACCTTCATTTGTTAAAGAGTAAAGTACCAAGGTGCTTAAAGTGGCCAAAGGTACTCACCTGTGGCCAGCCAGCCCGTCCACCAGACGTCCTCTCACACCCACCAATGTTTACACCTCTACTCATCCACCACTACCAACATGAACCTAATTATACATGATACTAATTTAGGTGTTAAATCTACTGTTATTTTCCCTCTTAATATTAAATAATGCTTACTTTACTTATAAGAATAAAAATAATTTTTACTTCGATGCCGTAAAAACAATTACCATAAAGAAGAAGGGTTGGCAGCTCTGCACAGAGACCCCCTTTTTCCCCTGCAGGAAAGGATTATGGAGGACGACATTCAGACGCCATATTGGAATACTCAGCTCACATCTATTGGCGTGTTTATATAAATATATATATATATACATAGCAAGACTTTGAATTTATCTGACGGCCGCCATATGTATCTAGTGGCCTCGACGGGGACAAGAAAAGGGCGGTTTGTCAAATGCCCCTCCACTGTTCGGTGGTAAGACACTCGCCTGGCGTTCCGCGAGTGCTATGTCATGGGTTCGTATCCTGGCCGGGAAGGATTTACTGGGCGCAATTCCTTAACTGTAGCCTCTGTTTAACGCAACAGTAAAATGTGTACTTGGATGAAAAAACGATTCTTCGCGGCAGGGGATCGTATTCCAGGGACCTGCCCGAAACGCTACGCGTACTAGTGGCTGTACAAGAATGTAACAACTCTTGTATATATCTAAAAAAAAAAAAAAAAAAAATAGGCAATTCCATGGGTTTATAACCCTATGGGTGAAAAACCATGTTTTCTGTGGCTTCTTAAGCTTCTTGATTATACAATATTTGATTGTGTACTTTGAGGTAGTGAATGATTCCCTCCAAAAGGATTTTGTTTATGAGTTTGTAGGTATAGTCCTTTCAAAGAAGTGTTTCAGGTAAATATATGTTATATATATTCTAACAAATAAATATTTAACCTATTTTCCTGCATGGGAAAGGACGTCTCTAAGCAGGACTGCCAACCCTCCCTCTTGATGGTTGTTGCTTTCAAGGCATTGTCGTACATGGTAATAAAATTTATTCATTTTGTTGTATGAACATGCATATACATTATTTCGTATTAAGATGGAAAATAACAGCAGAGTCAACACATAAAATGGCAGTATTTGTAATTAGGTTTATGTTGGTGTGGTGGAGAGTGGAGGTGTAAACATTGGAAGGTCAGCTGGTGGGCGTCAGTCACTAGTTCGGGGGTCACGAAGAGAGGTAATTATTATTTCGCTCACTCTGGGCTTGCTTTATTTTTGTCGTTTACCAAATAAAGGCAAAGAAATGTACGATAGTCTCATATACATATTTTCTGGAGTCATCGGGTGTCTATTACTAGTTTCGAGTTTGACCTGTGTGGAGTTAAGATCAAGCAACCACTTCACAGGTGGTAGATGCCGAATAATTTTTCCGTAATTATGATGGATTCGTGCTACAAGGCACTGTTTATTTTTACATAGCCTAAGAATTGATGAGACTACATTATTGGGAGTGTCTTGAGATGTTTGTCTATACTTGTTTTTATTTTTTTGTATCGCCCCATATGTCACGTTTATTGGGCAGCGCCACTCGTCCAGTGAGTAAACATACTGTACGTCCATATATTGCAATGAGCCATTGGTGGAGGATCTATGGCTCTCCACCAAACGACTAAACGGGTGGCATGGCCTGGAATCGGCACTTAGGTTCTATACAGTGCTCTCACAGTCCCCCAAATGTCAACAATCTGAGATACACTTGCTTAGCTAAATGAATTGTGGGGGTTCAGTCCCTGAGCCCATTGTGTGCCTCTGTAGCCCTTTCCACTACTGCCCACAAGATGGGTATGGGGTACATAATAAATGAACTAAACTAACACCGCAACATACAGACGCCGCTTTAACATTTTCCGTTACCGTCTGCCAGGATAGAGATGGTGCATGTACATGTTGGCTCGTTTCCTCGATTCGGATCGTACTCGTACCTACTCACACGTGTCGACCACTTCTCCAGATTAATGAAGATTAAGCCACCAAAGTACCATGGGGAGGAAGCTTGGTACGGGCATGAATAGCCCATAATTCTCCAGATGGCTTGTGGCAGTTACTATGGCGGATATGATGACTAAATCGGTAGTTCATGCTTTTCTTCATGGTTGGGCCTCCCGATCTGGAGCCATGCAACGATCGTCACCGATCAGGGTCGACAACTAGTTACATGGGGAGGAAGCTGTTGCAATTCTTGGGTACCAAACTTGCACAACCAGAATGCGGCCTATCAAATCAGCGAGGTTGAACTGTTTCACTGTTTTGACAACAGATTGCAATAGCTAGGTCAAACTTATTTTAAGGTTTATTACATGCCGCTTTAGCTGCCTTGTCCGTATTATCATGCTAGACACCACCTATGCGAGATGGTATCCATACAAATTATATTCTGAAACTTTCTTTATCAGTTATAGAAGTTATAACATACCTAGCATCTATTTTTCAGGTAAAGTTTCAAAGTGCTTGAAGAGCTTACTTTTAATAGCAGAAAGCTACAAATACTTTTAATATTAATAACTTCTTGTAGTGCAGCTAATTCTGTAATGTGGACCTAAGCCAGTTGTTTAGTCTTGCAGTAGCACTTTGTACATTTGGTATTTATGTATACCCTACAGGCCTCTACAGTGCAACAAGTTGACATTTGAACACAAGTGCAAGCATAGTACTCGTGAGGCTGTAAATATGTGTATAAGAGTGTGTATCTGTATGAGGTTGGAGGCCAGACGCTTAGGGCCCAACTTTGCCCAGAGGATGGTAAACGAAGGAGAGGAGGGAAAGGGGGTGTGGAAAACTGGAAAAAAAAAAAGAGTTGGGATTAGGAAAAAGAGAGAAGAGTGGGTTAGGGAGAGGGAGAGCAGGCACAGCCAGGTACGTACCCATATTCTATATCAGAGAGATTGTGTCTGTTCGAGGTTGAAGACCAGATGCTTGGGGCAAGCTTCATTAAACTTTGTAGGATTAATGGTGGTTTTATCGGGAGTGGCATAGGTGGGGTCGGGGTCAGCTTAGTGCTCCCGCCACCCCACCCCTACAGAAAGGGGCCACTGCCCCTCATTCATGAAGTCTGTAGATGTGAAATGTTCAGTTTAGAGTCTATAGACTTAAACATTTTTACAGATGACATATTTGCATTCTAACGACAACCATTTGATGTGAATGATACTGATGTGAATGTGTTGTTGGGAGGTGTGGGAGTTTGGAAAGTGGGCAGTGTGTGTGGAGGGGGAAGGGAACTATCATGAGAAAGCGCCAAGCCAAAGCGACTACATAGCACTGGGAAGGGATCAGGATAAGGATTTGGGGTGGGAAGGAATGGTGCCCAACCACTTGGACGGTTTGGGGATTGAACACAGACCTGCATGAAGCGAGATCGTCGCTCTACCATTCAGCCCAAGAGGTTAGGCGTGGGGAAGGGAAGTGTGTGGAGAACTGGGGCTGGGGGGGAGGGTGGGTGGTATAATGAGATCTGGGGGGAGGGGGCAGTATAATGAGGTCCGGGGGGGGGAGGGTGGGCGGTATAATGAGGTCTGGGGGAAGGGTGGCGGGTATAATGAGGTCTGGGGGGAGGGTGGCGGGTATAATGAGGTCTGGGGGGAGAGTGGCGGGTATAATGAGGTCTGGGGGGAGAGTGGCGGGTATAATGAGGTCTGGGGGGAGGGTGGCGGGTATAATGAGGTCTGGGGGGAGGGTGGCGGGTATAATGAGGTCTGGGGGGAGGGTGGAGGGTGTAATGAGATCTGGGGGGGAGGGGGGGCGGTATAATGAGATCTGGGGGGGTATAATGAGATCTGGGGGGGGGGAAAGGAAGAACATTGATATATATTCAGATTTGTAGGGAGGAAACAGATAACTTTTATTCTGCCTTCTTAAGGACTTCGTGGCCACTGTACATTATATACCTCATCCATGATACTATATTATTTCCATGGACAATTTTAATAACGCTTTAAAAATGACTTAAAACAACAAATTAAAATTAGTGCTTAAAATCCCATATTGCAAAGTAATTTTCTTCTGTACATTCGATATATATATAAAGTTTATTCGATGGTATCTGGCAATTTTAGTAATTATCCTTTTGTTGGCTTGGATAGACTACTCAATAGCATGACGTTTAATTTACGAAACTATTTAATACTGCTTAATTTCTCTGCAGTTATCTTGTTATATATAAAAATGCAGACGATATTTCTCTTGAATGTGTCATTTCCAAAAAATTCACTAGAGTTTTTACCTGTATCCTAAATTTAATATAATGCATTATTTCATATATCCAAATACAGATCCTGATGAAATTGTTGGGCAGCAAGAAGGGCCAAGTGGTGGTATCATAGGTAGTGACGTGACTCAACCCTTTGGGCCAGCAGAGAGGACCTCCAGACCTAGCTGCGATTGGTTTCCCCTGGAGAGCCAGAGGCATCTGGCCAGAGAAGCATCTTGGTCAGCCAGTTCAACCTGGCGGGCAGCCTCAGATAAATGCCACACATGACTTGCCGCACGAGGTTAGACAAATACTAAATATTCATCCTCGATTAATGACATTTTTCATTGGAAATCGGCGGCAGCAGCAACAAAAATTCGAAACCAACCAGAAACAGGTTAACCGGGGTTGATACAATAAGGTGCAAGGAGGGATGCAGCCTAGCATGCAGCAAGGGGGGATGCAGCCTAGCATGCAGCAAGGAGGGATGCAGCCTAGCATGCAGCAAGGAGGGATGCAGCCTAGCATGCAGCAAGGAGGGATGCAGCCTAGCATGCAGCAAGGAGGGATGCAGCCTAGCATGCAGCAAGGAGGGATGCAGCCTAGCATGCAGCAAGGAGGGATGCAGCCTAGCATGCAGCAAGGAGGGATGCAGCCTAGCATGCAGCAAGGAGGGATGCAACCTAGCATGCAGCAAAGAGGGATGCAGCTTAGCATGCAGCAAAGGGGGATGCAGCCTAGAATGCAGCAGGAAGGGATGCAGCATGGAGGGATGCAGCCTAGCATGCAGCAGGGAGGGATGCAGCCTAGCATGCAGCAGGGAGGGATGCAGCCTAGCATGCAGCAGGGAGGGATGCAGCCTAGCATGCAGCAGGGAGGGATGCAGCCTAGCATGCAGCAGGGAGGGATGCAGCCTAGCATGCAGCAGGGAGGGATGCAGCCTAGCATGCAGCAGGGAGGGATGCAACCTAGCATGCAGCAGGGGGGGATGCCGCCTAGCATGCTGCATGCTAGGCGGCATCCCCCCTTGCTGCAAGGGTGGATGCAGGGTAGCATGCAGCAAGGGGGGATGCCGCCTAGCATGCAGCATGGGGGGATGCCGCCTAGCATGCAGCATGGGGGGATGCCGCCTAACATGCAGCAAGGGGGGATGCCGCCAAGCATGCAGCAAGGAGGCTTGCAGCCTAGCATGCAGCTAGGAGGGATGCAGGCTAGCATGCAGCAAGGAGGGATGCCGCCTAGCATACAGCAAGGGGGGATGCCGCCAAGCATGCAGCAAGGAGGGATGCAGCCTATGTGGAGCAGTAAGCAGGGTGGCATAATGAACCAGAACACTACCAATCATCCCATGCAAGGTCTGTCACAGCCAATGCGAGCTCCTCTAACACAAGTCAATATACCTCCTTCGCTGCAGCGGCAACCGCACGATAACCCTTCGAATCCGGGGTTGACATCATACGGTGCAAGTGGGATGCAGGTATCAATGCAACCTAGTATGCGGGATGGTATAATGGATCAGACGACGTCCAACCATCCCGTGCAGAATCGGCCACAACCAATGGGAGCTCCTTTAACGCAAGCCATCCCATTTGCGGGCGAGACTGGTCAGCAAAGGTGGTACCCAAGGCAAATCCCTACACATTTAAGGCAGCAGCAAGAAAATCCACAAGGAACAGGTCAACCTCGGATGATACCACAAAGTGTAAGTGGCATGCAGGGATCTTACGGGTCAGTTCAGCAAGGTGGAATGCAACCTAGTATGCAGCAAGGTGGAATGCAACCTAGTATGCAGCAAGGTGGAATGCAACCTAGTATGCAGCAAGGTGGAATGCAACCTAGTATGCAGCAAGGTGGAATGCAACCTAGTATGCAGCAAGATGGAATGCAACCTCGTATGCAGCAGGATCGGCTACAGTTACCGGAAGTTCTTGAACTATATTCTCGCATGACGCAACAGTGGGACCAAGAGCAAAATAGTATGCAGTTAAGGCAACAACAGAACCAACACCCACACCATCAGTATCAACCAGGGAGCTATCAGCAACGTAAGACACCACGTTTCTCAAGTCGACGATTCAGATTCTCGCAGCATAATTGGCAGAGTGGTGATGGCCAGTTTGGACAAGGTTTTACCCAGCAGCAACAAAGGAACCCAGTGCCATACAATGTCACCTCAGGCTATTGCCCCATTCATGGTGAGTTCGACTATAACGAACTCGACCACACAACAACTGATGATTATTCCGACACCTCGGGTAATTTGCCACAAATGCGGTTATCAAGTGATGTCCAGTCAGGGCAAGGTTTTTCTCAGCAGCAGCAGCAGCAGCAGCAAACATTGTGGCCAATGCCACCCACTGTCAGCATAGACCGTAACTTATTGCATGATGTTCCCAGAGCGGGTTATATCGGACTCCTTCAAATAGCAAATAGGGACTGTGAAGTCACCTCGAGTAATCTGCCACAAACAGCGCAGTCACCACGGCCTAACTCCTCGCCTAGAAACCATAATACCACCCCACCCCCGAGGACTCAGCCCCTGAGCACCCCACCCCCGTGGCCTCAGCCCTTGAGCACCCCACCCCCGTGGCCTCAGCCCCTGAGCAACCCGTCCTTGAGCACCCCGCCCCTGAGCACCCCACCCCCGAGGACTCAGCCCCTGAGCACCCCGCCCCTGAGAACCCCGCCCCTGAGCACCCCGCCCCTGAGCACCCCACCCCTGAGCACCCCACCCTCGAGGACCCCACCCCCGAGGACCCAGCCCGTGAGCACCCAGCCCCTGAGCACCCCACCCGCCCGAGCCCCCCGTCCCCGAGGCCCCCCAGCCCGCGAGCCCCCGTCCCCATAAAACAAAATCTTTCTAAATTTGTAGACATTATAATACCAGTGTGCTACTTAGCCCTTGTACATACTATCTTGTAAATATTTTGTAAGTCGTGGATTCTCATACAGAATACAATTTGTGATTTTTATCTTTACAGTGCTTTCTATCTGCATAACAGGAAAGTTAATATGCTTTCTTGAAGCAAACCCAGAAGAGCTATAAACTCGTGCCTTAAGCCAATTCACTTGCTTAGGTGTTTTCTAAGCTTGTGAAGATTAAAAAGATAATTCGGGAACATAACACAGATGGAAATGAAAACTTTATTATAGTAACTATATTATTTTATATTAGTCATTAATTTTGGGGAGTAGATGTCTTGTATACAATTTGAAGTGCCTTTTTTTTACATTGAGGCATACATTTTTTACATTCATGCTGAAAGCAGCATCACCTATACAGAGCAGGATGCACAATAGTATTATGCCTATACATTTGTGTACAATAAGTGATAATAGGTCATAAATGTAATTTTGTTAATCCACTGTGCCCATGGAAATCCCAAAGCTGCAGTGCAGGCACAACCTCAACAGGGGTTTATGTAACTGACATTTCCTGTAGGCAACCCATTTACCCTGGGGAGGTTTGCTGTCAGTTTGATAGTGAACGGAGAGTGGGTAATGACGTGCTTCCACACAGCTGCCTCGATGGATAGCTGCTTACAAACTAGCACATAGTGCCCACTGCTGACGCATTCCGCTTCCGTCAACTTAATAAAGGGAGGATTGTGAATTAGGGAGATGGAAGGTGTGTGGTTGAGGAAATTGGCAGCCAGTTTTCATCCCGTCACGACGCCTCGCCCGGCCTCTATACAATTCTTTAATTTCTTTTTTAAAAAATTAAATGATGGGTTTTAATTTTATCCAACACTTAAGGTGATGTATGTATGCAAATTGTTGATTGTATAGTTTAAGACCCGCTCATCGAGAATCCGTTCTTGTCCTGTATAATTGTATTTTAATGGACATAAGATTTTTTTAACCCCCGCCACTTTGTGTATTGTTCATCATGAGGAAGTATTGAACCGAGGATTTTATTATATTTTATAATTAATGTGAAAAATTAGATTTTATATCCTATGACTTGAACAAAAAGATTGTCACGTTTAGTATGTCTGACTTCTGTGAAGTAACCAGCCAAAATCTTTGCTTATATCAGAGGAGGTTATATTTACACTTAAAATATTTCATCCTTGCATAATTAGTATTATTTCTTCAGTATTTGCTATATGTTATTAAATTATGAATACAAAAAGATACGACCATCCTGCAATATGTATAGACATGAGATATATTTATCTTTATTTTTTTTAATTTTGAAACAATTTACTAATATATTTTTTTACATAAAGAGGTATTCTCCCGAGAATAGGATATCGGAACTAACCCATATATAATTGATAATTTGATTAAAAATAAAAAAGCAATACTAGTTTACAGTATATAATAATCCTACTTGCACTAAAATAGCAATTCTAGCTGGCAGTTATAGTAAATGCGGGATCTGTAATGGTGGATTAGGTTATAGAGAAATTATCAAACGTGATGAATGCCACTTTGTTTTACATAATAAATGTCTTATCTCGGAAGCCTTGTGCAATGCATATGACAATGATGAAACCGAAGGTAAGGTCTATTTCACTTTTACTGCATTACATGCAATAGCAAATTCATTAACACAGCAGTACCACCTATTTTGTATTTAATTCCATCCACACCAGTTTGGGGCTAAGAGATTGTTCCTACAATCTGCACACTATTTTGTATATTGTTTCTGGTTATGTGGCCGCCCGTCCTCTCCATTTCATCGCTTGTTCTCTTCTTGTCTTGCTCCAAATTTGTGCTTTGATCTGCATTTTTTACTCTTTTTAGTTTTTCTATCAGTTTTTTGTCTGTCTTCTGCAGTTTTATTGTGAGGTTAGGTACATAAATGTTATGGCTGATGTTTTAGTCTGTGCAATTCTGAAGTGAGCTTCTTGATATCTGCGATGGTTATCCCCCTCCTCCTCCCCCCCCCCCCATGTCCATTACAAGGGTTGCTTGTTATCAACGTAATTTACCCGAGATCCACTAACACTAGTGGCCTCGACGAGGACAGGAAGCCGGCGGCTTGTCAAAGCCCTCATTTGCCAATGATCTTTTCCAGTTGTACTTTAAAAGTTAACAGAATTATGGTATTTACAGCTTCGGCGGGTAGGCAGTTCCATGGGTTTATAGCCCTGTGGGTGTAAAAGCATCTCCTGTTCTCAGTCCTACATTGTGGCATGTTGAGCTTGAAACCGTTGCTCCTTATTTGTGTTACATCTAACATTTTGAAGAAATTTTCCGGATCAACACAATCCAAATTGTTCAGTATTTTAAGTTTCACTGAGATCCGCCGTGTCATACCTGGTTTACAGTGTTAGAGCAATGCAAAAGATGTACAGTGACCACAACACAGCAGTTGCAACATCAGATCTGTGGGTTAGTACAAGAAATCGACCAACTACGAACCACTTAATTTGATGAAAGGGAGCAGTAGAACAACAGAAGTACACTTGCATCGCATCAGGCTTGGATACCCATGTGCATGGGAAATAGGCTTACAGGTTCCATCTAACATTTTGAAGAAATTTTCCGGATCAAATTATTCAGTATTTTAAGTTTCAATGAGATCCGATCCGATCCTCTCGTCTTCTGGAACCTTAGTTAGTTTAGTTCATTTATTATGCGCCCCATACCCATCTTGTGGGCGGTAGTGGAAAGGGTGCTTCTGTAACCCTTTCCACTACCGCCCACATGATGGGTATAGGGGTGCATAATAAATTAACTAAACTAACTAAGGTTCCAGAAGACGAGAGGAGATTTCACCCGACAGACCACTGGAACATTATCTAACAGTGCAGTTACAAACCCATTAAGATTTCAACTTAGATTCAACAGAGCAGAAGTTAAAAACATGGGACAAAATCTTAAAGAAGCGACCATACGAGTCCTAAATACTCACACTCCGCCTAAGTAAAACAGGAACAAGCAACACTTAGTCTACCAGCCAGAGGCTTGGGGCCCGCACAGGAATATCCCTGAAAGAAGCAGCAGCAGCACTGTGGCCCTCAATCGTTCCTGATATACGCGAGTTGACTTGGCTCTGGAATGATTTTGTTGCCTGGTGTTGCACTTTCTCCAGAGCAGCTGTGTCCTTCTGAAGATGTGATCTCCATGCTTGAATACAGTACTACAAATTGGGGTGCAGCAGAGATTTATACAATAAATCACCATCTTCTTTTCCTTAGTCAAAGGTACGCTTGATTATTCCAAGGATTTGGTTTATTTTTTGACTGCTGCCCCTACCTGCTGTGCAACTTTGAGTGGTGGATTTTGACTCCATCTTCATCAATTATATCTATATCTACAAGAGAAAATATGTGTGACTGTCCGAGGTTGTGGATATGGGAGTCATAGGTGAACTATAAGGAGAAAGTTCCAACTCCATAATGACAATATAGCACTTGGAAGGGATCGGGAAAAGGATTTAGGATGGGACGGGGAAAAGGACGCCCAACCACTTAGGCTGGACGGTAGACCGACGGTCTCGCTTCATGCGGGTCGGCATTTAATCTCCTACAGTCCAAGGCACTATTCCTTATTCCCGTCCCATCCCAAATCCATATCCTGTTTCCTTCAAAGTGCCTTAGTCTTACTGGCTTGGCACTTTCTCCTGATAGTTCCCTCTCCTATAATATTCTGTTTGGCTTTTCCCATACCCATAGACTGTGATTGGCATTCAGATTTCACAAAAGAATAGACATCTGTTTCTTCAGATAAGTTTCAAGATATCGCCATAACAACTCGGTCTTGGTGGTTTGTAGCACGATAGCATCAAGATTATACTCTTAGTCGTTTGGAGTTCAATAGCCTTTTAGATTCCCAGAAATTACCCAGAACTTTGTGGTAAAATTTTCCTACCTACAGTTGCTGCTCAGTCATTGGTTTGATCAGTTTTGATGTCCTAGTTAGTTTTGTAGCTGAATACCTTCATCTTTTCTCCTACCTTTTCTTCCATGGCTGTGAAGTACAGTATTACATCTGTCTGTCTGTACAAGTTGCCGCGTTCAATTGCCCCTGAGTGGAGTGCCCTTGACTTAATACGCTGTTATCTTGAGATGATTTCGGGGCTTTAGTGTCCCCGCGGCCCGGTCCTCGACCAGGCCTCCACCCCCAGGAAGCAGCCCGTGACAGCTGACTAACACCCAGGTACCTATTTTACTGCTAGGTAACAGGGGCATAGGGTGAAAGAAACTCTGCCCATTGTTTCTCGCCGGCGCCTGGGATCGAACCCAGGACCACAGGATCACAAGTCCCGCGTGCTGTCCGCTCGGCCGACCGGCTCCTCAAACCGACCGGCTCGCTGTGTTGCATTATTTTTAACTACGCTCTTTAGACACTCTTAAGTCTGTTCTACCTTGTGTAGTTTGTACTTTCTTCGTACTATATTCGTACTTTCTTCGCAGCATAAGCAGTACGAATATAGATTTGCAAGTTCACCAGGACATCTGTTGTGCTGTGGCACTTGTGAAAACCATATTGAGAAGGGAAGAGGTGATAGTGTTATAAGAACCACACCAGACGAACGTTAACCGTACGTTCAAAGAGTTTGCAGACACAACTTGTGAGGGTAATATGGCGAAAGTCCTTAGGGGAAGTACCCAGAGACCCCGGTTTGCGAACAGGCAGGACAACAGCATCGAGCCAGTTCTCAGGGACTGACGACGACTCCCAGACCCGATTATAAAGATTCAGTAAATACTGAGACGTGCACGGAGGGAGATGGCGAAGCGTTTCATAATGAATGCCATCGGAGCCCGCCGCCGTAGAACTGCAGAGGGCCAGGGCAGACTGAAATTCACAGAGAGAAGGGATCATTATAGGGAAGTCTGGGATGAGTACAGAAATCTAAAGGACGAGATTTAAGGACAGGTTTACAAAGAA